GGAATATTCAAAATTTGAATTTTATAAAACACAATCACAAATTTCAGTTCGAGTACCACTTGTGACAATTATCCAAGACCCAAATACTAAAATTTTGCCTTTAAAAACTCAAAATTCTTGGTCCAGTTCGGACGCGGCCGCTCCGTTCGGATATGCGCTAATTCCACGGTTCCGAGACCCGGTACCATAATTAAAGAATTACGAGATCAGGAACTGGGCAGAGAAAATTTGATATGGCATCATGAGGTAATGCGAATTTAGTATTATTGGCGTCCAGTGTAGGAAGAGAGTATGTGAATACTCCTATAATTTCGTACCGTGGTACCCACTTGCAAATTATACACATATAACCGGAGAGGTGGTTTATTTACATTTTGTTTATCAGACGGATAATAACAGTATGTGTGTATGGGTTATTATTTTGGTATTTTCTATGTAAATATAATGTATGAACATAATAATGGAAAAATAAATTGAAATTTGTAATATAGGCCTTTCACCGATATTCATTATTTCATAAAGGTCATAATAAATTGTCTTTAAAGGTGATTCTTCAGTAATATTGCACTAAATATTTGCCATCCAAAAATCAAATATTCAAGGTAAAGGGGTAATAAGCAGACAACCGAAATCCCTAGTTGTATATTGATTAGGGGCATCCAGACCATTATGAATTTCGCGAAATCACGCAAACCATAGTGCTAGTGTAGCATATGGTACATCTTCTCATATACATATTGTATATACTTTACGAGTCACGACAGAATCGATTCTTTTGGCAAAAATAAATCCGAAACATATGCCAAAATATTTTTCCCAGTGATTAAGTATATGGCTTTATCTTCTTGGAACTTTTGTACCTGGACATTATTTGACCACGTACCAAAAAGACCCGCGTACATAAACAATCATAAAACAATTTATTTATTCGTGCTGTTTTCGGTGAGTTAAGTACCAAAAAGGACCTTATACCTATGGTTTATTGATGGGTCATTTTTGGAAATATCGATATAGACAACTTTTGGGTAGGTACTTTGGTTGAAATGCATTTTGTGAAAAATTCACAGTCAAATCTTCTTGTATGAGACATTTGAGTATATTCTCAATCAAATTTTAATCTATAAAATCTACATATTATTTCAAACTGCAGGTAAGTTTTAAAGTAGGCAACAATGTAAAAATCGACATATTCTAAGAACCATTAGATACCTTGATTTTACCTGAAACTACTTAAATAGCTAATTTGCATTTATTTATCGCATGCCAATTATTTTTATAACTTATGTAGGATTTGACTATTTATGGGAGGGTGAAAGAAGGTGACTTGCGAACCCGGTTGGTGCTCTATTGGTCAGTTACCGATTAGGGTTCGAGAGACGAGCAGGTTCCTTTTGTGTTTGACCGGAACTTTTAAGTGTAAATTGTTTGATTTTATTTTTTTTGGATTAACGTACGAGAAGTTGAGTGGTGAGTAACAATTTGTAAATTTTTGAATTATTTTTCTCTATGAATTACTCTTCATTTTATTTCAATAACTTGTGTCTTTTACTCTGTGAGGAAAATGTCACTTTTTGAGCCATTCATAATTTGATTTTTTATTGTTTTTTAGAAGATATGTCGTTATCCAATCAAATATTAGTAGAATATTTTTCGCAATGAGAAATTTTAGGGGTTTACAAGGCAAAATTGTTCTTACACTGTAATATTTCATAGTTTCAATCATCTATAAGAGCAATCGTATCATGTTTGCCATTATACATTTCCAGCTATGAAGAAGTTACTCAAAAAAAGAGTTTATTACATCACTGAGTGATGTAATGAGCTCATTACATCACTAAGCACGATAATGCAACTTATTACGTAACTCAAACAGACTAAAATGAGTTAAGTAATAAGCTCTTACAGTGTAGGTCGTACAAAAAATATTGTACGTTACACACCCTGTAAACGTTTAATTGCTTCTGTAATATATACTTACTGCACTTAAAACATAATATTTGATACCATGAATATTTGAATGAAATAAATATGATTTCCAGCTCAAGTTGAAGAAGAAACAGTTTTGCTATTTCTTGGAAAAACGAAGTTAGTGTTGTAAAAACCAAATTGCACACGGTTAAGATTTCGGAATTTTCCTTTTAAATATACATTGACTTGTGCGACAAGATTGGGTTCTACTCTTTACCAGGAAAGGTCGTAAATAAATATTTTTATGAAACTTTTAGTTCTATTCCAACCTACATAAGAACGGTAATTTCCAGTCGAGTAGGATAGACCTTCAACCCTTTGAAAAATAGGTGGGCAACTGGAAATTACTGGTTCTTATGTCGGTTGGAATAGAGCTTGTACCGTAGTTATTCAATATCGAACTTGTCAGAAAGTGTGCTCTAATGATTTTTACGCACCCTGTAAACGTTTAATTGCTTCTGTAAAATCTACTTACCGCACTTGTAACGTAAAATAGTGTATAATGCATAATGAAGTATTTCCAGCACAAGCCTGTAAAAGTAAGAAAAACTTTCGACCTATAATGATACTATTCTGCGACAAGATTTAGGGCCTGGGTTGACCGGAGGTTGAATTTCAACCAGTGGTTGAACTGAAATGTTCGTATAAAATCATACGGAAATGTCTGTTCGATGGCTGGTTGGAACTCAACCTTCGGTCAACCAGCTTTATAATACCGGCCCTTAGTCTATTTTCATACTATTTACTTTACACACGCTGCCTGTGTATAATATTCAACTTATATTGTTTATTTAGGTAAAACATTTTATACTTCTATAAAGTGTCGTACCATCGTACCGAAAACAATTTGACACAGTAACTAGTTGTAAAGTGGCTCCTAGACTAGAAAATTACATTAATACATATAAAAATGAAACTGATAACTTCAAAACGAGCTTATAGTCCGGGCTCTTATTTTTCATTTGGAGCAAACCAGTAAATAGTTCCAAATACAGATCCAACTTACAGCACGTTAGTAAAGTGTTCATTTCCGGATGATTAACGCATTATGGTGCCATCTTTTGACGTATCCTAATGTCTAACCCGAAAATTCAAATCTTAAAGTCAATAAAACAAAATAAATTCTTGCTCTAAGTAAAAGTCTAACCTAAAAATTACACTAAGTCGGTCCTAGGTGTACCTACTTGATTTTCGTTGTAGATTCTAACTGGGTATCAGTTTGCGATTTGATTATTAAATTTTATCAAAAATTAACAATTTCTGACGTCTTTTTTTAAAAACTTTGAAGACCCGTAACTTTTTTATATTATAGATAGAAAGCTGACATTTTCAGCAATTTTTATCCCAGTGAAGGACTACAATCCCTGAAAATTGCAGCTTATTTAACTAGTAACATAATGTGACAAGTTATTCAAGCCATCTATTCATCAATATGTTGTTTAATTACGATACTAACCTGACTCACTCAAATGTGAATTATTCTCATCAGTTTAAAAACTACCCGTTTCAGGTGAGTGTCTCACTTTGAACAGTTCAATAGTATATTGGTGAGTAGGTGGCTGCGGAACTCGCTGCGCTCGTCCTGCAGAGGTCCACCAATAAGTTCCGCAATAATCCACTTATTTGTGCTTGAACAATAACTTATTATATAAAGTCAGAATTTGTAAGATTATCCACTTCTTGTCAATTTGCTTTTTAACAGGAATTAGTAATGTTACTTTACCAAACTCATCATTTGGACTTATAAATCCAGAAATAAAACCGCGATAAGTACTTTGGGGTAAATTTATCAATTTTTCAATTTTCTGAGTGCCCTTTTTCATAGATTTCGACTTCAAATCTCAGAATAATTTATGGAGTTTGGGGTGACCCCAATGATCATTTAGATACGAAATTTCAACATAAAAAAATTTGATTTGAATTTTCAAAAACTTTGAAGACCCGTAACTTTTTTCTATCATAGATGTCAGAGTTTTGGAATTAATAAATAGAACTCTACGGGAAGAGCGGAGCGAGTTCCGCAGCAATATACTTTATTTTTGAGTGGATATTGTATTTGAGTTACTTGTTATAAACATCAATATTTTGTAAACATCTCAAGTATGATGACTACTCGAAAAAATGAGTAGATTGAGGCGAAACTCGCTCCGCTCGTCCCGCATCAATTTCTAAACTTTCCAAGACGAAAAGAGCGACTTTTATGAATAGTAATCTATTCGTTTTCGAATAGGTATCGTAAGCAGCAATTTACTCGTTTTTGAATAAATATCGTATTGGAGTAACTTGTTAGACAACCTTAGCATTTATGTAGAAAATCTAAATGAGATGCTTATTCAAAAATAAAGATTGCCACTCATTAGTTTTAAAACTCTGACAAATGAACTGAGTAACTTTCAATACAATCTACTTATTTTTAGCTAAGTATTGTATTTGAGTAAATTGTTACAAAAATTTTCATAAGTACGATGCCTATATCTACTCGAAAACGAGTAAATTGCTGCGGGAAAAAAACTATCTAAACAAGAACATTAATTTCTCTTTTAATTGAAAAATGACGTCATAACAACATAGAAGCTATTTGCAATCTAGAACCGTATTTTTCAAGACTTGAAGTAATGGTGATAGTACTTTAATTATCCAATGAATTGTGGCCTTTTTTATTTTACAACTTTCTTTTTTCTTGTTCTAAAGTGATATTTTGGTAAAAGTTGTCAGTCAATAAAAATGTGCTACCCCCTTTAAGTTACTTATATATTTGACTAAATGTATTACAAGTGTAAAAAATAAAATAAAAGGATTAAAAGAAAGAGATAGGAGCGATAAAAGTGTTAAGGTATTGACAAGGCAAAAATATAAATATCTTAAGTCTTGGGGGTAGTTTTAAAACTCCTGAGAAAAGTTCGTTTTGAAGTATAAAGTTGTGATTTAAGTGAAGGTTCGTTAAGAAGACGAGAAGGAAAAAGGGAGGCAGGCAGGCAGAGGCCCATCAGTCCCGGCCGCCCGGTTTTTCGGGGGGGCAAAAGGAAGGGGTTGTGAGTTTTGTTTAGCGAAATAAGAAAAAGGAAAGAGTGTACGAAGGGTGAAAAAGAAGGGCGTCTCATAAAAAGAAAGCCTGCCGGCGTGCGGATGATTTCTTAGTGCATTTATGCAAAGCAGAAGGAGAGAAGAAGACGCTCGCTGTCCTTATTTCGAGTAATTAGTGGTCGGCGAGTCGAGAGAGAGGGTAGAGGAGCGTGTGTGATTCTAAATACACGCCCGCCCCTTAATTTATATCTAAGGGTAAAACAGTAAGAGTAAAGATGTGGTGGGGACAGTCTTGCGAGAGGGGAAGTGAGGGCGCTTGCGTCTTGGCCGTTCACGAGGCTTTGTCTAATCGGATTCATTAACAGCGAAACGGGAATTATGCGTCCATTGCTAGTCGGCATATTTTTGAACACAGTCGGACTTTCAACCCCTCGAAGAAAACGTTATTCTGCCGGGACTCGAACCGAGATCAGGTGCGCGACTCCCCCCGAAAACCCCAAACACACACACACACACACCAGAATCTCAAACCCCCCTATTGCTGTTGATATAATAAAATGTGTGTCATGTGTAGTATGAGTGTGTACATGTGAGTGTGGAATATGCGCTCTCTCGAAAACAACTTCTCTGTTTCATTTTTGGTGTATTTAAAGTGGTCGTTCTCACACTTTTGAGTTTGATTTTCGCGCGCTCTTGAGCCATGTGGGCCTTTGCAATAACAATACGGTCCGCTCGATCCCATTGGCCCGACGACACGTGCTCTTGCGACACCAAAACATGTTATTGCAAAGGGCTACTCTCATAATAATTCAATGTTTTAGGAATAAGTTATTATTATTTGTTGTTATTTTGTTATTCTAAATACAATGTGTCTTTTGCGGTAAGTTATCTGCATGCAGTTTTCCATCACTTGAGAGGGTATGATATATGTTTTTTTGAAAAGTATCTCATAACTATGTGAGTAATGATCAACGGCCTATTTTCATAGAACCCTACAAATATCTACATTGATCGTAGATATTGAATATTGTGTTTTGCCAATTCCAGCCCACCTTATAATCAATCGAATTTTAATTCAAATTCAATTCATAAATAACAACAGAAAAATTATCAAATAATCAATTACATATTCCCACTTACTCTGGAGTTGTTTGAAGCATTTCTGAATTGTTTCAAATACCAACAAAATTTATTGTGTTTTCAATCATCATATTCATATTACATGACTCACCTCACTTATGTAAAAATACAAGGCAAAAACCATGCTATACCTTGTACGGGTTTAATACATTATACCTTCAGCTCCATTCTTAATTTGTTTCTTTCCTTTTCATTATCATACATATACAATTCTTACCCTCGTGAAAGAGATATTATCAGCTTAGATATTTTCGGTAACCGCCAAATATATGTAAAACAAATGTAAGAATTGCATGTTTTGCTTGGACACAGAGAAAAAGGTTTTTTATTTTCTGGCTACGAAATGTATAGAGTGTAAATTGATATTCAAATATACTATATGTATAGTTAAAAACAATAAGGTTAAACATATGAATAATTATTATACAATCATTTTAATTATTTTTCGTAGGTATTGGAAAGTGCACTTTTCCGCACACTTTTTGATTTAATCTTTACAGAACTTGTGCAAGCAACTGCTTTACAACACAAGAAATTTATTACTGTACTATACTTTTGCTAAATAACGATCATTTGCAATTATTTTTACCTACAAGCATGCTAAAAAGTGCACTTTTCCACTCATTTTTTGATGCAATCTTTACAAAACTTTTGCGAGAAAATGCTTTACAACACAAGAAAATTACTACTTTAAGTTCAAAAAACAACAAAATGCTACTATACTTTTACTGAACAACTTCAATGAATCATTTGCAATTATTTTCACCTACGAGCGTGCTATAAAGTGCACTTTCCTGCTTACTTTTTGATGCAAACTTTATAGAACTTGTGCGAGAAACTGTTTTGCAACACAGGAAAATTATTACCATAGTTTCAAAAACAATGAAATGTTACTATATTTTTACTGAACAACTTCAATGAATCATTTGCAATTATTTTTACCTACGAACGTGCTGAAAAGTGCGCTTTTCCGCACACTTTTTAATACAGAAAATAATACTTCAAAGCGATTTCATAAAACAGGCATGAGTATTTTCCTTAGAATTTTTCTTAATTGATTCTTATTGAATTGCAAAGTACTTTACAACGCTTGTACTGTAAATCTTTGTTGTTGAAACTTACTTGACCGCTCTTGTGTGGTAAAAGAGTGTTTAACCAGTTAGTTACAATTGACAGTCAACCAATGGTGTTAAATGCTAGTTGTCATATATCAATATGTTTCTGGCACGTCAATCGATTGAAAAATTCCATAGTTGACTAAGTATAAATTTGAGAAGTACTTATTAAAACCAATAAAGATTTTTGAGAATGAGAACTTATACAAATGAGAACTAAACAGATGGATAATTAATTTTTTGAAATCAAATCTGACAGAGATTCTTCAGGATAGTTTCTTTCCAATTTTTCAATTTGCCTGGGTCCTTATTCTCGAGACAGGGAAGCAACGTTCTCATGAGAACGAAATGTTTTCGTTACTCATATTTATATATCCATAACACTGACAAAGAAATAGCGATTGTTCTCATGAGAACGCTATATTCCTGGGTTTCGAGAATAGACATCCTGTTCTCATTTAGCTTTTTCCAGCTAGTCCAATAAAGATTTTTCTGGATAGATCCAACAATAACAAATATAAAAATATGTATATTTGTACAGGGTGTTTTCTTATGTATTGACACCCCACCTACAGCCTTTACCTTTACAGGTAGAAGAAGGGTATAAATACAAAAGCTGTACAGTTTTTGCTGAATTTTTAGAAACCATGATCAGAAACAAAATTTAAATGTCAGAAATGTGAGATTTTGCATGTTTCCAGCTTGTTTCAAATGAGAATACTGTACAACTTTTGTATTTACACCATTCATTTACTTGTAAAGGTGAAGGCTGTAGGTTGGGTGTCAATATATAAAAAAACACCCTGTACTCAAATGAACAATAATTTATTATATAAAATCAGAATTTGTAAGATCATCTACTATTTGTCAATTTGCCATTTAACAGGAATTAGTAATGTTACTTTACCAAACTAGTAACATAATGTGACAAGTAATTCAAGTACAAATCAGTGGATTGTTGCGGAACTTATGGGCGGACCTAGCCATCTATTCACCAATATGTTGTACGATACTAAACTCACTCAAATGTGAGTTATTATCATTAGTTTAAAAAGTACACGTTTTAGGTGAGTGACTTATTTGAACAGTTCAACAGTATATTGATGAGTAGATGGCTGCGGAACGAGCGCAGCGAGTTCCGCAGAGGTCCACCCTTCCGCAACAATCTACTTATTTGTACTTGAAAAATAACTTATAATTATATAGTCAGAATTTGTAAGATTATCCACTTTCTGTCAATTCGCCTTTCAACGGGAATTAGTAATGTTACTTTACCAAACTAATAATATATTGTGACAATAAGCTATTTAAGTACAAACGAGTGGATTGTTGCGGAACTTATGGGTGGACCTCTGCGGGACGAGCGCAGCGAGTTCCTCAGCCATCTATTCATCAATATGTTGTTTAAATACAATATTAACCTGACTCATTCAAATATGAGTTATTCTCATTAGTTTAAAAAGTACACAGATGTACAGTACAGATGGCTTCCGAACTCGCTGCGCTTGTCCCGCAGAGGTCCACCCATAAGTTCCGCAACAATCCACTTATTTGTACTTGAACAATAACTTGTTGTAGGTGGGTAGGTGTTAATATATAAAAAAACACCCTGTACAAGCAGATGTATATAATATTATAAACTTTTAATCTTAAGACTTTGTCTATAAATTATATACAGGGTGTATATTTTAAGTGATACCACTATTGCTATATCCGAAATGGTAAGAGCTACAAGGTCGGTTAAATTAGAAAAAAGTTGCCCTTTTTGATGCCCATTCAAAACTTGCTTACAGCGTTGTCAAATTCCTTTTAGTTCATGAAATACAGGGTGATTTCTAAGAAACGCCCAAAACTATTTCATCAATTATTTTGAAAACTATTGATTTTCGAGACACAATTTAAATTTTAAAGTTTTTTATTTTTTTTCGCCCTACAACATGGTGTCATCAAATTTCAAATCCGATGTTTCGTGATCGAGCTACTATCATCAACTTCATTTTTTTAAATACGGACCTGGATTTTTTATGTCCTTTTTAAAAAATGTCTTTTAATCCCTTTGGAAAAATGACGTAAAAAGACCAGGTCCGTATTAAGAAAAATTAAGTTGATGATGGAAGCTCGATCACGAAACGTCGGATTTAAAATTTAAAGATGCCATGTTGTAGAGCGAAAAAAATTATAAAACTTTCAAATTTAAATTGTGTCTCGAATATCAATAGCTTTCGAAATAAATGATGAAATAGTTTTTGGCGTTTTTAAGAAATCACCCTGTATTTCATAAACTAAAAGGAATTTGACAACACTGTAAACAAGTTTTGAATGGGCATCAAAAAAGGCAACTTTTCTCTAATTTAACCGACCTTGTAGCTCTTACCGTTTCGGATATAGTAATAGTGGTATCACTTAAAATATACACCCTGTATATATTTTTTTTTTGACAATAAAGCATTATTATTAAATACCTATGTAGACAGGGTGTCCCACGGTGGATGGCGTATTAGACGTTTATGGGAAACTAAAAAGCGGATCATTTTGAAAATTTGGCAACCGGGATAAACGACCATAATCTACACTTTAAAAATATTTTTGTTTATGCGGTGTTGCCGCATCTACTCTAAACCAGTGTCAACATCGCTATTTGAAATGGAAAACCCTATATGTGATTGCATATTTGGATTCTACGTAAAATTCTGAGCAGATTTCATGTGATATACCCTATACCTAAATTCAACTGTTTTGGAAATCTTGACAGTTGAAAACTGACTTTTTGCAATTTTGACAGGCTGTAAAACCTGAACGGTTAATTTTAGAGAAAAACCGATTTCACATTCCTATCTTCAATTTTCATGAACTATTATTTGACACCAACTTTGAATTTAACCGGAGATTAAATTTAATTGGAATTTTTAATCATAGATAAATTCGAAGTTGGTGTCAAATGATAGTTTACAATCTAAGAAAGGAATGTGAAATCGGTTTTTCTCTAAAATTAACCGTTCAGGTTTTACAGCCTGTCAAAATTGCAAAAAGTCAGTTTTCAACTGTCAAAATTTCCAAAACAGTTGAATTTAGGTATAGGGTATATCACATGAAATCTGTTCAGAATTTTACGCAGAATCCAAATATGCAATCATATACAGGGTATTCCATCTAAAATAGCGATGTAGCCACTGGTTTAGAGTAGAAGCGGCAGCACCGTATAAACAAAAATATTTTTAAAGTGTAGATCATGGTCATTTATCCCGGTTGCCAAATTTTCAAAATGATCCGCTTTTTAGTTCTCCATAAACGTCTAATACGCCATCCACCGTGGGACACCCTGTATATGTAACTACATAAGCCCGGTTTCTTCAAATAAACTTACTTGTAACTATCCGCAATTCTATTAATCGGCGGATAACGATAACTGGCCGATTAATGGGATTATAGATTGCGTTTCTATTCGTCAGATAGTTTATCGTCGAACAAACCGACCCTTAGTCGTAATAAAGTCCAAATTTCCATTACCTATTTGATGTCCTGAAACTGTTACTATTTTACATCTACCATAATCATTGAATACTTATAAATATCTTAATCTTACTTATATACATCAAACTTCTAATGTTGTATATAAAATATTACCTACGAAACATCTATACAGCATTTTTGCTTCATAAAGGAGTTTATGGAAATAGGAAATCTGCAGATAAATATAAAAGTGTTTTATAAAACTTTATATACCAACATCCCAAAGAGAACAAATAAAAGACAAAATATAAAAATTAGTGGATAAAAAGAGAATGAAGCACAAAGAAGAATAAACTTCAAAAAGTCGACAATTAAAAGCAGAAAAATAATAAACATATGACAAAAGATCATAAACAATTATTGTTTGAGGGCCGGTATGTTAATATTACCTTAAGGTACAGAATAACATTAAGTTATCCTTAATACAAGTTTCACCGTATGTAAAAGTTCCCTTAATTCAAGGTGGGTCTTAAACCACCTGGATGAACTTATTTCAAGTTCACCTTAACGTTAAGGCTACCTTAGGTAAGGATTGATTTTAAGGTAACATTGAAATACCTGCCTTTATTCAATCAGATTTCGAAATGCACTTTTTTAAATTTAAATAAACAAGCTTAAACATTTATAATCAAACATGACCGAATATTCTAATGAATAAAACCGCCATACACGAAACCCCGAAATAAACATAAATATTAATATTATCCTCGTGAAATAAAGTTAAGGTAAAGTTTAGGGAGGTCTGAGTTTTGTCGTAAGAAACTTAATTTTATTGTCGAGAGCTAAACATTTTCGTTTATGAACATAAATATCGTGTGGCTGCCGCTAGACTGATTTTCTGTAGATAACACAAGTATTATTTAAAAAATCGTTGTAAATTTATTTAAGTCATTAAGGGTTTTCTTGTATCGACCCTCGTTAAGGGAAGTTTCTCCCTTTCCACTTAGGGAAAACGACCACGTTGCTTGCATCGAATCCTTCTTCCCTTGTGTTCCTAAATGTTTTCGTACGTGTTCGGTCAAATATGTCACATACGCACGCGAAGGCTAACTTTAATTGTTTCTGGCCCTCGAAGGGAGAGAACTGGTGTGTGTGTATTTACCCCCAAACAAAACTTTAAATTAGTAAATTTTTGTTTCAGAAAACAAAATTCAAAATTCAAGCATGCTCCTAGACTAGTAGTAAATACAAGAATCAAAATGACGCAATCCCATTATTCTCTACGTTGGAACAACCATCAATCTCACATATTGGCGGCCTTTGAAGCGTTGCTACAAGCGGAAACTTTGGTCGATGTCACTTTGGTATGTGCGGAAACTTCGGTGCGAGCTCACAAGGTCGTACTCAGCGCTTGCAGTCCCATGTTCCAGAGGATATTTTCGGAGAACCCTTGCAAACATCCTGTGATTGTTTTGAAAGATTTTAACGGGTAAGAATTTTCATCAATCAATCTGTTAGATATTTGAACTGTATATAGAGCCTCATTTCACATTTGAGTTTAGCACTAGGGATTTTTGGAATATTGGTAAAAAAGAAGAAATAATCCAAAGCCTACTTGAGTAATTAGTATTTCTCCAAAAAAAAGAAGAACTTAAATCCGAAGCCTACTTGAGTTGTTAGCATTTTTCACAAAAAAAGAAGAAAACTTGTGTATCGACAAATTAGTATCGCTGTATTTATATGCACACTGAAAGCGTAGATAAAATGTTTTACATTGAACGTTGCTGAATTTTTTCATTATTCTCGGCACACGATTGGTCCGAATGTAATTTAAAAAAAAAATGGTCAAATTGAAAAGCCGTTTAATACAAATGAATGATACGTTCGAGTCGCAAACAAATTGTTGTACATTACACATTAATATGTAGTGCCAGTCAATTAGGAAAGAAAAAAGAAGAGAAAAGAAATACAAAGCCTATTTGAATTGGCATTTAAAAAAAAAAGAAGAAAAATCCAAAGCCTACATAACTTGTATATCGACGAGACAGTTTTGGCTTCATAGCTCCATTAATTTTTATTCGATTTTAATGTAATTAGGCTCTAATTAAAGTCAATTAAACTCTCTACAAACCTATTTATTAATATTTTAATCTAGTTTCAACAATTTCGCACCTGAGAAGCTTCAAAATTGAATTTATCAAACATTGAAAATTTTCCAAAAATGACACTGAGACAGTTTTTGCCTCATAGCTCCGGTAATTTTTATCCGATTTCAATGTAATTAAGCTCCAATTAAAGGCAATTAAATTCTCTACAAATCTATTAATTAAGATTTCCATTTAATCGAGAGCCGAGAATAATCAAAAATTGGTAATTGAAAAACATCAATCAATTCTTACATCATTTTATAGAATTTCATTCTAGTAGAGAATTGCATACTAAACATTTTCAGCTCATTTATTTCAACTAAGAATTAAGAACTTTTCAATTTCTCCGCCGCTCCTTTTGTAAATATTTCGGCTCCAAATCTTGCATTGATCGACAACTCAATCTCAAACATCCTAAAAATCGAAAAAATTTGTTTCAGATGGGAAGTCCAAGCGATAGTAGACTTCATGTACAAAGGTGAAATCAGCGTGATCCAAGAACAACTCCAATGTCTAATAAAAGCGGCGGAAAGCCTCCAAGTGCGCGGCCTGGCCAATCAAGACCCCTTCGGCATAGACAAAGAATCAAGCAGTATCGTAAACCAAACCCCAACCCCTTCGGCATCCCCAAACGATTACGACAACCCCAAACAATTCTACTCGGGCAACAGCAATAAATATTCAGCGCCGGTACGAAATCCCATGGAAAGATTCTCGCCTATCAATTTCGAGCCTTCGCCAAAGCTACCTCACATGTCCAGGCTGTCCTTTTCTGATACGCATATTCCGAGATCAGAATGTCATTCGCCCATTCCCAGAAGGAAACAAGCGAGACCGAGAAGAAGATCGGGCGAGTTGAACAACCCTCAGGACTTGTGCCTGAACAAACCGTCTGATGCGCATCAGCAAGAAGAAACCGCCGAAAATTTGTGCATGAAAAAGAAAGACGATAGCAAGTTGCACATAAAAGAAGAGGCCGGACGAAAATCGTGCACGCCCGAGCCGATGCTGCGCAGTCCGGAAATCGATTTGAGTCAATGCGCAAAGGATTTTAGAGGGTCGCCGGTTTCTGCGCATCAGCCCAGTATGACGTTGAAACAGGAAATTGATAGTCAATCGCCGTTGCCGTTTCCACCGATGCCAACTGTTTCGGCTTTGGCTATGACACCACCTCATAGTAAATGTAAGTACGTTTTCTAAAACTTTCCTATTATTTATAAACTTTCTAAGAAATTTTCTATTCATATTCAAATAAATAATGCAAAAAGGCTACGTAATAATTAAGAAACAAAATATGCACGGACATATTATACACGTTAATATTTAACAACATATCGAGGCATATTGTCTTAATGAATTTTTGATTTGGTGTTTTGTAGTTTTTGGACTGGATTCGCCCCTTGGACTGTTTCCGCCTGGATTGGACGCTTGCCGGAATCCCCTCTTCGACATGACCGATCCTAGAACCACCATAGACTCGCCCATGTTTGTGAAGAAGAAAAGTAAGTCAAAGACTTTGAAATGTCGCTGGTGCGTTTTTTAAACCAAACGGCATTCATTGAAACAAGATAATTATAATATTGATTGATTCTTTTGCAGTGGGTAGACCAAAAGGTCAGCATTCGGCACCACGCGGCGGTCCGCCTCGGTCCTGGACAAACGCCGAACTGACCGAAGCACTCCAGCACGTCTGGAACAAGAAAATGACCACCAGTCAAGCGTCCAGGATATTCGGGATACCGTACAATTCGTTGCTGATGTACGTCCGAGGTAAATACGGCAAAAGCCTCAAGTTGGAACAGCTGAGGAAAGATTGCATCGGCGGGCCGAATCCTTCGATGGATTTGTTGGGCAATATGACGGGGAATAATAATAATAACAATTTGCCGAAAGGAGGCGAAAGGGAACAGGAACCGATTCAGCCAAATACGAGGCCGTCGAGTACCGATCAGGATCAACCACCGCCTCAACATCCGGTAAGAATTCATTTTGAGTTTTTACACATTTTTGACTCCCAGGCTCTTGATTCAAGGATAATCAAAATCAAAGAAATCAGCTAATCAAATCAATTCTGACGCCATTTTGTAGCTTCTTATTGTTATGAAACAATCAAACATCAAAATAGTGGATTATGGCAGAAAAATTCTAAAATGGTTGCTCATTGAAGTATATAAGTTAATCGAGTAATCAAGTGATTATTTCCGGCTCTTGATTAGAATCAAGAGCCGGAAATAATCAAAAGTTGAACATTGAAAAAGATCATAGTAACCATTTGGAAGCTCTGATTGACATTAAAGAATCAAACATCGAGAGGAAAATGGCGGATTCTAAAATGGCTGCTTATTGAAGTATATAAGTCAATTAAGTGCTATTCCCAGTTCTTGTTTTGAATCAAGAGCCGGGAATAATCAAACATTGAACATTGAAAAAGATCAATAAATCGAATTAATTCTGAAGACATTTTGTCGGTTCTGATTGAAATTAAGAATTCTACATCGAAACAGAAATGGCGGATTCTAAAATGGCTGCTCATCAATGCATAAGTCAGTCAAGTGATTATTTCAGGCTCTTGATTGGAGTCAAGAGCCGGGAATAATCAAAAATTGATCATTGTCGGCAAATCGATCAATTCTGAAGCCATGTTGTGTATTCTGAGACATTAAAGAATCAAACATCGAAAGGAAAATGGCGGATTCTAAAATGGCTGCTTACTGATGTATAAGTCAATCAAGTGATTATATTGCCGGCTCTTGATTCGAAAACGGGGAGAGAAGCAAACTTGTTTCAGAAAATTGGAAAAAAAAACATTTTGCCGTTGACAGTTGTCAAAATTTTTTGACACTGACAGCTGGCCCACGTCGTATAACCGCGTTATCCACCGGGTTTGGTGGTTGTAGCTTATAAAGTAAAGCGGGGGGAAAAGCAAACAACCCTAACAAATTCAGGTCGCATGACAGCTGTCAAAAAAATATTAACAGGTGACGTAAAAATGTTTTAAAGAAATCTGGTGCAACTCGAAGCCCTTTTTTTAATTTTTTTTTGTCATATGTTTGACATTGACAGCTGTTGAATTTGACGTTAAAATAAAAAAAAATTGACAGGTGACGTAAAAATGTTTTGAAGAAATTTGGTACAGCTCAGGGCCGTTTTTTTAAAAAAATTTTGTGCTTGTCATATTTTTGACATTGACAGCTGTTAAATTTGACGTTACAATTTTTTAAGTTTTTTTTTTCGTATTCCTCGGGGTTGAATCTATACGGCCATATAGATTTTTTTCGCCGATTCAGAGAAATTTCAATAGGTACAGTTATGAGCACAAAAAATGGGACACCGAATTGACAGGTCTTGTCATTTTTCGCTATTTTGCGTAAATCAGTCTTTTATCTACAATCGATTTTTTGTCAAATATGACAATCCCTGTCATTGCCGTAGGTATAGCTGGTAAGCCCGTTTTACAATAAGAAAAAACGGGTGTCCCACTTTTTGTGCTCACGACTGTAGTACAGGGTGGCCCAAATTCGAGCCTCATCATTGGGATCTCGGTAACCGTAAGAGATACGGGGTCGGTTAAATTATGGCAAAGTTGCGCAATTTTATGACCAATAGAATGCCGTTTTGAAACAAGAAAGATTCCGAATACTTTCGGAGATATTCGGAAAAAACCGAAATTTTGTTAAATCGTTTTTATTTTTTCCCGGGCTTATTTGAAAAGCAATTTTAAAATAAATGTCACTTCATCATTGTCACTTTTTCCCCTTTAAAAGATGGTGCTACTAAATTTAAAATTCGACGTTTCGTCTTCAGGCGGCCATCCTCAACTCACGTTTTTGTAGGTCCCCATTGACATATAAGAATCAAATATCGAGAGGAAAATGGCGGATTTATTGTAGCAACATTCTAAAATGGTTGGTTATTGAAGTATCAGTCAATCAAAAGATTATTCCCGGCTCTTTTCACCACCTGTCAAGATTTATTATTTTGATAGTTATGTCTATGGAACTTCAAAATGTGACAATTTTCGACAGCTGTCAAGGTTAAATTTGAAAGTACAATGCCCAATGAGCTAGCATAAAAACATTCGAATCAAGAGCCAGGAATAATCAAAGATTGGACATTGGAAAAAATCAGTAAATCGAATCAATTCTACCGCCATTTTGTAGATTTTCATTGACAATGAAGAATCTAATATTGAGAGGAACATGGCGGAGATATTGTACCAACATTCTAAAAGAGTTACTTATTGAAGTATCAGTCAATCAAGTGATTATTCTTGGCTCTTGATTTAAATTATGAGCCGGCGATAATCGAACAATGAATATTGAAAAAGATCAGTAAATTCAATCAATTCTGAAGCGATTTTGTAGGTTCTGATTGACATTTAAGATTCAAACATCGAGAGGAAAATGGCGGATTTATTGTAGCAATATTCTAATATGGTTGCTGATAAGTCAATCAAGTTTTGGCTCTTGATTTGAATCAAGAGCCGGGAATAATCAAAAATTGAATATTAGAAGAAATCAACAAATCGAATCAATTCTGAAGAAGCCATTTTGAGGGTTCTAATTGATATTAAAGAATCAAATATGGAGAGCGAAATGGCGGATTCTAAAATGGCTGCTTATTGAAGTATAAGTCAATCAAGTGATTATTCCCGTCTCCTGATTCGAATCAAGAGCCGGGAATAAAAAGTTAAACATTGAAAGAGATCAGTAAATCGAATCAATTCTAACGCCATTTTGTAGATTCCCATTGACATTAAAGAATTAAATATGGAGAGGAAAATGGCGAATTTATTGTAGCAACATTCCAAAATGTTTGTTATTGAAGTTTAAATTAATCAAGTTAATATTCTCGGCTTTTGATTCAAATCAAGAGCCAAGAATAATTAAAAATTGAACCTTGAAAATATCAATAATTTATCAAATCAAAGTTTTTAGTTTTTTAATGACGTTGAAGAAGTGAAAATCGAAAAGAAAATGGCGGATTTATGTCAACATTCTAAGAGAGTTGCTTATTTGAAACGTTGATCGATTGATTGATTATTCCTGGCTCTTGGATCAAATCAAGAACTGGGAATAATCAATCATTGAACGTTGAAAAAGATCAGCTAATCAAATCAATTTTGACGCCATTTTCTATACTCTGTTTTCTTTCCGTTATGAGCACAGGGAAAGGCAACTCACCCTGTTTGTGTGTTTAAATTTATAATGAGAATAATGAGATGTTGTGCTCCTAACGAAACAGGAACAGAGTATAGTTTCTCATTGAATAACTGCAAATGGCGGATTCATGAATTTTAAAAGAGTTACCTACTATGGTATTTTTAATACCCATTTAGAATAACCCGATTTTTATTTACCTATCAATCACGAATCAGATGAAACAAAAAATTACCAACAAAAACGAACGTCGATTGCTAATACGTCAATTTGATGTTCATATATAGGAAATTTCTAACCTAATTTTATTTGTGTATCCAAGAACCGACATACGTTAAATCATTAGAACGACTGGTACTTCCAAATCAATCAATTATTTCGATTCAAGAGCCGGGAATAATCAAAAAATCATCAGCTAATCAAATCAATCAATAATCAAAACGCCATTTTCTATAATCCATTTCTTTTTCAAAAAGTATGTCGGTAAAATATTGTTCAAACTACCTGAGGATGAGTGTTTACGAAAACGCCTAAATGTATGCAACAATGTTTGACGTTTAGGGAGGATTTTCATGCATCCGTTTTTCCGTCGAAATATGTCCGTTTAACATTCTATTCTGAGATAATCGTATATAAATATGTCAAAATAGAATGTTAAACGGACATATTTCGACGGAAAAACGGATGCATGAAAATCCTCCCTTAAACTTACTTTTCATGCATCCGTTTTTCCGTCAATCCGGAAGTATTCCTATTGCTCCAATATCTTGGCGCCAAAATATTGGACCAATAGGAATACTCCCGGATTAACGGACTGACGGAAAAACGGATGCGTGAAAAGTAAGCTACGCACAGAGAAACTTTTTCGTTCCGAAAGAGTGCCAATGCAAGGATAATACACACCACTACAGAGAATTGCTTATCGGCCTCGTTTGTGGAAATCGAGGCCATGTCTAGCACCATTGACAACATCATCAACTACTTCGTCAGCTGTTCGCGCCAGCCAGCGGTCGAAGAGTTTAAAATATACAATTATGATGAAGAATTTTATTAAATTTTGATTAACATAAGTAATAGGCAAAGAGGAAGATGCAAACGAGATTTGAAAAAGCGTTGTTTTAGAATGTTAATAATTAATGTACTAAAACCAAGTAGGTATGCATAAAGCGAAAGCCCGCGTGTGCTGTGCTAGGTACAGTGACTTTATTACTACAGTGGCGACAATTGCTGTCTTATTTTTGATTGGTTCTAAAATCCCATATATTTATATTGAAAACGCCGCCATCTTGTTCCCAACCTCTTGTTACTTTTAAATATGAATATATGGGATTTAGGTGAACATCCATCATAAATCATGGAAAACAACGTATTTGATGGACCTAATCATGGTCATCAAATACGTCGATTTCAATTTTTTATGATAGATGTCCATTTAAATCCTATATATTAATATTTAAAAGTAACAAGAGGTTGGGAACAAGATGGCGGCGGGATCTCTATTGTCGCCACTGTATGTAAAGGTTTATTTAGCCACTGTAGTGCTAGGTACCTTTTGTGGTGCAAACACCCTACGTCAAGGCGAGAAACGACATGCTGCCTACGTCATCACTGGTTCTTTGGAGTAGTGGGAGGCGGGAGGCTTGAGATTTGATCTGGACAGGCCTTATGAGGATAAGCTATCCTGTAGTAGTAGTTAGTGTGTATTATCCTTGATGCGAATGGTTCAAAGCGGCGCCATTTTGTTTACTTGCCAGAGATGTTATTTATTGAAAAATTTGCCTTCGGCGCTATTACCCCATTTTATTTACACACCTATAAAGAATTAAAAATTTGAGCGGGGGGGGGGGGGGGGGGCAAGTAGTGTATGCCCTATGTCAATTTTTTTATGCCCTACCTTAAATTTGACTCTAGCTACGGCCCTGGTTCCTACATTGAAGAATCAATAAATTGATTCGATTCAAGAGCCGGGAATAATAAAAAATTGATCATTGAAAAAGATGAGATATTCCAATTAACTTTAATGTTATTTGATTCGAATCAAGAGCCGAGAATAATAAAAATTCGAACATCGATCAGCTAAATTAACCACTAATCTTCTTGTTCCAGATGTTCCCGTTCGGCCACAATTTCTACCCGGACTTTGGCACAGGCTTCCCGATCCCGGTCAGCATGATCCACCTTTTGCCTCAGAGCGAAAAGAACCGGACGGATCACAACGCGTACGGCCAAACCGCTCCGCACGAAGACGAACTCGCCAAACAAAATCAACTCAAAGACATGGAAGACGATCAGATCGTCCAGGACTTGTACAGGCCGCCGCAATTGAGCGTGGACGATAGGCGGGAATTGGTACACCAAAACGGTCAAGATTAATTTGTTAGTTGATGAATTGGTTAACGGACATGGCAGAATGATAAAAACGGCGGAAAAATTATTGTATTGGTGCCATTAGGGGCGAGAGCACGGTAAAAATAATTGAGCCCGGAATATGGCAAGCTGTTTTTATCATTTATTTTTGTGATTTATTGAAGCTCATTCGAGTGTTTAATTGAAATTCAGATCAACTCTTCTGATCCACAATTCCAATGGTTCTGACACACAAATGTTTGATTCAAATAAATACTTGATTTAAAGTTTCAATAAACTCTGCTGTGTAGATTGTATTCCGTTAATTAATTTACTTTTTAGGGGCAATATTAGTTAAATATAACATTTAGGCAAAATTGTAAAAAAGAAAATCATCATTGTTTTTGGATAATATTAAATTTAAGTCTTGTATATTATTATATTTGTTTTTGATAATGGAGCTTCCTTTTAGGATTTTGAATTTTTGTATATGTATTATTATTCAAGATATTAAAAAAAGAAAAAAAAAAAAATATCATACTAATAAATCTTTTATTAGATAATGGATTTCCACCAAGTAAAAGCCGATTCAATCAAAATCATACTAATAATTTAGTGTGCCAAATTATTAATATCTTGAATTATTGACGAGGGTGTGCAATGGCCGATTTTTGTGTAAATAGAATTAAAATAAGACTGATATATCATTATGCCAAGATGTTCCGACTACAAACTACATAAAAAAAAAGCATAATAACTAACAATTTTATTTTTTAATACTACCACTATATACAGTTCCTGATATATACAGATTTTTTACCAAATATTTACATATACAGTTTTCCGTTTCTATGTTCAACCAAAATATTCTGCGAACGGGTCAATTTATAATAACCTGTCCAGGATATATCCTTTATTGAAATAAAACTGCGATATTAGTAATTTTTACAATAAATAAATACAGTTTGTACAGTATAAAGAATTTTAACTAAGATTTTGTTTTTAACAGATATTGTATTTTTTCAACAAAATACCCACTCCCTTAATTAATTATTACAACCGATTATATTTTTATATAATATTTGCAATAGAATACTATAGAAATACATTAGTTGGAACAGACTTATTAGTTTTAAATTTTCATTAAATTTTGGCAAAGTGATGTGATGACAGTAAAAATTTGTAATTAGGTATGTACAGTTGTGTAATATCGTATAATAATTGTCCGAAATTAATTATACATATAAATTCCGTCATTTTATTATAATATAGAGAGGAAACGCTTAAATCAGAATGTGTATAAATGTTTAGGTCAAAAGTATACGGTTAAACAATGTACAAAATAATGTTAAACGATTTTCTTGTGTCTTAAAAAAAAAAAAGTTTTTTAGTAATTGATTTTTATGTTTGGTTATTTCTTTGCTTGACTTTTCGATTTTTTTTTTCTTGATTTATTAGTGGTTTATAATGGTAATTATGCTTAATAACCGCTCACTGATAAACTTGTCCTAAGGTTAATTTCTTGATAAGCCAATTGTCAAGGCCCGATTGGACTTTATCAATGAGTAAATAATCATTTGCCTACTCAACTAGAATAGAAATTGGTACTTTTCACATGTCTAAGGTAAGTACAAGGTGCCAAGTTATAAAGTACCACCACAGCATACCACCCCGTGTAACTTTTTTTGTTTTTGATCGAACATAAAAAAGTTACAGGGGGTGGGACTAAAGTTTGTTTCACCAGGGTTTGTACTTGCCATCAGCCAGCATTTGTCTTTTAAAAAATGAAAATTGAGTGAAACAAATCAATGACGGCAAAAACGTTCGTCAGTTCTCAAACCAGACGTTATTCATTTTAATTTGTCAAAAAAATTGAATGTGTCATATGAATTAGTCTAAGACAACCCTTTTTTGTCAAGTTTCAAGGTCAAGTATGAACCCTGGTGAAACGAACTTTATATAACTTGACATAATACACTGTCATATTTTTTCTCAAGAAATCAAAAGTTGTGGTGCAGAATTTGAAGGTAATCGCTGTAGGTATAGTTTCTCTAAAAGAATTAGAGCTGATTCATTAATATTTTTCAATGGTAATTTTTTTATTATTCCTGGTTCTTGATTGGAATCATCTTTTTTAATGTTCAATTTTTGATTATTCCAGGCTCTTGATTCGGATCAAGAGCCAAGAATAATCACTTGATTGATTTTTTTACCACCAATATGTTGTTCAAGTACCTGACTCACTCAAATGTCAGTTATTCTCATTAGTTCAAAAACTACACGTTTCAGGTGAGAGTCTTATTTGAACAGTTCAACAGTATATTGGTGAGTAGATGGCTGCGGAACTCGCTGCGCTCGTCCCGCAGAGGTCCACCCATAAGTTCCGCAATAATCTTATTATCATTTAAAGTCAAAATTTGTAATATTATTCACTTTTTGTCAATTTGTTTTTCAACACGAATTAGTAATGTTACTTTACCAAACTAGTAACATAATGTGACAAGTTATTCAAGTACAAATAAGTGGATTATTGCGGAACTTATGGGTGGACCTCAACGGGACGAGCGCAGCGAGTTCCGCAGCCATCAATTCATCAATATATTGTTTATTAATTACGATACTAACCTGATTCACTCAAATATGAGTTATTTTCATTAATTTAAAAAGTATACGTTTGATGAGTGTTTTATTTGAACAGTTCAACAGAATATTGGTGAATAGATGGCGCCCACCCATAAGTTCCGCAATAATCCACTTATTTGTACTTGAATAATAATTTATTATATAAAGTCAAAATTTGTAGTATTATTCACTTTTTGTCAATTTGCCTTTCAACTGAAATTAGGAATGTTACTTTATTAAACTAGTAACATAATGTGACAGGTTATTCAAGTACAAATAAGTGGATTGTCGCGGAATTTATGGGTGGACCTCTGCGGGATGAGCGCAGCAAGTTTCGCAGCCATCTAATCATTAATAATATATTGTTTAATTACGATATTAACCTGACATACTCAAATGTGAGTTATTTTCATTAATTTAAAAATTACACGTTTCAGGTGACTGTTTTATTTCAACAATTCAAGAGTATATTGGTGAGTAGATAGCTGCGGAACTCGCTGCGCTCGTCCCGCAGAGGTCCACCCATAAATTCCGCAACAATCCATTTATTCGTATTTGAATAATAACTTATTATACAGGGTGAGTTATTAAGCGCGCGGTCATCCATATTTCCTATACTAACAGCTAAATTATTTTCCAGTATACAGGATGGCCCAATAGCTAATATAGTGACACAAAATTATGTTTTTTTTAAATGACTCTCTCTGTAAATTATGACTTTACTGGATTTTGCGAAAAATTATAGATATATTTCATGTACAATGTCATATACCTATCTTCAATTGTTTCGGAAATATTGACAGTTGAAAATTGACTTTTTTGCGTCTTTGACAAACTATGAAACCTGAACGGCTAATTGTAGAGGAAAACGGATTTTACATTCTTATCTTAGATTTTCATAAGCTATCATTTGACACCAACTTTGAATTTAACCGAAGATTAATAATTTAGGCAGAATATTTAATCATGGATTAAATTCAAGATTGGTGTCAAATCATGGTTTATGAAAAACTAAGATAGGAATGTAAAATCCGTTTTCTTGTAAAATTAACCCTTCAGGTTTTACAGTCTGTCAAAGATGCAAAAAATTCAGTTTTCAACTGTCAATATTTCCGAAACAGTTGAGGATAAGTATATAACATTGTACATGAAATATGTCTAGAATTTTCCGCAGAATCCAGAAATGTCATAATATACAGGGGGAGGCATTTAAAAAAACATAACTTTTGCCCTATTCGGGTTCATAAAAAGTACGGTTCTAGAACGGTCCGAAAGTTTATTATTGAAATTTGTGATAGCCGAGTCGTTGTCATTTTGTTGATTGATGAACTGTGCGATTGTTTTGAACCGTTCTAAAACCGTCCTTTTTCCAAACCCGAATGGGCCTTTTGTGTCACTACTAGTTATTGGGCCACCCTGTATACTAGAAAATAATTTAGGAATGTAGTACTCGTTTATCTACAAGTTTTGTATTTAGTTTTTTCTCCGATCTCCGTTAGTATAGGAGATATGGACCACCGCGCTCTTAGTAACTCACCCTGTATAAAGTCAGAATTTCTAAGATTATCCACTTTTTATCAATTTGCCTTTTAACAGGAATTAGTAATGTTACTTTACCAAACTAGTACCATAATGGGACAAGTTATTCAAGTGCAAATGAGTAAATTGTTGCGGAATTTATGGGTGGACCTCTGCGGGACGAGCGCAGCGAGTTCCGCAGCCATCTATTCCTCAATATGTTGTTTAATTACGATATTAACCTGACTCACACAAATATGAGTTATTTTCATTAATTTAAAAAGTACACGTTTGATGAGTGTCTTATTTGAACAGTTCAACAGTATATTGGTGAATAGATGGCTGCGGAACTCGCTGCGCTCGTCCCGCAGAGGTCCACCCATAAGTTCCGCAATAATCCACTTATTTGTACTTGAATAATAACTTATTATACAGGGTGTCCCACGGTGGATGGCGTATTAGACGTTTATGGAGAACTAAAAAGCGGATCATTTTGGAAATTTGGCAACCGGGATAAACGACCATGATCTACACTTTAAAAATATTTTTGACCATGCGGTGTTGCCGCTTCTACTCTAAACTAGTGGCAACATCACTATTTTAAATGGAACACCCCGTATTAAATTGCATATTTGGATTCTACGTAAAATTCTGAACAGATTTCATGTGATATACCCTATACCTAAGTTCAACTGTTTTGGAAATATTGACAGTTGAAAATTGACTTTTTGCAACTTTGACAGGTTGTAGAACCTGAACGGTTAATTTTAGAGGAAAACCGATTTTACATTCCTATCTTAGATTTTTATAAACTATCATTTGACACCATCTTTGTATTAAATCCATGATTAAAAATTTCAGTTAAATTTAATCTCCGGTTAAGTTCAAAGTTGGTGTCAAATGATAGTTTATTAAAATCTAAGATAGGAATGTGAAATCGGTTTTCCTCTAAAATTAACCAATTAGGTTTTACAGCCTGTCAAAGTTGCAAAAAGTCAATTTTCAACTGTCAATATTTCCAAAACAGTTGAACTTAGGTATAGGGTATATCACATGAAATCTGCTCAGAATTTTACGTAGAATCCAAATATGCAATTTAATACGGGGTGTTTCATTTAAAATAGTGATGTTGCCACTAGTTTAGAGTAGAAGCGGCAACACCGCATGGTCAAAAATATTTTTAAAGTGTAGATCATGGTCGTTTATCCCGGTTGCCAAATTTTCAAAATGATCCGCTTTTTAGTTCTCCATAAACGTCTAATACGCCATCCACCGTGGGACACCCTGTATAAAGTTAAAATTTGTAGTATTATTCACTTTTTGTCAATTTGCCTTTCAACTGGAATTAGGAATGTTACTTTATCAAACTAGTAACATAATGTGACAGGTTATTCAAGTACAAATAAGTGGATTATTGCAGAACTTATGGGTGGACCTCTGCGGGACAAGCGCAGCGAGTTCCGCAGCCATCTATTCATCAATATGTTGTTTAATTACGATACTAACCTGACTCACTCAAATATGAGTTATTTTCATTAGTTTAAAAAGTAGGTACACGTTTCAGATGAGTGTCTTATTTGTTTCAACAGTATATTGGAGAGTAGATGGCTGCGGAACTCGCTGCGCTCGTCCCGCAGAGGTCCACCCATAAGTTCCGCAACAATCCACTTATTTGTACTTGAATAATAACTTATTATATAAAGTCAAAATTTGTAAAATTATTCACTTTTTGTCAATTTGCCTTTAAAATTGATTAACTTAATATTCAATTTTTGATTATTCCAGGCTCTTGATTCGAATCAAGAGCCGGGAATAATCACTCAATTGAGCATTTCTTCAATGGTAAAAATCCTTGTAGAATGTAGCATAAATTCAAAAATTTCTTGATTTGCTCGAGAACTCAATTAAGATCCGATTTCCTATAGAATTTTCTCAAATATTCTTTACATTCTAAACCAAATCGTCTCCAGCCTTTCAGAACAGTTTTCCTAATAATTTATGGTTGAATAAAGAAAAGCACATTTGTTGATTAAGCGTCAAATTTTCATTTCGCAATGTGGAATGGAATATTGTTTATTTGTTTGTATGCTACATAAATTTTCTCCGGGACTTTTGCTTGGTAAAATTACTTCGTCAAGATAAACTGCAGCTATGTCGCGATATGGCCCTAATATTTTATTCATCATACGCTGGAAAACTGCTGGTGCGTTACTGAGTCCAAATAGCATACTCGTATTGTCATTCAGGTGTTACAAAAGATGTGAGGTGTTTACTATGTTCGGCTATTGGAATCTGGTGGTATCCTGAGCTGAACTGATGATTACTGAACATCCGCTTAATTCATCTATCTGGTCATCAATACGAAACAGAAAGAAAAACTATTAATAAAAAAAAATATGACGAAAGGCAATAAAAATAATGAAAAAAGACATGAGAAAAACAAACCAAAAGAAGAAAAAAAAAAATCGAAAATATGCACATCAAGCAAAAATATTCAAACATAATACCCAACAAAAACCCAATAATAAAATTTGTATACTTACTAAAAATTCTAGATTGCACATTTTGATTTGTTCACTTTTTTACGCAACACATTGATATATAGCAGGGTACAAACAAGTGCAAAGCTGAAAAAAAATTTAATCAACCTCCCAATCAATACAAAGTTTACGACACATCACTAGAGTATAACGATGATATTTTTATGTTTTTATCAAAATGCAAATTCGGTAGCATAATATATTGTATTAGAAGTATTAATATTTAAAATGTGATAATTAGCTATTCAAAAGGTTTTTTGAATGGCACATTTATTGAACTAAATGATAATAAAGTATTTATGTAATTATTAAGAAAAGGGTTCATGTTTTTTCAAATTAAAAAACATAAACCTTTTTTGTATAGAAATATGTGTATTTATTTTATTTTTGTCTGTTTTGTTTCTTTAGTCCTCATGTGGTTGTTCAATATTTTTATTATTATTAATTTATTTTTTGACTCACATCAGAATATTAATAAGGTAAATAATAATATAATTTTTCATTTTCTCCTTAATCTGATTATTCTCAACAAAGGATTATCTTATTCGTTAAAACAATTTTATAGCTAATAATGTTTGTTTATTAATATTTTTACATTTATTTTATTCCATTTCTATGTCCTCAATCGACCAATAATAGTAATTCTTGGTCAATTACCAGGACAGTACTTACAATAAACAACGCTATTTTTTTATACACACAAATATTGGTGCTGGCAAGTTAAGTTGTATAAAATGTTAAGAAACACAAAAACACACACAAGACATTCCTATTGAAGTATTATTAGTTTAAGTTTATTTATTTAATTAAACATTTTTTAGTTCCTTGTTTGTTGTTTATTAAATTATTATTTTTTTTGAACAAACACTTATATATAGACAATATATAAATAAGAATTTGTGATCAGGGTATACATACTTAATATTGTAATTTTTTTTGTTAAACTGAGCCTACATTTTTTTTTTTTTATAATTTCGTTTTTTCAAAATTGTAAATTGAAAATTTGTAAATTCTTAGAAAAAAGGAACGAATCCCTGGCATTATATTGTAAAAAAAATTAAATGTTTTTAAATGGTGCAATCTGTAAAAAAAATGAAAATTTCAATAGTTTGTTAAGCGATTTTAGGTGAGAAATAATTATTAATACGCCCCCTAATAATTATTATTGTTTGGCTTTTTGTAGGGGGGGGGGGGTTGTTTTTACAAAAAAAAAAAAAATATCTAATAATAAACAAAAAAAAAAATCATTATTTTTAAATTTAAAAACAATGTGCAATAGATAATGCGCGTCTTTCTAGGTATTATATAAGTTTGTCCCTGTAATAAATTTTAGTCTAGGAATATATTGATTATATATTATAAATAGATATTTGATATTTAGGTAGGCTTAGTTTTTGAAGATGTTAAAAAAAGGAAAAATTTAATAAAGCTTCGTGAGAAAAAATTGAGTTTGTATTTTGGTTTTTACGAAAAATAAAATAAAATCCCTAAATCTAGGGACAAAAACCAATTTGATACGCACGATATCGTCGATATCTGTTATAATATGATTGTAGGACGTTGCCGCATTTCGGGAAACATGAAAGGTGCACTACTAATTATTACAATATGTATTGTTTAATATATTGATTTGATTAACTGATTATTTCGATGTTCAATTTTTGATTATTCCCGGCTCTTATTGATTCGAATAATCACACTACCAATCAATTCTTCAATGTAGCAACTTTTGAAAGTATTTTTCAGGACCTTTCAAAGATGATATTACAGAAATTTCATAATTTTTTCAGGTATTAATGAGTAAAACAATCCGTCGTGACTTTGGTTGTAAGTTTCATATCAACTCCAAATTCGTTTTCTATCATGAAAAAAAATCTAATTAATAAATCCTGAAAAATTCTAGTTGCTGACGTTGCTGTGATGGCTCAAAGTATTTTTCAGGAACCTTTAAAGGTTCAAAGGTAATTTTACAGGTATTTTATGATTTTCGCAGGTATCAACGTATAAAAAAATCCGTAATCTTGGTTGTGAGTTTTATATCAACTTCCAACTTGTTTTTGTATCATGAAAAAATTCCAATCAATAAATTCTGAAAGTTTCAAGTTGCTGTGATGACACAAAATATTTTTCAGGAACCTTCAAAGATAGTTTTACAAGAATTTTATGATTTCCTCAGGTATCATCAGTGAGTAAAAAAATTCGTAATTTTGGATGTGAGTTCTATATCAACTTCCAACTTTTTTTGTATCATGAAAAAACTCAAATCAATAAATCCTGAAAGTTTCAAGTTGCTATGATGATTCAAAGTATTTTTTAGGAACCTTCCAAGATGATTTTACAAGAATTTCTAGTAAATCAGTAAATACAAAAATCTGTAACTTTGGTTGTGAGTTTCATATCAAATTCCAACTTGTTTTTGTATCATGGAAAAACTCCAATTATTAAACCCTGAAAGTTTCAAGTTGCTGCGATGACTCAAAGTATTTTTCAGGAATCTTCAAAGATGATTTTTCAGGTTTCCACAGATATCAATGAATTAAAAAAATCGTAACTTTGGTTGAGAGTTTCATATCAACTCCAAATTTGCTTTTTATCATGGAAAAACTGTAATTGATAAATCCTAAAAATTTCCAGTTGCTATGATGGCTCAAAGTATTTTTCAGGAACCTTCAAAGATGATTTTGCAGGAGTTTTTGATTTTCTCAGGTATCAGTAAATACAAAAATCTGTAACTTTAGTTGTGAATTTCAAATCAACCTTCAACTTATTTTGTATCATGCAAAAACTACAATTAATAAATTCTGGAAGTTTCAAGTTACTATGATGGCACAAAGTATTTTTCAAAGATGATTTTACAAGAATTTTATGATTTTCTCAGGTATCAATGTGTAAAAAAATCCGTAACTTTGGTTGTGAGCTCCATATCAACTTGCAACAACTTTTTTTGTACATATCATGAAAAAACTCAAATCAATAAAACCTGAAAGTTTCAAGTTTCAATACGGTTCAAAGTATTTTTCAGGATCCTTCAATGATGATTTTACAGGAATTTCACGATTTTCTCAGGTATCAAAAATCTGTAACCCATCAACTTGCAACTTGTTTTGTATCATGAAAAAACTTCAGTAAATCCTGAAAGTTTCAACCTTCAAAGGTGATTTTACTCAACCCAATAAAAAAATTACTACTCAGACCATATTGTACCAATAAACAAAACAAAATAATAATCTATTACATTAACAATTACTGGCGCATGAAAGCTTATCAACGCGATTATTATTATTTTCTGCAATAATTAATCAATTATCAGTTAATAGCAAGTATGGGCTCAGGCGGATCGAGGGTAATTATTTTTTAATTTTCTAGCTTAATTATTTTTCGGCTGGATATTTGCAGATTGACGATTCGAAACGTCGAGATGCACCGTCGGAGAGTTTCTTCAAAGTGATTTACATAGACATCACTTTTTACTATTGGCTTTTGCTTATTATTTCGGTTGTTGCTATTGTTGCTAATTTGTTTGTTGTACGGTCAGTTTTAATAAGGTAAGTAATGTATTTATTAAAAAAAAATAATCAATAATATTGTTTATTTATATAGGAAATACAAATACTTACAAAAAACTTGTATAATTTCGCTGGCAATCTCTGACATTTTAACAGTAGTAACATTTTGCATCAACTATCTAGATTTATTAGGCAAACCATTGAATTTTGTTTGGGTAAGAATAAATAAACTATAATAATAAACAAATTATTGTTGTTTTATAGTCTTCAGGTGAATTTCTATGCTGGTACAATCCAGTAGGACAAGTTTTAGGAAACCTGCTCAGCTCTCTAGCGCTTCTTGTGATAGCACTAGACCGGTACCACAACGTCATTTACGCACTGAACAAAGCCTGGAACCCGAAATTGTGGAAATGCATCGTCGGGGTACTGCTTTCCTGGGGTTTGTGCCTCGGCATTTCGTATCCGATGGCGACTTTTTACTTTCACATACCGTTGCGATTGCCTAATGGCAAAGACGTTTACATGTGCACTGGTACCAGTACCACTCGTGGAGACATAACTTTTTACTATGTTTTAGTTGCTGCATTATTTTTTGTGCCACTTATTACAATGTTTTTATCGTTTTATTATAAAATTGCCTTTCTGGTATGGAAGCATAGGAAACCGGTTGGTTCCAGAACAAAAATCGAAGAGTTAGAGGTGTCTTCGTCAACAAAAGCCCCATCAGATTTGCCCAACATTATAACAAATAACGTAAAAAAGAAGAAAAACATGCAAATGCAAAGGAAAATTAGGACCTTCAAAATAGTCATTGTGCTAATATTTGCCTTTATTTTTTGTCGAATGCCTTACTGGTTGTACTGGCTACTCAAAATGCTGACTCCGATCAGAAACAGCGACGCAATGTGGAGGCTGACGCTGACTTTTACCGCACTAAACTTACTGAATTGTGCTATGAATCCGTTTCTGTACACTTACCTGAACCAAAGTATTTACGTATGTCGCAAAATCAACGAGTGCATTTGTACGACTTGTTGCTGTTGCTTTTCAAATGCTGAGTTTGATGAGTACGAAAAAGGTAAGCCGTTTGCCGAAGGAGTAATGGGCAAAGTAGTTGCTACAGTGGAACAACCCAAGGCAAATCCTTACTATGAGAGGTTTCCACAGGTGCCGCACTTTCCGAAATATACTTCGATTAACAGATTTTAATGAGCAAATAAAAATATTTTGACTTTTTTTTTGTGGTTTTTATTGTCAAGGGTTGTTTTAGAGGGTGGGCCATAATAAGCTGGTGAGTAGTTCCAATATATGTGGACTAAATCCCTGATGATTTCAACTTATTTGGACTTATAAAATCTCATTAAGGAATAAGCAGGGAATTTTTCAATTTTACAATTTCAATTCCAAATCTCACATTGACGCAGTAAGAAGCTTTAAGAGGGTCATTTAAAAACAACCTAGGAAAATTTGAATTGTCATCATTTTTGTACTGAAATAAGTTGTCATGGAAAAAGGGCGAATAATTCCCGTTTTAAGACTTAAAGTCCACCCCTGGGTATTTTTAAGTAAAATCTACAGACAAGCTACAATAATTATTATACATCTTTCGAATTTTCACTTTTTTTGATTTCAGCTATTTTAGACAAAAGAATCCTTCCTACGTCATGATGCGCTTTTTCTCCATCCCTGTCTTTATAATTTAAAAAAAAAATAATACTAAGCTCCGCCAATAAAAACCATCAACTTACCTTCATAAAACACCAATTCGCACATAGAATCCATCTTATTGCGTTCTAAAATCTGCTTCAAAGTTAAATAAAACTGCAACAAAATATCATTTTTGTGCCTGTTGTAGTAATCTAAAAGAAAAACCTTGTAGTGAAACATTGTATAAAATTAAATACAAATTACCAGTATGTGCAGTGTTATGTTTAACAACTTCCTTAAAAGTTTTCAAAGGAGTTGCATATTCAGTACAAACGTAATAAACATTATTTGAAGCTGGATGTTTAATAGAGTAAACTGAATTTTTATAAACTCTATCTCTGACACCGGCAACTGTAATCTTTTTTTCAGGCAAAGTCTATAAAAACAAAATAATTATTGCCAAAACCAAATTATTGTACATCTTACACTACACATATCCATCAAATGAGATCCAGAATTAACGCTTTCAAAGCAAATTAAAGATTTAGGAATCAGAATGAAAATTTTGTAAACTTCGAATTCGATTTTGTGCTGGGACTCGTAGCATTGCATCATTTCTTTTAGGTTTTTGTTCGGCTCTCCGGCTTTGTCCAGCATGTAATTCAAATAGCCGTAAAAGAAGGAATAAGCCATGCCAGAACCGTAATCTAAACCTTTGTCTTTTGATATGTTTAGAGAGTCATTTATTGGGAAATCTTCCTGAAATAATTCTTCGTTTTAGAGGACAATTTTCTACTGGAAACTTCAGTCCATAATTACTTTAAACTGTGTATTAGTTTTAAGGCAAAAGTTGAGTTGATGGACTAGAAAGAGCTGGAAAATTCTGGACTGTAAATATTTTATTTTATTTTTCACCATCATTAAAAGATTCCCTACAGTCTTTGAAGCATTTAATTTTTGGTGTTGTGCTACAAAATCATTCATTTGCAATTTGGAGAGGAGTGAAAGGAAGGTTTGAAGCATGTCATATTAAATTTACAAGTTAATTGAGTGGAAACTTTAAAAAATACACCCTGAATAGTTTGATGAGGAAGGGAATTTTTCAAAAAATTTAGACACAAGGATGTAAATGATTTGCTTACCCACGAACTGTTTCAATTATTATTCAGCAATTTGGAAAGGAGTGAAAGGGAGGTTCAAAGCATGTCATACTAAATTAACAGTCCATTGATTGTTTTCTGTCGCAATTTTCATTTATTCCAGGTTCTCGAACCAAAATGCTTATGTGCCAATGTTATCTATACTATGTACTACTTTAAAAGACTCCCCCTTATTCCTCCAAAAATGTTGAAATTTCAAGTATTATAATTTCCAGAGAATGTTATAGCTCCTAATTTTTCAGTGTTGTGTCTTTAAGTTTCTCTAGTCTTTAGTAATATAGTCTTCAAGACTACTCAGTCTTAAAAGTCTAAAATTAATATTAATTTTGAAGTCTTTAGATTCTTTAATGTCTATAAAATAACAAAGACTCCAAATTTTCCTGCATCTTGTTCAATCTGTTGACTCTATAAAATCCCAAGTTTTCGATGGTATTTTCATGCTCTGACTATAAGAAAGCTTTAGGAGAACCGGGAATAGGGTAATTTTTATGCATTGCAAATTCAAATTTCATCTATAAGAGTAAAAGTGTTAATTATACCCAGTTTGAGGTCTATATAATATATTTCTTACAAGATTTCTTATAAAAGTGAAAATTTGAAGTTTCCAATACAAATAATTTCTCAAAAACACCTTGAAACTTACCAAAGCTGTAAATCTATGCAAAATAAACAAAAAAGGCACAAACAACAGCCAATAGTCATTTTGCAACTTTGGAAATCCGTGCCTTGTTACATAAAAAGTCAAATAAAAAGTATGAACAATCAAAAATATTATTGCTATTGGCCGAAAATAGAAGGCCGCCTTTAAAATCCATTGGTAGTTATTCTTGTAACGCGAATTGCTGTGCCTTAATTCGTATATGAATAAAATTAAACGGTAAACACAGCAAATTGAGTAGTAAAAGACAATAACGAAGGAATAAAGTCCTGAAATAAGTTAGTTTTAAATTAATTTGTAGTTAAGGCCTGGTTTGTTCATCTTCAAACTTACTCTGGTAACTAGATTGCATAGTTTATCAGAAGATGAATAAACCTGGCCTTAGTGTGTGTTTATCTTACCAAATAGTTGAATCCAATCTTCAGTCAAGCCAAAATGTACTGCAATAATTTGAAAATAAGCCCTAAATAATTGAAACAGTTTTTTACAACTTACTTATTATGATAATTAACAAAATAGCAGCGTGTATGTAATTCATAGATTCTCGTTTACGAGGAACAGTTTTGGGATAGTAATGTTTGTTGCCTTTTTGGGCAACACATACCTATGGAAAGTTGATTATTATTTTGAGCTTTATTAATGATTTAATTAAACTTCTTACCCTTTTTAGGTTTACTTCCTTTGATATTCTAGTCATTTTTCTTTACACTACTATAAAACTGCATGTAGTTTGAGATAATGCAATTTTTGAAGGTCGAAAGATTAGCAATTTCGTGGAATTTTGTATGCAAATTTTAATCTGCCGATAATTTCGCTCAGATTAGATGACATACTGTAGAAAGTTAATCTTATATAGAAAATACATTGTTTTAAAAGATTATTAATTAAAATTAGTTGAAAATATTGTTTTAAAAGTTAATAATTAATAATAATAAATTACCTTTTTGTTGTTCTGGCCAATGGTTCCGGCATCAGCTCAGCTGTGTTTTAGTGAGGTTATGTTTACTTTTACTGATGTTATGAACAGTGGTTCTTCTTATTTTCAATAGATGGCGCCATGAGTGAAATAATTTACAGGTTGTTATTCGATTTAACAAAAATTAAGGGTCATTTACATCAACTTAACTATAAATAACGTACAAAACTGAGAAGATGTGTGTTTACAATTATCGATAAACCTTGCTTTAGAATTAATATCGATAACGTAACGACTGTGCATCTTTTTTCTTTCTACGCTACTCTTGCTTGCTTTCCTTGTCTTTCGCGTAACATTGCACCACAACTCTATCGATCACGTGACCATGGAATTCTATTTTTATTCCAGCGGATGCCCTTCAAACGACATTTAAATCGTGTCCGTCGATCCAGTGAGGTGTAGATCCGATTTTTCCGAAAAAGTAAAAAAATTCTAGGTAAGAATTTTTAGTTTTTAATTTAAAGAATTTAGGTACAATTGTATTTTGTATTTGTTTTGTATTACAATAAATATGTGGGAACCGGTATTATATGATAAGGATTGTATGTAGTTTTTGGGCGTATTTTTCCAGAAAATTCTAAGATTTTTCTACAGTTTCGTCTCAATATTGTGAGAAATTATTGCAAGCTTTTTAAGCCATTTTATTTCGGTTTTATAGCGGTATTTATAAATTAACTGCTGGTTTGACCTTGTTGACCTTGTCTACTAGACAACTACATTGAAAAAAAATCAAGTGGTCCTAGATCCAGTGAGTGTATTGGCTCAATGATAAGGATACTAGAAAGCTCCAACTTTTTAATTTGTACGTATTAGGCCAAGTTTATTCATCTAGATAAACTTGCTGGTAACTATCTGCAAGATAAATTAACTGTATATAATTCTATTGGTTGCTGCATACTTAACTGGCTGATCACTGGGATATCCGTTATACCTGACAGTTTATCAGAAGGTGAATAAAACAAATAAATCTTCCATGTAATAACATTTTTATCAACCAGACATGATTCCATAGTCCATTTTGATAAAAAGTCTGGAATTTGGATTTGAATCAATTTATCAAGAAAGAAGACATACTCTTAATCTTCTGAAAGGTCAATATTATTCAGTGATGGATACAGGGGGAGGCGTAAGAGGCGCACACCCCCTTGAGAGTGTAAAAAACTAGGTATTCAAAACATTTTAAAAAATGTCCTATATAACATCTCAACTTTTAAGATACTTACACGGTGATGAATTTTCATAAATAAATCATTTATCATTAATAGCTGTATAACGCCACTGAAGATATGAAAATGAAATTTAGCACACAATCATGTACAGGGTGATCTATTATAAATTTCACCTCCTTTTAACTTTTAAAAAATTATCCAAAATTCATAATTGCAAAAAAATTATCCAATGGATGAAGGAACCATAGATAATCAAAATTTGAACTATTACCGGCTTTTGATTGTTTGGAAAACCTTCCTAGAGCCAATCAAGAGCTGGTAATAGTCAAAATTTGAACTTTTATCAACTCTGAATTCCCTAGAAAATTGTTCCAAGGGCAGTCAAGGCTCAAGAGCCAATTAAAACTGACATAGTTGAAAGCTTTTGTATTTGACAGTTTCGTCAAAAACTTCAAATGAAAAAGTTAGGAGGAAGTAACATTTATAATAGATCACCCTGTACTAAGTATCAAGAAACATTTTTAATGTACAGGGTGTTTTTTATATATTGACACCTCACCTACAGCCTTTACTTTTACAGGTTAAGAAAGGTGTAAATACAAAAGTTGTACAGTTTTGGCTGAATTTTTAGAAACCATGGTCAGAAACAAAATTTGAATGTCGAATTGTGAAATTTTGCATGCTCCTAGCTATATTCTTGAAGAGCACAATGCCCTGATTCCAAAAATATATAGTTTGTCTCTCGGTTTGTCTATATTTGATTGAACAGTCTCTCTTATATTCGGCTCCAAAAATAGTAAAAATACTATCCTACTACTGATTTTGTGAACCATTCTACCTGTACAGGTGAAAGCTGCAGGTAAAATTTGAGGTACTTGGTTTTTCTGAGAGTATTTTTAAAATTTTTAGAACCAAATATGTTGGAGAAGGCTCTACCAAATATAGACAAACTATATAGTTTTGGAATCGGGAAATTGTGCTCTTCAAGAATATAGAACCAAATATAGGGCATGCCATTTGAAAAAAGCTAAAAGCATGCAATATTTCACATTTCTGACATTCAATTTTTGTTTCTGACCATGGATTTTAGAAATTTAGCCAATACTGTACAACTTTTGTATTAACACCTTTCATCTACTTGTAAAGATGAAGGCTGTAGGTGGGGTGTCGATATATAAAAAAACACCTGTACTTGAACAATAACTTATTATATAAAGTCAGAATTTATAAGATAATCCACTTTTTGTCAATTTGCCTTTTAACAGGAATTAGTAATGTTCCTTTACCAAACTAGTAACATAATGTGATAAGTTATTCAAATACAAACGAGTGGATTGTTGCGAAACTATTCATTAATATGTTGTTCCAGTATGATACTAACTTGACTCACTCAAATGTGAGTTATTCTCATTAGTTTAAAAAGTACACGTTTCAGGTGAGTGTCTTATTTGAATAGTCCAACAGTATATTGGTGAATAGATGGCTGCGGAACTCGCTGAGCTCGTCCCGCAGAGGTCCACCTATAAGCTCCGCAACAATACACTTATTTGTACTTGAACAATAACTTATTATATAAAGTCAGAATTTATAAGATAATCCACTTTTTGTCAATTTGCCTTTTAACTGGAATTAGTAATGTTACTTTACCAAACTAGTAATATATTGTAACAAGTACAAACGAGTGGATTGTTGCGGAACTTATGGGTAGACCCAGCTATCTATTCACCAATATGTTGTTCAAGTACAATACTAACCTGATTCACTCAGTTGTGAATTTTTCTCATTAGTTCAAAAACTACACGTTTCAGGTAAGTGTCTTATTTGAACAGTTCAACAGTATATTGGTAAGTAGATGGCTGCGGAACTCGCTGCGCTCGTCCCGCAGAGGTCTACCCATAAATTCCTCAATAATACACTTATTTGTACAAGGTGTTTTTTTATATATTAACACCCCACCTACAGCCTTTACCTTCACAGGTAGAAGAAAGGTGTAAATACAAAAGTTGTACAGTTTTGGCTGAATTTTTAGAAATAGGTGAAAGCTGCAAGTGAAATTTGAGGTAGGGACTTGGTTTCTCTGATAGTATTTTTAAAATTTTTAGAACCAAATATGTTGAAGACGGCTCAACCAAATATAGATAAACTATATAGTTTTGGAATCGGGAAATTGCGCTCTTTAAGAATATAGAAACATATATAGCACATCCCATTTGAAAAAAGCCAAAAGCATGCAATATTTCACATTTCTGACATTTAATTTTTGTTTCTAACCATGGATTCTAAAAATTTAGCCAATATTGTACAACTTTTGTATTTACATCTTTTATCTACCTTTAAAAGTAAAGGTTGTAGGTGGGGTGTCAATATATAAAAAAAACACCCTGTACATACATACTAGATTTTTTCAAATTTCCATCAGTGGCGTTTGTACGGAATTTGACCTGCATATATTGGCAGACATTGATGGTACGCCACTGATTTTTATTCAAATAAAAAGTATTCTTGAAATCCTCAATAATTTTCAAGCAGAATTGATCGCTTAATTTTTACAGTCTAAGAAAATTAAATCGATTTATATGCATGATTTTAACAATATCGTTAATATGACTCACCTGTGGCGTATCATCAATGTTTTCCAAAATATGCTGGTCAAATTCCGTACAAACGCCGCTAGTGGAAAAAAATGTGGTACATTAAAAAATGTCTCTTGATACAATAGTACATGTATGCCAAATATCTATAGTGATGATACAGATATTAATAATAAATTATTTATTTTTGATTACTCTATATCTTAAAAGTTAAGATTTTTAGGACGTACATTCATGAAGTTTCTTTCTCAAAATGGACCCAAAAATTACCCCCTTAAATAGTGGCATCCAATTAAAAAACACCCTGTATATAGGGTATTCTATTTAAAAAAAAAAATTGGACTGTAGTCAATATCTTGATTGTATCTCCCTTGAAGTTTCCTATTAAAAGTGCACCACCCTGAACATACTTTAATGTATAATAAATAAAATAAATGTTCAAAAAAACCATTGTTGATAATTATTGTTAACCTACTCCACCTTTCTTCTGGAATAAATCCTGGATCCGCCACTGAAAATATAATTTTTCCAGTAAACCACAATGTCTAAAATTGGTATCAACGGATTCGGTCGTATCGGACGCCTCGTCTTGAGAGCGGCAGTCCAAAAAGGCGCCCAAGTAGTCGCCATCAATGACCCCTTCATCACCGTTGACTACATGGTCTACTTATTCAAGTATGACTCCACCCATGGACGTTTCAAGGGCAGCGTCGGCATCGAAGGCGGCAACTTGGTAGTCAACGGCCAAACAATCCAAGTGTTCCAGGAAAGAGACCCCAAAGCGATCCCCTGGGGCAAAGCTGGAGCTGAATACATTGTAGAATCTACAGGTGTGTTTACTACAATTGACAAAGCTTCAGCTCATTTGGAAGGCGGTGCCAAAAAGGTCATTATTTCTGCTCCATCGGCTGACGCTCCAATGTACGTTTGTGGCGTCAATCTTGATAAATACAATCCAGCTGATAAGGTAATAATAAAACAATCAATCAATGCACATAATATATTATTTGACCTTCTTATTCCATAGGTTATCTCCAACGCTTCTTGCACTACAAACTGTTTGGCTCCATTAGCCAAAGTAGTTCACGATAACTTTGAAATCATTGAAGGTTTAATGACCACTGTTCATGCCACTACTGCCACCCAAAAAACCGTAGATGGACCTTCAGGTAAATTGTGGAGAGATGGACGTGGTGCCCAACAAAACATCATTCCAGCTGCCACTGGTGCTGCTAAAGCTGTTGGCAAAGTAATTCCTGCTCTCAATGGTAAATTGACTGGTATGGCATTCAGAGTTCCAGTTGCCAACGTGTCTGTTGTTGATTTGACTGTGAGAATAGCCAAAGGTGCTTCTTATGATGAAATCAAAAACAAGATCAAAGAAGCAGCTGAAGGTCCACTCAAGGGAATCTTGGGCTACACTGATGAGCAAGTGGTGTCTTCTGACTTTATCAGCGACGATCACAGTTCTGTTTTCGATGCTGCCGCTGGTATTTCTTTGAACAACAATTTTGTCAAGTTGATTTCTTGGTACGATAATGAATTTGGGTACTCAAACCGTGTCGTTGACTTGATCAAGTACATCCAAACTAAAGATTAAGTATTAAGTTAGGTTTAAATCTCAGCAAATTTCGATGTTTCACAATAATAATTAAGGCTCAAAGCCTCCATGATGTGTATTTATTTTGTAGAATTTGTGAATTGTTTTTATTTAATTATTTATGTCTTCAAAAGTACTATAAACAGTTGTAGAACAGTTTTGGGTTTTATTATTCTCTTCAAGACCTTGGAAAACTTTGTAATAATATCAAGAAATTGGGAATTATGGGATTTTTAAAACAGAAAAATGTAAAAAAACAATCAAGAAATCCACCAATTGTTTATAGAGATTGTATGGATGTAAGTTTAAACTCAGAAACTTACTGTTTTGTTTGAGGAAGGGATCAAATTTATACCAATTCAAACGCTTCCTTCTGATTCAATTAAGATCTGATGATTTGAGGGAAATATTCACGATAATGTCTTACTTTCTCTATTCGTATCTAAAATTTCAAAATTTTCCCTTTGTAATCTTTCTAGAAATGGAGAAGTGAGAGACTGTATGATTCTTCAGAAAAAATTTGCTCCTTACTCCCTTTTTTACATGCAAAAATTTCAGAACTTTCCCTTTATTAGTTTTCCAGAAAAACCTTGAAATGTGATTATGTTGTTATTTGTTATTTTCCACTGGAAAAATTTAAAATTTTGGGAAAATGACTGCTTTCCTTTTTATATGCAAAAAGTTTCAAAACTTTCCCTCTATTAATTTAATTTTTGTAACTTGATTTTGAAGATTCTTCATAATCTTCATTGTTATTTTCCATTTTCTTTATTTTTTATTTCATGTTTAGAGAAGGAACACATAAGGAAAATTTAAGAGCCTGGAATAAACTAAAAATTGGAGAAAATATAGAGCAAAGATGAAACAAATAGATTATAATAGCCTAGAAATATCTTGTCTTTAGTTGAGACAAATTAAGCCTTAAATACGGCCCCAATCTTAACGCCATTCTGTTTCTCAACCATCTCGAACCATTTCTCGAAAGCCGACATCCTAGTGAACGCCCTTGCTATAGGCCTTTTTGCACAATCAGTCTCAAATGATGTAATTCCAATAACAATATTATTCTGAATCAAAGGACCTCCTGAATCAAATCTACAATCGTTGTTTTCAATGTTATAAGCGCAAACCATCGTTTCATCTACTCTGCCTGTTTTAATCAAACTTTTACATCTTTGAAATGATATCAGATTCACTTGGAGATTGTAAATGAGGCTGTTGCTTGGAGATTTTTTGGAGCTCCAGCCTAAAGTTGATGCAGTTGTGTCTGTTACATAGCGATAGCTACAACAAATAATAGTTTATTGAAGTCAACTCATTTAGTTTAACTTACTTTACACTAGCTATAGAGACAATTTGCTCGTTTACTTCCTTAAAGGGCGAACCTATTTTTATAAGGCAAACATCATAAGAAGGACTTTTAGATGTAAAATTGATGTGCCTCACTAAATTTTCAATCGAATGCTTTTTGCCCTTTTTCCAATTGTCCGAGTTGCTAGAGATTTTTAAGTTTTCAAATGGGTGCACTCTCACACGTTCGCAACAGTGGGCAGCAGTTAATACCCAAAATTTACTCACAATAACTGTACCTATAATGATTTTAATGAATAATTTTGTATTATTTTGAAAATTCTTACCGCAAACTAAAGTTACAAAACTTCCTTTTATTAAAACAAGGGCTGCCATGAAGTTTGCTTGATGATTTTGAGCTTTGATTAAAGCTCCAGATCTGTAATTAGTAGAGTCGGTCAATTCAACATCACTCAAACACTTTTTTCTCGATTCCAAAATCATTAAAATAAGTAAAATCAGATTTGCCAATGAGACCACCAAAAGGGTGGTTATTGAAAAACAAGCTACACCTGAAAATCCTTCAGACATGTTTGGTGGAAATGGGGTTTGTTGAACCTTTTGCGTGATTTTTGTATAATGGCGTGTGAATAATTAGGGGTAAAATGGTTTTGCTTTTATTGTTTAATAACTATTTACAAGTTTATTGAATTTTCCATAATCCATTGTTTGAATTTCATTTCGTTGAACTCAATCACTTGTAGTAGTTTGGCACCAGTTTCCAACTGTTTTTCATATTCCAAACAATTTTTATTTTCTTCCAGTATTTTAGTGATTTCCTCAATCAAATCTTCACTTGCTTGTTTGTTTTCGGGATCGAAATCTCTTGTTAGTTGTTTGAATTTTGCCATAAATTGCTCATTGAGAAGTACTGCTAGATATAGAGCCAACCTATTAAAAAAAAAAAAGTTTTGAATATTCCTTGTTGGTCTTGGTAATGGAAAAAGTATGGATGAAAAATAACACAGGAAGATTCTGACTGTATTCTATTACAGTACTTTCAGAATCAGATGGAAATCCAGTCATTATTTGATAGTTTTATGGCTGGAGATTTAATGGATTTAGATTTTTACCTAGTATTACCAGCATCTAACTTCTTAGTCAAATCAATCAACTCTTGGCACATTTTCAATTTGTCCTGTAAAAACCCATTAGAAATTTCAATTTCCCCATCAATTTTATACAATTGCACCAAAGAATGTTTAATGGTGTACACCAGATAATGATTCGCATGCAAAAACACCTCCAACTTGTTTAAAAACTCTTCCAGCTCCTCCAACTTAGGTTTCTTGTCGATTTCCTTATCAACTTCCTTTTTAAGATGCTCCACAAAATTACTGATTTCCCCATTGGGCAATTTGATGTTGCATTTGTTGCAAACCCAATCTGGATTGTCTTGAGTGGGGTTTTGAGGTAATTGAATACCTTTACAGCCTTCGTCATCATTGCCAAGGCAAATTAAAGCACTGAAAAATGTATTGAATTCAGTAGGGTCCTTGCATCTATTGCAAAGACAAAAAAAGTATTTTGTTTCCTTAAGATGTTTTCTTCGTTCTTGTGTGCCCCACAAAATATTTGTATAAGTTGTAGTAATGTGCTCGTTTTTTTTAATAGGCACAGCTGCACGGAAAGTTACTTTGTAGTCCAGATTATTTGTAGTTTGGCAAGTGTTCGGGGCACAATTGTGCTCCAATAAGCTGGCAATTGGATATAAAACGTATAAATCTGCTGGCTCGATGAGTTCTGTAGCGTTCACATCTAAAGCGCCGTAGATTTTGTGGATGATGTCGTTGGAGGCTTGCGGTAGAATTGTTTGGTCGGTTTCTTTTTCGTAGAGTTTCAATGGGGCTATGTAGTTTTCCAGTAGGAAGTTGACTTTTTCTTGAATGGACCTGAAAAATCAAGCCAGAGGATTGACAATTGCTTATATTCAATATATTTTTTAGTTTATTGTGTTTTATTTGATTCACTTGAAATTTTATTGGAGGCAATAACAAGAGAACAGGGGTGGTGATATTCTCAAGTGCTGTAATGTCTACTTTTACAATAACTGACACTGAAAGAAAAAAAAGAACCTAGTATTTTGAATTAAATACAAAGAGGATACATTTATTTCCTGGAATAGACAAATATAGTTTGATCTGGAATGAAGGTGGAAACGTTGTTAGTCCAAAATACCCATTTCTCTAGACCCAACCTCTATGATCTATTGAAAAAATTCATATCTTGGTAACCAAAAGCGGTAATGTAACAAAATTTTCAGCAATTGTAGCTCTTAAAACCAATTTTGCAACAGCTTATAGAGAATCTAATACTCTTTCCAACCGCAATATCTTGGCAGCCAAAGGTAGTACTGGGAGAAAAATTCTAAGGATTGTAGCTCTTGATAAGAGCTTTCAAATGGTATCCAGCTGAAATCGCTAGCGTTTATAGTTTTTGAGAAAATTGAGTTTGGATTTCTAGACAAAGTGTTGACTGAATTTCAACTTTGAGGCTCAATATCTTCAAAACTCGACAAGCTATTGAAACCAATTTTGCACTGGCATATATAGAATTTATTACTCTTTCCAATGACGTATAATTATTGGCAATTTTCTCAAATTTCATCAAAGATCTGTGCAATTGTTCATAAGCGTGTCAAGATTTCAAAATTACCAGAGCCAAAATGATATTTCCCTTTGGATTTTTTTCCTGGTCAAAATTTTCAAATGTAGCCGATGTTAGAGTGGTTTCTGACTAATTTAAACTCGCTCTATCGATTTCTGAGATCAGAATTGAGAAAAATCCAAAAATAAAAGTTTTCAATTTTTTGCAATTTTTCCTAAGGGTTTGGATTTTGATTTGCAAATCTTTAAATCGCAATATCTCGACAACCAAAAATGGTACAGGGACAAATTTTTCAGACTTTGTAGCTCTTGATAAGGGCTTCCAGATGGTATCGCTAGCGTTTGTAGTTTTTGAGAAAATTGAGTTTGAAGTTTTAGACAAAGTTTTGACTACATTTCAACTTTGATGCTCAATATCTCCAAGACTTGACAAGCTATCGAAATCAATTTTGCACGGCCTCTTAAAGAATTTAATACCCTAGTTGTAAGCGATTTTCCCCAATGTCATTGAAGATACGGACAATTATTCGGTTGGTGGTGAATAATTCACTCATTGATAAATTATTTGAGAAAAATTGACCCTCGAAATGATTGAATTATTGAACTAATCGATGAAGATTTTGATCTAAAAATTAGTGAGTTTTCAAACTAATGAGTAAAGATTCTGATTTGAAAATAAGTGAGTTGTTGAACTAATGAGTAAATTGAGTAACTTTCGGTTAATTTTATCTTATAAAAGAATCTCTTCAAATTATTTACAGAAAAAACAAAAATACTAAAGAAACAACAACATATTATGTATTTTATAGATAGAAATGGGTACAAGCTCAGCCACTCAGCAGGAACTTTATTCTCGAAACCAAGAAACAGCGTTCTCATAAGAACAATTGCTCTGTCATTGTTAGTGTTATGCCGGACAACAAAGACAGAAAATTCGTTCCAATGAGAGCGCTACTCCCCTGTTTCGAGAATAAAGTTCCTGCTGAGTGGCTGAACTAAGCCGCTGGGACCGCCTGAATGTACCCAATGTTTAAGGATAACAAAGAAATTACTTACTTGAAAATGTCACTTTTTGGCCCTCGATCGTCCAAATGATCTTCAAGATTAAGCAGAGCTTCCCATTTCTTAATGTTGGTTTTTTGCAAAAACAAAGCCCTCAATATAATTAACACATCAAATCTAAAAACAATTAAAAACCTCATTCATTGTAACATAGGTTTATTATTTACCTGAAAAACTCATGACTAGTTGTTGATCCATCGGGCTTAAAACTTCTCAACTTCAAAACTTGACATTCCAAACTGTGCCTTTGAGGATTTTTAAGATCCGGACATTCAGGATCGCAACAAGGCCATCCGCATTCCGGACACGAGGCCATTTGATCCAGAAGCAACTTGCAACAACCTACACAAGGAAAAGGGCCCCGGTCTATTTTATGAGGCCGAGGTCCTACCACAATAGGAGTATCCACAAAAATGATTTCGCCTTTTTCTAGGTTTCTTCTGGCGATTAAATACCGGCCCAATTCGATGTTACTACAAATCTAATAAAGATTCATTTCTGATCTTGGTTGAAAATAGGAAATTTACCTCGTAAGATCTGCAATTATTTTTGTGCTCGTTCCAATGCTCTTTTTGGTGGTCGGCGGAGCAATAGAAGACTAGTTTGCATTTCGAGCATTTTTGGGTGCTCGGTTGTTTGCATTGTTCGCATTGGCCTGACATTTTTCATCCTAATACAGAAAAATCTTACGTTTTAAAATTACAAATATTTCCAAAAACCAGTAGTGCAATAAAACAACAACAATTTTCGTGCCAGTCGATTACAAACATGAAACATATAGTAAAATATTTACAATTATTGGATATCATATTTCGATTTGATACCGAGATTAGCACAGTGTTTGCCTTCAAGGATTATGCACTGCGATTATAGTTGCACCAGATCCAAAATAAACTTTCGGGGACAAAGGACATTTTTAGATTTTGGACGCTTGTCGCGCTTGTCTGAAGGCTCTCAATCTACAAAGTCAAAATTCTTCTTATTTTTAAAACCCTGAAAAGGATTTTCAGTCTATTTTAAACTGAGTGACTTCGAATTCATAGGATTTATAAGATACAGACTTTTTTGTAAAGAATAAAGAACAAATCTTCAAAAATTGACTATGAAAAATACTTTCTTGTCATCACAGGCTAAATAATCAAACTTTTAATTATCTTGTCTAGAAGCACAGATAAATTTCTCAAAGCCAATCAAATCAGACTTCCACATCAGGTTAATGTATGACAATTTTTTTGTTTATTCCAGGCTCTTGAACAAAAAAATCCAAAAGCTGGTTTGTAGTTAATAATTGGTTTTTTCAATTAGAGCCTAATCACGTTAAAATCGGATTGAAATTAGCATAGTTGTGAAACATAATGTGAGTTGATGTCATTTTGGGAAAAATCAAATTTTCAAAACATAACTTCAAGGCACCGTAACTTCGAAACTATTGAAGCTGCATTGAAATTATTCATTAGACATTTGTAGGGGATTTAATTGGCTTCAATTCAAGCCTGATTTCGTTAAGATCGCATTAAAATTAACAAAAATATGAGACACAATGTGTATTAATGTCATTTTAATAACACAAATAAACTATAAAAGATTTATTGAATATCATCAATCAAAGAAAATTGAAAAAATTTAAAAATAATGTCAATAATCACTTCTAAAACATCCCTGGATTGTTACAAACCTACACTAAAATTGTATTTCAATCAAAAACCTTATCATATCCACTCTAATATCACAATAATTACAATCCACCCCTAAACCCTTTCAAAACAACAAATAGAAATAAAATTTATTCTAAGCCCTCTATTTATGTACAATTTAAAATAATTGTCCCTCGTCTTTCTTTTCATTTGCCTCATCCAAAGATGTGGCCAACTCATGAGGTTCAGTGACTGGCAAACTACAAGTGAAATTTCTACAAACGTAAGCGGCAGCTCTGCCTTGAATGGGTTTGAGCCTGTGAAGCGTCTCCATACGCTGGTAAAGAAGACCGGCGCGTCCTCCGGGTCCATCAGCAACTGCCAGAACCCGTCCCGGAATCAAACGCGATCTTACTACATCAAGTAAAGCTTGGGTAGAATTGTCTTCTGTTACTCCAGCTATAAAAACCTACAAATTCACTTTTTATAAATCAAGGCAATAAGAAAACTAACCAACCTGTGTAGGAAAATTATTATACAGCATCAAAGCAGAAGTCATTTCGGGCAAAGCAATTGGAATGTTCCTTAAACGTTCCGAAAAGAAACTCAAAGTTTTCCCAGCCTTATCCCTTAAATCATTTCTTTGCAAATAATTGGCCAAACGAATCAAATTATGAACTGCTATGGAATTACCACAAGGCTCCGCCCCATCTTGATCTGCAACACACTCATAAATAACGCAACAATAATCTCAAATAATTATTACCATCTTTGCCTCTAAGCAAAATACTCTTGTCCATGGCCGAGCTATTAAAATAACCAGCCTCTTTATCATCCCAAAACAGCTTGTCTTGAGTTTCTTGCAAAGTTTCAGCCCACTGCAACCAATCAGCGTCCAACGAGGCTTCGTACAAATCCAAAAGACCTCGTATCAAAAAGGCGTAATCTTCCAAAAAGGCTTGAATTGGCACAGAAATTTGCACCACCTGGCCCTTGTTGCCTCTGTAGCAACACCTCATCAAACTTTTATCAGATTCATTATACAAAAACTTTCTAATGAAATTAGCTGCCAAAATGGCACGGTGTATGTAGGTTTGGTTTTTAAGCACAAAACCTGCCTTGGCAAAACCTGAAATCATTAAACCGTTCCAGGATGTTACAATTTTGGTGTCTGTATCTGGTTTGGGACGTTTCTGACGTTCCTCGTATAAAATTTGATGCGATTTTTCCAAGATTTCTTTTACTTGTTCAACGCTAATATCAAACTTAGTTGCTGTTTGCTCATAAGAGCCAAAACACACTAAAATGTTTTTGTTTTTGAGCTCATTATGAGGATCTTGCTTGGGATTAACGTTGCCATTTTTTTTGATATTGTAATGGTGACATAAAAGATCAAAGTGTTTAATGCCATTGGTTTCCTCTGTAATTAGTTTGGCAACGTCTTGGAAATCCCAGACGCAAAAAGCGCCTTCCATTTTGTGCGGGGCACTGTCATAGGGATAAGAATCAGCGTCTTGGGCCCCATAAAACCCACCCAATTCGTGACTCAAATCACGCGAGACGTAGGTTAAAATATCTTCCGCTACGTCTGCGTAAAATTTGTCTTTTGTGACTACAAATGCATCGCAATAGGAAACTGTAAGTTGGGCTTGATCGTAGAGCATTTTTTCGAAATGAGGCACATGCCAACGTTCGTCTACTGAATATCTTGCAAAACCTCCAATAGAAAATTATAGAATTGTAATTTTGCTGAAAAATTCTTACCTTTATTAACATGATCATGTATACCACCATAAGCCATCTTCTTCAAAGTGTGCAGGCACATTTCCAAACACTGAAAACCTCTTTCCGTTTCTTTTTCTTTGGCGTACAAGTGAAAGAGAAAATCAAAGTTTGAAGGTTGCGGGAATTTGGGGGCCACAGAAAAGCCCCCAAAATCAGCTTCGTAGGAGCGGGACAGTTGCAGGGCACACTTTTGCCAGGCGTCTTCTCCTGCCACTTGAAGTTGTTCGCTGGTAGAGGCGGTTCTTGGTTCTCTTACTTCTTGGAGAGCTTTGAGGCTGAATTTTCCTGGAAAAAGATTGGAAATGTTGGCACCAAGAGGATAGAATGGTCTAGGATAATTCCTTGCAATTGGGAAAAGTTAAAAAGATCACAAGGCTCATCAAAAGTGAAGTTTTTGTCTTGAAATATTGGAAATAAAAATCCAGAGCGGTTTCCAGCTTTCAGGATTTATTATTTGGGATGTTTTTGACAGATAAAACAAACTAGAGTGCATCTGAGGCTCAGAAATAAACTGGTGAAATTCCTTTTGAATAAACTTTGAAAGCTTCTAATAAATACTTCAAAAATCCAGGATCTAGAGCAACTCGATAACCCGAATTCAAATAATATTAAACAAATCGTTGTCTACAAGATGTTACCCAGACCAGTTAAAGAATGGTAGAGTTACTCCTATTCATAAATCAGGAGATACAAGCCTGATAAGTAATTACAGGCCAGTTACTGTTTTACCAGCACTCTCAAAAATATTTGAAAAAATACTACATAAACGAATTTTTAATCATGTCAGACATGTTATTCTGCCTCAACAACATGGGTTTCAAAAAGGCAAATCAACAACAACCCATCTTTGTGTGTTATGGAGTTTTTGGCTAAACATGTAAGCAGTGGCCTACAAGTTGATATTGTGTGCACAGACCTAGCGAAGGCATTTGACAAGGTGTGCCATATAAGGAAACTGAAGCAATTCTTATTTAGTGATAATCTGATTAGTTATTTGGTCTCATACATTGGCAATAGGCCTCAAACTGTCAAATTTGAAGAAGCTAACTCTCAGAGCTATTTGGCCATGTCTGGGGTACCATGACCGCTGCTCTTTGTGTTGTTTGTTAATGGTATATCTAATTAAGTGGGTAGTTCAGAGTTCTTAATATATATATATGCAGATGATCTATAAAGATCTTCAAAATTATTGAAAACGAAAGTAATTAATGCAATACTTCTACAGAGGGATGTAGATAAAATCCTATCTTTCTGTGAAGATAATAGGCTGTCACTAAATATTGGTGAATGTAAATCTATTAGCTTCTGTTATAGTCAAACTAGATCGAGTTCAAGAAATTCTGGATTTAGGTATATTATTCCCAGAAAATCTATATTTTGCTCATTATATCGAGAAACTCCATGCTGATGCTATAAGAAAGCTGAGATTTATGATGAGAACCTGTAATAACTTTAAAAATTCAATTATTTTTGCTTGTTATATAACTCATTAGCAGGGGCGGATGGGCAGCATAAAACCTGCCCGGGAAACTGTTGGCACCGGCCGAGCCTGCCATATCAGTATTTTATTTTAAGGGCTGTAGAAAATGAATCGCGCCGCAGCCAATTTTTTTTAAAGTTCAAGGTCACGCAGTTTAAAAGCCTACTCGTCCCAATTTTTTTTTGGTAACACAAAAAACTCTGGATGGAACTTGAACCAAGAAGTCTAAACTCTTCATTGAAGGACCATCTGAGAGCAGAACAGAAGAACTGCTTAGCTTAAGCAGGAGTCAATTGAGAGATGTGGTTGGATTGTTGACAGGATACTACCTTCTCAGAAAACACCTCAACATAATGAAGCTAGCAGAAGACTTGATGTCAATGTCCTAACCTTAGATGGCAAACACAGCGGCACTTTGGGACACAGTAATCGAAACCCGAAACCAAAGGAAATCGTGAAAGCGAATATCAGGGACATCCTAGGTTTTACTAAGGGAGTGAACCTGACATGAAAACTTCAGGGTCCTTATTCTTGAATTAGGGGAGCAACGTTCCCAGGAGAACGAGCGTTCCGTCTTTCTCAATGATATGCAAATGATAATACAATAAATAACGAAGAAGGAACACTGGTTCTCCTGGGAACTCCGCTCCCCTGTTTCAAGAATAAGTACCTGGGGGGGCACAATGAGCTACGAGCTACAGTGCAGGTGTCCGCACACATCAGGGTCCTTATTCTTGAAACAGGGGAGCAACGTTCCCAGGAGAACGAGTGTTTCGTCTTTCTCAATGATATGCAAATGATAATAAAACTGACAAAGACGGAACACTCGTTCTCCTGGGAATGCTATACTCCCCTGTTTCAAGAAGGGCCCCAGGGAGCCGATTATCGGGCCAGGGAGTAGAGCTTCCCGATAGAACGAATGTTTTGTCCTTGTCAACGTAATCTAAAAGTAAACCAGAATGATAAAGACGAAAAATTTGTTCTCTCGGGGAGCTCTACTCCCTGGCCCGAGAATCGGCCCCCAGGAGGGAATAGAATAGAATAGGGGTATTTGGAAATAAAAATATAAAATACTCATATTTCAAAAACATTCTAGGTATTTTTCTAAATCTTAGATTAGGAAATTTCATGGCTTGATTTAGGATAATAAAATAATGAATAGTGGGGATACGGCCCCACGGCCAATTTTCATTTTTTCAGAAGTACACAAAAAATAGAAATTGACGCGTCTGAGAGGAAAGTCAGGAAAGTGTTAATTTGAGAAGAACAGGGCCAGTAAATTGTTTCTTATTTATCCAATGGCAACTTTGACTGAATATCTTGAGAACTAATCATTCGATTAAAAAAAAAATACGCAGTTGTGACGAGAGTCAAGATACCTTTAAAACAAGGTACCACTCGACCCATCTTCCCTATCTAAAAAAGAGGGGCGAAAGTCACCCCACCCAGGGGGTGCACCCTATCGAAACTCCAATGGGATCAAGAAGTTTTCCCCTTGGCCGGTCGGCCCGGAAGCAAGCGGCCCTTCGGGAAACTTCCCAAAATCCCTGTTGGCCCATCCGCCCCTGCTCATTAGTTCGATCAATGCTAGAATATGCCACAGTAATCTGGAATCTTGTAACTTATGTCCATACAGACCTAATTGAAAAAGTTTTTGAGGTATCTCTTTCTAAAAAAACATGGTTTTTATCCAAGCTTTCCAATAGGCTACTTGCATGGAAAATTAAATTGATTATTATTTATTGCAAATTGTAGGGAATCGAAAAAAAATCGTTACTTTTTTTCTTTTCGCCCAAATATGATTATTCCGGAAGTTATATAAATATTAAGTTTTGTATACAGGTCTGGCAAGCCAGCATTTTACAGGCCAATTTTAATGCAATAGAATGAAATGTATAGGAAAAAACGATTTCCCCTGTTCCGCCTCCAGCACGCAGTGCTGAGAACGCTGGAGGTGGAACAGGGGAAATCGTTTCCGTTTTCTATTCGACCTTAGACTTTTTCTAGACATTTCATTCTATTGCATTTAAATTGGCATGTAAGATGTTCACTTGCCAGACCGTTATATAGATATACTGAGCATGTGCGACGTCACTAATTTATATGATAAGTGACATCATAGGCATATTTCATAGCATTGTATCTCTGTCAATTTTTGACTAAGAAGAAAAAGAAAAAAACACGTGTTGACTTATTTTTCATGGACTATCGAAATCAGCAATAAAAAAATTTGATGCAAGGGGCCTATTAGAGGAATTTGATATAGTGAAGTTGAAAGCACGTAGAGAATTTTGTACCTGAGTTGTTACCATATAGAAACTTCAATGTACTTACTCACCTAATGTAAAATTGAGGCAAAGTAACATTACTTTTAAGGTACCTAAATAGATGTCTGAAGAGTGTCAATCAATTTGTGTTAGATAATTTATACAATGGTGGTACTATAGGCAACTATAGGTGTACTGAACTGTATTTTTTTTAAGGACGTAAAATCAGTTATTTGTGCATTATAAATAAAGTTCTGTTATCATTATTATTATTGAAATTTTCAGGATTTATTGAGTAGAATCTTTTTATCATCAAACAGAACAAACCACAAATGGATCTGAGGCTAAATTATTGAAAATATCAGAAAACTCATTAAAAATAGAGATTTTTATCCTTCTTCTTGGGATTATGGATGGAGAACTACTACCCTACAACCATCTTCAGGGATTTAAGATTTAATAAAATATTATGGAAAAATCTCTAGACTGCATTCAAAATTATTCAATTTTTTATAAATGAAATTACATATTATTGTCGTTCCTCATAAATAAATCTTACCACACCTTTAGCAGATAAAACTAGAAACCGCATTAGCATAATCTCAATAACAACAATATTGTTTTGCAACATTTTTAGTATTTATTCTATTTTCAAAAGCATTGACCCAATTAACAACGCAATAAATTCTTACCAGACTTAACCAAAGCCTCTCGATTAATTTCCCATTCCTTGGCGATTTTTAGCAATAATTTTGGAAAAGTTGGCATCCCATAGCCTTTGCTCTCTACAGGAAAATATGTGCCCCCTGTTATAGGCTCCAAACTGGGGGTCAAAAATACAGACATGGGCCAACCCCCACTGCCTGTAATGGCTTGTATAAAGGACATGTACATCTTATCAACATCTGGACGTTCTTCTCTGTCCACTTTTATATTCACAAAATGCTCGTTCATTATTTTGGCAACTTCATGGTTTTCGAAAGACTCTTTTTCCATTACATGACACCAATGGCACGTAGAATACCCTACAGATAAAAATATTGGTTTATTTTCGGTTTTGGCCTTGCTGAAGGCTTCTTCGCCCCACGGATACCAATCCACTGGATTACTAGCGTGTTGCAACAAATAGGGGCTCTTTTCCAATGCCAATCTATTCACGGGCTGTTCTTTAGAGGAACTCATTGTACGAATTATGGTGTTGGTTCCAGACAAACAATGGAATCTTGAACAAGGATTTGATGGTATTTTTTTTTGACATTGGCAATTAATTTGAATTACCTTATGGTGGAATTGGGTGCGAGGGGGCTGCACTTGGCAATTCCTGTGGTGATTTTAGGCGGCTCGCACCTGAATTGGTGAATTCTTCTACGGAAAAAACACTGCAAAATGTTACTTTGTTGAGCGATCCTCGGCAGAATCATTTTGATTTTCTGCACGGGTCATAATAATTCTAAAATCTTATTTATTTTGGTATTTGGGAAGTGGAACAGCTACGCAATTAATAAAAATACACTGGTGCAAAATTATAAATAAACAAAATTGATCAGTCAGCTGATACCATTTGCTGTGTTGCCATGTTGTGCTCCACCACACAAGAATTAGCTTTGTCTTTTTTTAATAATGTATAATAAAAAGAGATAGTAAATATCAGATCGGTATTTAGCTTTTAAATGATTTTTGTTTACTGATTATTTAAATTTAAATTTTATACCTTCATTTATTCACGTAAGCCACTTAACTTTTTGGTTAGTTACTTCCTTTAACCAAAAGACCTTGTTTGGTAAACAATAATTAAATAAATAAGAAATCCAAGCTTGATAATTTTGTTACCAAAGTTGTTTTTGCGATCTTTCTCAGTTTTGAATCGATCGGCTTGAAATTTTGGTAAGAGATCCTTTAAACCTTTTTCAATAAACCCCAAAAGTTTCAAATTTTCATCATTATCGGATTTTGAGATGAAAATTCAAATGTCTCACAATGGATTTTTTGCATTTGAATGTCTGAGAAAGTTGATTTTTGGGAACTTTTCCAATTTTGAATCAATCGGCTTGAAATTTTGCTGAAAGATCTTCCTAACCTTCTTCTATAAACCCCAAAAGTTTCAAATTTTCATCATTATTGGATTTTGAGATAAAAATTCAAATGTCTCATATAATGCATGTTTTTCCTTTAATTGTTTGTCAAGCTTGATTTTAGGGATCTTTTGCACCTTTGAATTGATCGGCTTGAAATTTTGCTAAAAGATCCTTTCAACCTTCTTCTATGAACTCCAAAAGTTTCAAATTTTCATCATTAACGGATTTTAAAATAAAAATTCAAATTTCTCACACTCACAATGCATTTCTTTCCTTTGAATGTTTGCCAAAGTTGATTTTTGGGGTCTTTTCCAATTTTGAATCAATCGGCTTGAAATTTTGCTAAAAGATCTTCCTAACCTTCTTGTATAAACCTCAAAAGTTTTAAATTTTCATCATTATTGGATTGTGAGATAAAAATTCAAATGTCTCATAATGCATGTTTTTCCTTTAATTGTTTGTCAAGCTTGATTTTAGGGATCTTTTGCACCTTTGAATTGATCGGCTTGAAATTTTGCTAAAAGATCCTTTCAACCTTCTTCTATGAACTCCAAAAGTTTCAAATTTTCATCATTATCGGATTTTAAAATAAAAATTCAAATTTCTCACACTCACAATGCATTTCTTTCCTTTGAATGTTTGCCAAAGTTGATTTTTGGGGTCTTTTCCAATTTTGAATCAATCGGCTTGAAATTTTACTAAAAGATCCTCCTAAGCTTCTTCTATAAACCCCAAAAGTTTCAAATTTTCATCATTATTGGATTTTGAGATAAAAATTCAAATGTTTCATAATGCATGTTTTTCCTTTAATTGTTTGTCAAGCTTGATTTTAGGGATCTTTTGCACCTTTGAATTGATCGGCTTGAAATTTTGCTAAAAGATCCTTTCAACCTTCTTCTATGAACTCCAAAAGTTTCAAATTTTCATCATTATCGGATTTTGAGATGAAAATTCAAATGTCTCACAATGGATTTTTTGCATTTGAATGTCTGAGAAAGTTGATTTTTGGGAACTTTTCCAATTTTGAATCAATCGGCTTGAAATTTTGCTGAAAGATCTTCCTAACCTTCTTCTATAAACCCCAAAAGTTTCAAATTTTCATCATTATTGGATTTTGAGATAAAAATTCAAATGTCTCATATAATGCATGTTTTTCCTTTAATTGTTTGTCAAGCTTGATTTTAGGGATCTCTTGCACCTTTGAATTGATCGGCTTGAAATTTTGCTAAAAGGTCCTTTCAACCTTCTTCTATGAACTCCAAAAGTTTCAAATTTTCATCATTATCGGATTTTAAAATAAAAATTCAAATTTCTCACACTCACAATGCATTTCTTTCCTTTGAATGTTTGCCAAAGTTGATTTTTGGGATCTTTTCCAATTTTCAATCAATCGGCTTGAAATTTTACTAAAAGATCTTCCTAATCTTCTATAAACCCCAAAAGTTTCAAATTTTCATCATTATTGGACTTTGAGATAAAAATTCAAATGTCTCATAATGCATGTTTTTCTTTTAATTGTTTGTCAAGCTTGATTTTAGGGATCTTTTGCACCTTTGAATTGATCGGCTTGAAATTTTGCTAAAAGATCCTTTCAACCTTCTTCTATGAACTCCAAAAGTTTCAAATTTTCATCATTATCGGATTTTAAAATAAAAATTCAAATTTCTCACACTCACAATGCATTTCTTTCCTTTGAATGTTTGCCAAAGTTGATTTTTGGGATCTTTTCCAATTTTCAATCAATCGGCTTGAAATTTTGCTAAAAGATCTTCCTAACCTTCTTGTATAAACCTCAAAAGTTTTAAATTTTCATCATTATTGGATTGTGAGATAAAAATTCAAATGTTTCATAATGCATGTTTTTCCTTTAATTGTTTGTCAAGCTTGATTTTAGGGATCTTTTGCACCTTTGAATTGATCGGCTTGAAATTTTGCTAAAAGATCCTTTCAACCTTCTTCTATGAACTCCAAAAGTTTCAAATTTTCATCATTATCGGATTTTGAGATGAAAATTCAAATGTCTCACAATGGATTTTTTGCATTTGAATGTTTGAGAAAGTTGATTTTTGGGATCTTTTCCAATTTTGAATCAATCGGCTTGAAATTTTACTAAAAGATCCTCTTAACCTTCTTCTATAAACCCCAAAAGTTTCAAATTTTCATCATTATTGAATCTTGAGATGAAAATTCAAATGTCTCACAATGGATTTTTTGCATTTGAATGTTTGAGAAAGTTGATTTTTGAGATCTTTTCAATTTTGAATCGATCAGCTTGAAATTTTGCCAAAAGATCCTCCTAACCTTCATATTTACACAATAAAGCACATTTTGAGTTTGAGTATAAACCCCAAGTTTCAAATTTTCATCATTATCGGATTTTGAGATAAAAATTCAAATCTCATAATGCATTTTTTCCCTTTCAATGTTCGCCAAAGTCACAGATATCTTTTCCAATTTTGAATTGATTGTCTTGAAATTTTGGTATAAAATACTTTTTCTATAAACTGAAAAAAATTTAAATCTTCATCCATATCAAATGATTTTTTTCCCCCCCAGAAACTATCAAAGGATAAACAAAATCAAACAAAAAAACTAGTGTTTATATTGTATATTAACTATACAAAAAATTATCACTTAATCTTCTTCTTCTTCTGCAGCAGCACCACTAGTAGTACCTGAAAACAACACAAAAACCAAATAAAATAAACATATTAAACAAATAAAATAGACAATCAGGCCTATGATGTATCATATTCTGTTATTTTAACAGCAACATTAAGTTGTCTGTCACTGTTCATTGTATATGTCAAAATAGAGAGAGGTATAGATATTGAGCTATAACATAGCTGTTAAAATAACAGGGGAGGATACATCATAAGCCTGATTATTAAACAAATCAGATAAAACTGTCTCCTTCACTTTCGGCACAGACAAATTCATGGCATAATGAATAAAGTCTGCTTCCTAGCAGGAATTCAATTTGCCCCTATGAAATAATATTTCTGGCACTTCTAATAGGCATTCTGGCACTATTGAAGCGTGGCGTTGGGGCTGAATAAACAATTTAAACTCAAAATTACCTTTGCGGAGGTTCTTCCTCTTGACACGACCTGGACGACCACCACCAAAGGGTGATTTCAATGAGAAATCAATGTGCTTTTGAGAGTCTAGACGTACAACAAAGGATGGGATGTTGACTACTTGTTTGCGAACTCTGGAAAATAATAAAAATAATGTAATAATTGGGGCTTTTTTTAAAAAGGTTTTTGGAAATTATTGTGGAAAATATTGTCGCCTCACAAGGTACCCAATCAAGCCACAATAAGCAAGCTTGGGGCATAAGCTGGTATCATTACTCTTCGAGTTTCTTTAGCACTAATTTAAGCATCAAATAATTCCTAATTAGTGACTCTAAGACTCGGACAATTTGCATTCAAAATTAGTTATCATCAAATACCTGTTGTTTTTTGTATATATTTTCAAGGCATTAGTTAAAAAAACTAAGTGGCCTTTATGAATTAATTACCGGATATGTCTCTGTCTGATCAAAACACGTGCATGATGGATTGATTTGGCTAATCCAAGTTTGAAAACTTGAGTTTGGAGACGCCTTTCCAAGAAATCTTCAATTTTGAGACCCAAAACGTAATCGAGCTTCATCCTGTTTTCATCCAGCACTCCAATACGGACCAAACGACGCAATAAGGCATTACCTAATAAAATAATTAGTTAATAAGTTATACACATAAATGAATAATTATTGTTTCCTCAACTTTCGGCACAGACAAATTCATGGCAATTGAATAAAGTCTGCTTCCTAGCGTGAATTTAATTTGCCCCTTTTGAAATAGTTATTTCTGGCACTTCTAATAGGCATTATGGCACTATTGAAGCGTGGCGTTGGGGCTCTATAACAATAATTACTGACTGCTTACCTTCGAACAATCTTTTTGAGTCTTTTTCTTCCAAAGTCAGCAACTCACGGGCAGCCTTACGGATTTTGGCCAAAGTGTACTTGACCCTCCACACTTCACGCTTGTTGCGGAGCCCAAAGGCGCCGATTATTTTCAATTCTTGGTCTAAACGTGCCTTTTCATAGGGACGTCTAGGGGTTACGTATGTTTTTGAACATACCGTAGGGATTCTACCGTTTACCATTTTGACGGTTTAAAGGGTTCCTCTGAAGATAAACAAAGTATATTTAGTATTGGCTTGTGGAGATGCATAAAAATGATAATATGGAATTGTTGAATGGGGTGTTACCTTGCCATGAATCAGATAAACAATAAAATTAATGTTTTCTGGGATTAAACATGGTATTTAATGTTGCCTCGAACGATTAGGAGCCTTTTGCCAATAATTTAGGCAAAGCCCCTTGCCCAGGGTGCGAGGCATAAAACATAACCTCAAAATATTTAATCTTAAAATATCTATGGAATCCTTATACATTTGTATTGTTTTATTGATAAATCTACAAGAATGAAGTTCGATTGATATTTTAAGGTAAATATTTTCAAGTTAAAACGATTAATTTAAGAAATATTAAATAAAAAATGAACTCACCCCAACCTATCACTTCGGAGGACGTTTCAAAAAGAAATGAAAAAAGTTTCTGGCAAAAGGATGTTGACTTGTTGGAAATGGAGCATGCGCATAGAGGTTGGCAACGTTGCCAAATTGCAAGACCTGAAGAAAAATCTATACGAAATAGAACTTGTTGAGCTACTCTGGAGTACTCCGTAACATTTTAAATACTCGAAGTAAATAGTTACTAATAGCGAATGTTCCATTGCTGAAATTTGAGAGTATCAGTCATTTACATAAACTACTCTACTCTTTCTGTTGATTTCAACTTTGCTCTACACGACTCTATTTGTTAGAAGTGCTCCCAATACAAGTATAAAATCCATTTTGTTTTCGTTTAAAACACCTTTGGCAACGTCGCAACATTTTTGACATTTATTTGACGTAATTAAAGGGCTTGTGATAGATGACTGATTTTTTGGTGTTTATACATGTAAATCTTAATTGATTTTTATTTAATTGAACGATAGTTAAATGCAGTATTCAGGGTAATAGTTAATTATAAAAACTCCTATAATTAAATAAATCAAAGAAATCTTCGAAAAAAATCCATTGAAATGGCTGTGCTGGCTGCAGCTCAATTGCTCGATGAGCTCCTGGGCAGGCACCGAAACGTCGCCCCAAACGAGAAAGTTAAATCTACCAATTGGGAAGACCCTGAGGTAAGAATTATATGATTTGTTTCCAGTTTCTAGCAATACTTAAATCATTTGTGAAAAGTTTATTGGATGTTTGACATAGTTACCCTCCTTCAGAGCTGTAAATATTTGAAGTATTTTCCTTGAAGTATAGTAGATAACAGTACTTGAATTGTTAACAATGTACTTGATTTCATCAAGCACAAGTACATTGATAATTACTTCAAGCACATCAGATCAGATGTACTCCAAATTCCAAGTAAGTAGAGTACATCAAGTAAAATTAAAGTATTGCAGCAAGTACTTCAAAAGTATACTTGAAGTTTGATTTGAAGTAGTTTATATTTTTAAATATTTAAAAAGTGGTTTAGTAATGTACCTGTGACAGCTCTGCTGCATTCTTAATTTACTCATTCAGAGTGTTGGAAAAAGCACTTTTTCTCAGGTAATATGGATGAGTAAAACAATTCACAACTTTGGTTGTCAGTTTCAATTGCTTGAAGTAAATTATTTGAAATTTTACTTACTTGAATTCCTTTTTTGTTATGTACTTGTACTTCCAATATCTGTTCTAAAATACTTGGGTTTTTACTTGATTATGTCAAGTATTTTGAGTACTTACTTGCATGCAGAGCTGTCATTACTTGAACTTGAAGTAGATATCTTGAAACGAGTCTTGAAATTTTACTTCAAGTACATATAGTTGACTTCATAAGTATCCTACTTAAAGTACTTTATCAGATCAATCTGTTCTATTTGACTATTTACTTCCATGTACAATGCTGAGCTGTCAATACTTGTAAGTATCTTGAAATTTTACTTCAAGTATGTACCATCGTCACCAAAAGTAACTGGGACAGCATCATATTAGCTCTTGTCCTATTATATGAATTTTATTGTCAAATATTTGTCAAACTATAAATTAAATGCATTGAAATGAATGACAGTAGAATTAGTCCAGGAGATTATTGTGCATTATTTATGTCCCAGATAATTTTGGTGACGATGGTACATATAGTTGGCTTCAAGTATTCTTCCTAAAGTACATTATAATTTGTAATACATAAGCAGATCAATCTGTTCTGAAATACTTGGGCACTAAAGCACCTTAGTACTTTCATTATTTTGAAAAATCCAAACTAAATAACATAAAGCTCAAATAAGGTTCTAGATAGAATAGCGAGTAGAATAGATTGGGGATCAGATTATTATTGTCAAAAAAAATTACTTAGAAATGTACTATTGTTTCAAACAAATTTTAGATATTTGAAGTACCAATATTACTTCAAGCAGTAAATATCCCAATAAATATATCTAGACCAAGATTTTTACTTGAAATAAATTAGGTAAGTACCACTTAATGAAATTCAAGTGAATTTCATGTTTACTTGAAGATCAAAGTATAATTTTGAAAAACTTGTACTTGTACTTCAACTTTACTTGTGCTGGCTCTGGCACAAAGTATTTTTCAGGAATTCAATAATTCAAGGTGATTTTACAGAACTTTTATGATTTTCTCAGGTATCAATGACTGAAAAATATCATAACTTTAGTTGTGAATTTCAGAATTTCATATCAACTTCAAATTTGTTTTGTACCATGAAAAAACTCCAATTAATGAATCCTGAAAGTTTCAAGTTGCTAGGATGGCTGGAAGTATTTTTCAGGAGCCTTCAAAGGTGATTTTACAGGAATTTTGAGATTTTCTCAGGTATCAATAAGTAAAAAAAAATCGTAACTTTAGTTTTGAGTTTCATATCAACTCCAAATTTGTTTTCCATCATGGAAAAACTCCAATTAATAAATCCTAAAGGTTTCAAGTTGTTATGATAGCTCAAAGTATTTTTCAGGAACCTTCAAAGATGATTTTATAGGAATTTTGTGATTTTCTCTAGTATCAATGAGTGAAAAAAATCGTAACTTTAGTTGTGAATTTGATATCAACTGCAAATTTTTTTTCTATCATGGGAAAATTCTAGTTAATGAATCCTGAAAGTTTCAAGTTACTGTGACAGCCCAAAATATTTTTAAAAAAATTTCAATGGTGATTTTACAAGAACTTTATGATTTTCTTAGATATCAATGAGTAAACAAATCTGTAACTTTGGTTGTGAGTTTTATATCAACTTTAAATTTGTTTTCCATCATGGAAAAACTGTAACTAATAAATCCTAAAAGTTCCAAGTTGCTGCCATGGCTCAAAGTATTTTTCAAGTATCTTGAAACATGATGTTACAGCAGTTTTATAATTTTCTCAGGTATCAATGAGTAAACAAGTCTGTAACTTTGGTTCTGAGTTTCACATCAACTTTAAATTTGTTTTCCATCATGGAAAAAATGTAATTAATAAATCCTAAAAGTTCCAAGTTGCTGCCATGACTCAAAGTATTTTTCAAGTACCTTGAAACATGATTTTACAGCAGTTTTATAATTTTCTCAAGTATCAATGAGTACACAAATCAGTAACTTTGGTTGTGAATTTCATATCAACTTGAAATTTGTTTTCTATCATGAGAAAACTGTAATTAATAAATCCTGAAAGTTCCAAGTTGTTGCCATGGCTCAAAGTATTTTTCAAGTACCTTGAAAGATGATTTTACAGCACTTTTATAATTTTCTCAGGTATCAAAGAGTAAACAAATCTGTAACTTTGGTAGTGAGTTTCATATCAACTACAAATTTATTTTCCATCATGGGAAAACTATAATTATTAAATCTTGAAAGTTTCAAATCGCTGCCATGGCTCAAAGTATTTTTCAGGTACCTTGAAAATGATTTTACAGCAATTTTATATTTTTTTCAGGTAGCAATGAGTAAACAAATCTATAAGTTCTTTTGTAAGTTTCATATCAATTTCAAATTTATTTTCTATCATGGAAAAACTCCAATTAATAAATCCTGAAAGTTTCAAGTTGCTATGATGGCTCAAAGTATTTTTCAGGTACCTTGAAAGATGATTTTACAGAAATTTTATGATTTTCTCAGGTATCAATGAGTAAACAAATCTGTAACTTTGGTTGTGAGTAGTGATGTGAGTCGAGGATATTCCCATGCGAATATTTGCGAACATTGGGAAATTTCCGAGAATATTCGTCGATAAAAAATGGAAACGTTCGCCTGAATGAGAATATTCCCGGAAACTTTCAATCAAAAACTCTCAAATAATATTTTCGAGAATATTTCCAAGAACTTTCCAGAAGAATTTTATAAAAATGCGAGATTATTGCGAATACCTACAAGGTCTCATTTCACTTTATGTGGACGACATAGCCAAGTCCAACTGTCTTTACGGAAACGCTGATCCAATTAGCTGATCTTACAGAAAAAAATAGGTGTTTTTCTTGGTGTATAGTCTATATAGTCAGTACACTATAATAATAGGTAAATAAAGCTTACTACGATTTGTCTTATTTAGCTATGAATTAAAAAAAAAATAACAATATTTCCATAAATTCCCAAAAGTTTCCAATATTCCCGGAAAGTTTCCGAGAATGTTCGCAGCTTTTGAATGTTTCGGGAATTTTACATCACTAGTTGTGAGTTTCATATGAACTTCAAATTTGTTTTCTATCATGGGAAAACTGTAATCAATAAATCCTGAAAGTTTCAAGCTGCTGGATTGACTTAAAATTTTTTCAGGATCCTCCAAAGGTGATACTACAGGCATTTTATGATTTTCTCAGGTATCAATGAGTAAAAAACTCCGGTTGTGAGTTCCATATCAACTTCCAACTTGTTTTGTATCATTAAGAAACTCTAATTAATAAATCCTGAAAGTTTCAAGTTGCTGTGATGGCTCAAAGTATTTTTTAAGAACCTTTGATGTTGATTTTACAGGAATTTGATAATTTTCTCAGGTATCAATGAGTAAACAAATTTGTAAACTTGGGTTGTGAGTTTAATATCAATTTCAAATTTGTTTTCTATTATGGGAAAACTGTAAATAATAAATCCTGAAAGTTTCAAGTTACTGGGATGGCTTAAAGTATTTTTCAGGAGGCTTCAAAGGTGATTTTTCAGGAATTATATGATTTTCTCAGGTGTCAATGAGTAAAAAAATCTGTAACTTTGGCTGTAAGTGTCATGTTAACTTCCAACTTGTTTTGTATTATGAATAAACTCTAATTAATAAATCCTGAAAGTTTCAAGTTGCTGTGATGGCTCAAAGTATTTTCCATCAACCTCCAAAGGTTAGTTTATAAGAAATTTTAAGATTTTCTCAGGTATCAATAAGTAAAAAAAATCGTTCGGAGTTTCATAGCAATTTCAAATTAATTTTCCATCAAAAGAAAACTCTAATTAATAAATCCTGAAGATTTCAAGTTGCTGTGATGGCTCAAGGTATTTTTCAGGAATTTTCAAAGATAAAAGATAATATGAGTCAGTTTTTTTCTTGGAATTCTAAACGAAACTTGTAATAACCCCAACCCCATTTCTTTCCATTCCAGTACTGCAAATTCTTCATGGTAAAATTCTGTCCTCACGACCTCTTCGTAAACACCAGAGCCGATTTGGGACCGTGTTCCAAGACCCACGACGAAGAAGCCAAAAAACTGTTCCAGGAAGCCAAAAACGGCCACTTTAGAAAAATCCAATACCAAGAGGATTTTGTTCGCTTCTGTTCGTCAATGATTAACGACGTAGAAAAGAAAATAATCAAGGGCCGTCAGCGGTTGGCGCTGAGCGGCAAAAACGTGCTGGCAGTGACCAACCCGCAACAAGCCGAGAAAAATCAAGAGCAAATTGAAATTCTCAATGAGAGAATCAATGAGTTGGAAAAGGAGGCTGAACAAGCGGGTACTGGTGGTAATGTAGAGCAGGCTCAAGGCCTAATGAAGCTGTGTGATCAATTGAAAGAGGAAAGGGGGGCTCTTAAAAAGGCTGAATTAGGCCAACTTAATCTTACAGCCCAATTAGCTGTGGAACAAGAAAAACAAATGGAAGTGTGCGAAGTTTGTGGGGCTTTTTTGATTGTGGGCGATGCCCAGCAAAGAATTGATGATCATTTGATGGGCAAACAACATATGGGTTATATGAGATTGAAAAAGGCTTTAGAGGAAATCACTGATTTGGTGAAAGAAGTCAAAGAGCCTAGGAAATTTGGCAGGGAAAAGGAGAGGGAACGTGATAGGGATAAGAGGAGGGACAGAGTCAAGGAAAGGGAGAGAAGTTTAGGCAGAAGTCGGTCAGAATTAGGAGGGTGAGTTTTTAGGTCAATTCATCTGATGATTTTATTTACAAAATCATTTATTAGGGATAGGCGTAAAGATGAGGAAAGAAGTGTGCATGAAGCAGGCCATAGTAGGGATGGGGAAATGAAGCCAAGGGATAGAGAGCGTGATAGAAGGCATCGCTCTGGCCCAGAGCGAGAAGGTAATAATAATTGTTTAAATGTTTAAAATTTGATTCATTTTTATTTGTAGAGCGTCACAGGCATCACCATCACCATCATTCGCACAGGCACAGGCACTAGAGAGATGTTCGCCAAAAAAATGTTGACCAGTAAGACCATCCCTCATCAGGTAGGTGCTATTTTATAAGACTAATTAACAAAATTGTTTTCTTTCAGATTATACAGGTTAGTGGAATAATAATGTAGCTTATTTTTTGATTACTTTTAGAGGTTTTTGAGGATGTTTTTCAATGATTTTTTTACGTTTTTTTATATGGTTTTTGGTTTCTACTTTCCTTTCTGTATTTGTAGAAAAAGCTGGTTTTTTAAATGCCACTATTATTTAATATTTTTTTTACAGTAACTGGCTTTTGTCCAATAATTTTTTCTTCATTTCCATTACTAGGTTTGTTCCAATGAAGTCTATATCCAGTTTTGATAATTCCCATGTCAGTTCCTGTTTTGTCTTCGATTTTCCTGGTTATTCAACTTTATATTTTTTATAAAAAAATTGTACCTACCTATCCCTTTTGTATCAACTAAAAATTTCATTTGCACCGTTGCCCTAAGTATAATTATGAGCCTAATTGTCACTGGAAAACATCCTCAAACATTTCAAAGTTAATTACCAAAATGTGCAATGAATTTTTGGTTCAAGGTATATTTTATTTGACAAATCCTTGCACCCTCTCATTATTTGTGATATAAATAATTATTTCTCAACTGAAAAACATTGGTGTGGTTTATTTTACTTCGTACAAGGCCAAAACAAAAAATTATTTGTGTGTGTCTTTGATAAGTTTTCAGCGAGTGAAACGTCCCGACAAAACAGTTAAGTTGGCAACACTGTGGCTGTAACAAATTTTTGTACTTTTAAATGACGAGGTATTTATACAGCTTAAGTTCATATTTTTTTTTTTTTTTTAAATACATATTATATTTATGCCGGGGGGTACCCTGCTACACACTCGTCTCGTGTGTCAAAATAAAAAAGAGGTATTTATTTCAAATTTGTATTAAAATCAAATATTTTTGAAATATTCTCAATGAAAAAAGAAGAATTAGGCTTGTTCTAACAGAAATCACAAACCAATCAAAAAAACGCCTCGACTGTTTCAAAAGTATTTGATTTTTTTGTAAAATCCACCAAAAAAAAATTCCTGGTCCCGGTCTCATGCTTTGGTCTGGCTCTTTGCAGTTGTCACAACAGGTGAGCTCAAACACACTATCCAAAAGAAAATACTGGTTCCAGCTTTGTCTGCCCCCGTCACACTAGCCTCCTCCAGCAACATGTAGTCCACAGGTGACCCATATTTATTAGCAAAAGTAGCTTTTAGTGGTTCAAATCGAATAATGGAATTTCCGCTTTGTGTCTCTATTTTTAGTATTAATTTAAATTTAAAAGTGGAACAGTCCATTGTTGATTTTAATTTAGGAAAGTAGCTGAATTTTTAATTAATTAAACAATCAGTTTATTGGCATTTTTTGTTAATCAAATGACATTATTATAATGAACATTCAGCTACTTTGGGTATGTTTTCACAAGAATCTCTTGACAGTTTGCAAACATGTTTTCAATGCTGCTTCGTTCCAAGATACTTAGTTGAGTGAGTTTGCAAACTGTCAGAAACTCTTGTGACAACATACCTTTGTTTCTAATAGTTAAGTGAGTTTACATGGGAACATTTAATTTAAATTTTTAATTAATTTGTATAATACATATTACAATTTCCAATAACTAAATAAACTACTTAATGGTAATTTTAGGTGTTTTATTTTATCAGCCAGAAAATTTATTTGTTTTTGAACCTGGTCAATGTGTTTCTAGAGGTTATCTACCACTAGATTAGGTTTTCAAAAATATTGAATTTTCTGGTGGAAAAATTCCCTTCCCTTTTCATCGTTTTAGTAAGTAAGTAGGTAACTATTTTATGATTAAGTTTTGGAAAACTTTGGAATATCATAATTTTTTTTTCATTATAGATAGAAAGCTGAAATTTTCACTGAATTTTATTCCACTCAAGGAACTACAATCCCTGAAAATTTCAGCTCATATGCACTTATAGTTCCTGAGATAAAATCGTGTTAAACAATTTGGGGTGATTTATCAATTTTTCTGAGTGTCTTTTTTCATAGATTTCGGTTTCAAATCTGGAAATAATTTAGTGTATGGAGTTTGGGGGATCACAAAGACCATCAGGACACAAAATCTCAACAACAAAAAAATCTGAAATTTCATCCTACCTTTTGATTTAGATTTTGGAAAACTTTGAAAGGTCATAACTTTTTTTCTAATAAAGGTAGAAAGCTGAAATTTTGAGCGATTCTTATCTCAGTAGAGGACTACAATCCTTGAAAATTTCAACTCATTTGGACTTACAGTTCCTAAGATTGAGATAAAATCGTATTAACTAATTTGAGGTGATTTATCAATTTTTCTGTGTGCCTTTTTTCATAGATTTCGGGTTCAAATCTGGGAATAATTTAGTGTATGGAGTTTGGGGGATCACAAAGACCATTAGGACACAAAATCTCAACAACAAAAAAATTTGAAATTTCATCCATTCAGTAAGATTTTACCTACCTTTTGATTTAGATTTTGGAAAACTTTGGAAGGTCATAACCTTTTTTCTATTAAAGATAGAAAGCTGAAATTTTCAGCGATTCTTATTCCACTACAATCCCTGAAAATTTCAACTCAATTGGACTTATAGTTCCTGAGATAAAATCATGTTAAGCAATTTGGGGTGATTTATAAATTTTTCAATGTGCCCTTTTTTCATAGAATCCGGTTCCAAATTGATACAGTGATTCAAGAGCCGGGAATAGTCTCAAATATTAATTAATTAATTAACAAACACAAACCTCAGATTTATTATATAGTTTATTCATCTTTTACAATCACCTATAAACAATTTTTTTTTAATTAATTAACTCTAAATCTAATTTTACAAATCGAAACAAAGATTCCAATGTACAAAGAGATAAAAAGAAGGCACAGGTTAGAAGAAGTTCTGAACAAAACAAAATACAATTATTGCTTATTATAAATATAAAAATTTGTTTCAATTCTATTGGATCAAACCATTAAATAATAATTTAGAAAATATATGTATTTTGGCATTACTATTTTTTATCAATACACTTTGTGTGCTGAAACTTAAAAAGTGAGGGGACTAAAAATATCACAGACAAAGACATTTGAAACAAAATATTTGATTTTTTCTTTGTAGGCCATTTCAAATAAATAGTTTTTGAGCATTAATTCTAATGACCCACAGTATTGTTTTAGGAAGAATTCAAAAAATTGCTTTTTACGATAATTGACATAAACGAGATTTGTATCAAGAGCTGCGGACAACAATTAATTATTTTCAGCTCTGGGGCACCTAAAACATAATCAGATTGTCAGTTTTTTAAATTCTACAGTTTCTATAATATTGTACCGGTAATGTTGTATAACATCCCTATCTAGAATAAATTATATTATTAAATATAGTTTTTTTAAATTTTTTAAGAGAATAACCCTGTAAAGTTTTTGGTTAATAAGTATGCATCGCCAAATAAGTATAGTAGAACCCCTGGTTATCCGGGATAACTGATAATTCGGATAATCCGAATACAAGACATGTCACTTTTATTTTTTCAAAAATCGTTCGTATACGTAATTTGATTGTGTAAGTGTTTGAAACATTTTCAGCACTAACTTAATCTTCTAGCGGAGGTGGGACCAACCCTTACCATTCCAAATGGAACAGGGGTTCGAGTGATACCTGTTTCAAAAGTGCGCTCAATTTTCTTTCAAATAGTAGAGAATTCAAAACTCTTTTGAGAGAGGTATCACTTGACTTCTTGTTTCATTTTAAATAGTGAGGGTTGGTCCTACCCCGCCTAGAGGGTTGAAGTTGATATGCCGAAAACTTCCCCCTTTGAAAATCAAATTATGTGTATGAGTGATTCTTAAAAAAATAAATGTAGCATCAGATATTTAGCCTGGTACACCCTGTATGAATGTACAGGCTATATTTTTATATATTGATACCCCACCTACAGGTAGATGAAAGGTGTAAATATAAAAGTTGTATAGTATTGGCTAAATTCTATGGTCAGAAATAAAAATTGAATGTTAGAAATGTGAAATTTTGCATGCTTTCAACTGCTTTTCAAATGGAATGCGCAATATTTGGTTCTATATTCTTGAAAAGCACAATTTCTCGATTCCAAAACTATATAATTTTTTCTGTATTTAGTTGAGCCGTCTCCAACATATTTAGTTTTAATAATACTATCAGAGAAACCCAATGACCTGAAACCAAATACCTCAAATTTTACCTATAGCTTTCACCTGTACAGGTGAAATGGTTCACATAATCAGTAGTCGGATAGTATTTTTACAATTTTTGGAGTCGAATATATGAGAGATTGCTCAATCAAATATAGATCGGGGCATTGTGCTCTTCAAGAATATAGAATTAAATATAGGGCATCCCATTTGAAAAAAACTGCAAGCATTACAAATAAGTGGATTATTGCGGAACTTATGGGTGGACCTCTGCGGGACGAGCGCAGCGAGTTCCGCAGCCATCTACTCACCAATATACTGTTGAACTGTTCAAGTAAGACATTCATCTGGAACGTGTGGTTTTTAAACTAATGAGAATAACTCACATTTGAGTGAGTCAGGTTAGTATTGTAATTAAGCAACATTGATGACTGCGGAACTCGCTGCGCTCGTCCCGCAGAGGTCCACCCATAAGTGCCGCAACAATCTACTCGTTTGTACTTGAATAACTTGTCACATTATATTTTTAGTTTGATAAAGTAACATTACTGGGTGACGGTCTGTTTCTGCAGAAATCACAAACCAGTCAGAGTGAATTTGATTGGTTGAAAACAGTCAGAAACAGTCAGGAAACTAGTTTCAACCAATGAAATTCACTGTGACTGGTTTGGGATTTCTGCAGAAACAGACCTAATAATTCCTGTTAAAAAGTAAATCGACAAAAAGTGGATAATCTAACAAATTCTGACTTTATATACAGGGTGTCCCACGGTGGATGGCGTATTAGACGTTTATGGAGAACTAAAAAGCGAATCATTTTGAAAATTTGGCAGCCGGGATAAACGACCATGATCTACACTTTAAAAATATTTTTGACCATGCGGTGTTGCCGCTTCTACTCTAAACTAGTGGCAACATCACTATTTTAAATGGAACACCCCGTATTTAATTGCATATTTGGATTCTACGTAAAATTCTGAGCAGATTTCATGTGATATACCCTATACCTAAGTTCAACTGTTTTGGAAATATTGACAGTTGAAAATTGACTTTTTGCAACTTTGACAGGCTGTAAAACCTAATCGGTTAATTTTAGAGGAAAACCGATTTCACATTCCTATCTTAGATTTTGATAAACTATCATTTAACACCAACTTTGAACTTAACCAGAGATTAAATTTAACTGAAATTTTTAATCATGGATTTAATTCTAAGTTGGTGTCAAATGATAGTTTATAAAAATCTAAGATAGGAATGTAAAATCGGTTTTCCTCTAAAATTAACCGTTTAGGTTCTACAGCCTGTCAAAGTTGCAAAAAGTCAATTTTCAACTGTCAATATTTCCAAAACAGTTGAGATTAGGTATAGGGTATATCACATGAAATCTGCTTAGAATTTTACGTAGAATCCAAATATGCAATTTAATACGGGGTGTTCTATTTAAAATAGTGATGTTGCCACTAGTTTAGAGTAGAAGCGACAACACCGCATGGTCAAAAATATTTTTAAAGTGTAGATATCATGGTCGTTTATCCCGGTTGCCAAATTTTCAAAATGATCCGCTTTTTAGTTCTCCATAAACGTCTAATACGCCATCCACCGTGGGACACCCTGTATAATAAGTTATTGTTCAAGTACAAATAAGTGGATTATTGCAGAACTTATGGGTGGACCTCTGCGGGACGAGCGCAGCGAGTTCCGCAGTCAACTACTCACCAATATACTGTTGAACTGTTCAAGTAAGACATTTATCTGAAACGTGTAGTTTTTCAACTAATGAGAATAACTCACATTTGAGTGAATCAGGTTAGTATCGTAATTACACAGCATATTAATGAATAGATGGCTGCGGAACTCGCTGTGCTCGTCCCGCAGAAGTTCACCCATAAGTTCTACAACAATCCACTCGTTTGTACTTGAATAATTTGTCACATTATATTACTAGTTTGGTAAAGTAATATTACTAATTCCTGTTGAAAGGCAAATTGACAAAAAGTGGATAATCTTACAAATTTTGACTTTATACAGGGTAGATAAACTGACACATTTTACAGGTGAATATCTCGAAAACGAGATGCGGTTTGTTCTGAAAAAAACAAGGATTTTTTAAAGTTTTTTTTTCATGGTATTAACGAATCCTGAAATTTGGTTTTACAGACATTCGATTTTTTGAAATAATAACATATTACCTTATTCTTGATGAAACACCCGTTATATTTTGTCATCGTCAGAAAGTGTGACTTTTCTACTTTACAAAAATGTAATATATTTTTTCTACGAGCGTGCGGAAAATTGCATTTTCCGCACTGTTTTAAGTGCAGAAAATCGATTTTTCCGCACGGTGCGGCAACATTTTTTCCACACTGATATGTCAAAATTTATAAAAACATGTACCTAATTATTTTTGACGCTAGTTAAATTTATAGCAGACGCTAGCTGATGATTGGTCAACGGCGGCAGCAGCGACAGCAGTTGTAGAGACGCTGGCTTTTACTCCTCAACAAGATGATGGCATTACATTTTAAATCCGACGGCACCCTTTATTGACATGAAATACATGGTTACTATTGTGTAACAGATATATTGCCATGTGTAACTAACCAGTTGTTTACGCCTTTTACGCCTTTACGCGTTCATTTATCATTGTCAAAAAGTCTCGTTCTTTTTAAAGTCATTTTGGTGATTTTAATCGATAAAAATGAGTTCAGACGACGGAACCAATAAAAATATCACTGATGGTGTTCCAGCAGGCATACTTCAAGCTGCAGAAAATGTGAAAAACGAGTTAGTACCCGATAAATCGAAAAAAAAGGTATGAAAAAGAATACGCAACCTTCCTCAAATGGTGCATGACTCACAAAAATACCAATTTTCAAAAAGAGGAAGTTTTTCTTGCTTACTTTTCTGAATTGTCAAGATCTTGCCAACCGTCCACACTATGGTCTAAATATTCAATGCTAAAATGCATGCTGAAGCTAAAGAAAAACGTCGACATTGGCATGCATTTCAAGCTTATTGCTTTCCTCAAGAAAAAAATGGTCGGCTTTCGACCGAAAAAATCAAAGATTTTGAGTATGGAAAACATTGCAAATTTTTTAAACAACTCGCCAGATAATATTTATCTCCTAATTAAAGTTGCAACAATTTTTGGTCTGGCTGGAGCATGCAGGAGGGAAGAGTTAACCAATCTGTTGTTCGAAAACGTAAAACTGGAAGAGTCACTAGTTTTGGTTGAAATAGCGGATAACAAAACACACACCAGCCAAAGCTTTGTAATAACCGAACAGAAAAATATATGCCTTGTAAGAAACTATGTTCTTCTTAGACCAAAGGACACTCCACACCAACGGTTTTTCGTCCAATATCGCAATGGAGAATGCACTATCCAGTGTGTTGGTATTAACATGTTTGGGAAAATGCCATCTGAAGTTGCCGCATATTTAGGACTTCAGAATCCAGAAGAGTTCACAGGCCACTGTTACCGCAGGTCCTCTGCAACTGCCCTGGCAGACGCTGGAGTCGGTATAACCAACCTAAAACGGCATGGAGGATGGCAATCTACAAAAGTCGCTGAAGGGTACTCGGCTGCTACACCGAACTCCGCTACGCGTCGTTCGGTGAACGGCAGACTCGTGCGGAAAAATTCATTTTCCGCACTTGTTAGGTAAATAGCTATTTTAATCATCATGAAATTGAATCGTAAAAATTGCACTTTGTTGAAGAGTGTACCATCAACTGGCCAAAAAAAAATGATAATAATAAATTAGTGATTTATATGCACTTATTTGTATTTATTACTTGTATTATTAGTTAACTATGCGCTAATTAGTTAATAAAAGCATTGAACACAAATTAATTCTCAATTTTTTTCTTGTTTTGTCGATGGTATTCTCTTCGACAAAGTGCAATTTTCACGATGCAAGTTCAAGATAATTGAAAAAAATATATACATTTTTGTAAAGTAGAAAAATCGGGCTTTCTGACGATGACAAAATATACAGAGTGTTTCATTAAAAATAAGGCAGTCATTTTATTTCAAAAAATCGCATGTCTGTAGAACCAAATTTCAGCAAATTTTAGGATTCGGCAATAATGTGAAAAAAAAACTTTAAAAAATCCTTATTCTCCCAGAACAAACCGCATCACCTTATCTTTTCCCGTTTTCGAAATATTTACCTGCAAAATGTGTCAGTTTATCTAAGGACACCCTGTATAATAAGTTATTGCTCAAGTAGGTACAAATAAGTGGATTATTGCGGAACTTATGGGTGGACAGCTATTCTATTCACCAATATACCTACTGTTGAACTGTTCAAATTAATGGTTTTCATTTCCATGATATACTTAATAAAACCAGAAAATGCAACTCGTACCACTGTGCAAACAGCTTCAATTTTGGATCATATAGCAACAAACAAAAACTTAAATTGTACATTATTTTTGGAGGATCACCCCATATCGGACTATAAAGTTATTTACGCAAAATTAACACAATTTATACACAAGAAAGGAGACTATCACAAAAAGACAGAATTGTGGAGAAACATTGTAAGAGAAAAAGTAGAGGGGGAAGATGTGAGGACTTTTGGAAAATTGGTGGAAATCATAGATAAGGCTACAAAGGAATGTATGTACAATAGCAGGAAAACAACTATTGAATAACATACGAATACTTGGAAAAAATCAAACTCAGGGACAAGCTAAATGTTCGGCATAAGAAAATACAAAATGAGTGGACAAAAAAAAGAATTCAACAAATTAAAAAACGAAGTAAATTACCTAAGGAAAAAACTACAAAAGGAGTATGCAGCAAAAAAATTTCATGACGCTCAGGGTGACACCAAAAAAACATGGGAAGTATTAAATAATTTATGTAGCAGAAATAGACAAAAACACAGGAATATAAATAAAATTTTAAACCAAGATGAAGAGGCGGTTGAAGAAGGAAATGAAATCACTGCTTTGTTCAACGAACACTTTGCAAGCATAGGGCAGAAACTAACTTCTAACATAAAGCACATAGCTTAATACAATTATGTAGAACAGGAGGTTTCCTCAAACCAACAAATTTGCCTGAAAAACGACTGTGCACCTGAATTGGACAACCTATTAAAAAGAGATTTTGTTTCACTATTTGATATCATTGGAAACAAAATTATGGATACAACTAACGAAATATTAGCAAGTGATATTTAAAAATTGCTAAAATGATACCGATCTACAAAAAAGGGGCTCAAGATGACTTGAACAATTACAAATCTCTCGACTCTCTGCTCAGTTCATTCTCAAAAATTGTAGAAAAAGTTATTGAAACCAGATTGAGTAATTTGATGATGAGAGTCAGTATGGTTTCCTTAAAAAGAGTAGAGAGAGTAGATCTTCTGGATTACATCTCGTGACAAATAGATAAAAACAACTATGTTGTTGTTATGTTCGTGAACCTTTTATTGAATAAACTCTGTAAAATGGGATGTCGTGGTGTGTGTTATGATCTTATGAAAAACTATTCAACAAATAGGAAGCAATGTACTTATTTACACAATCATAGGAGTTGTGAATTTGAATTTATGGGTGGACCTCTGCAGCCATCTACTCACCAATATACTGTTGAACTGTTCAAATAAGACATTCACAAGAAACGTGTAGTTTTTCAACTAATGAGAATAACTCACATTTGAGTGAATCAGGTTAGTGTCGTAATTACACAGCATATTAATGAATGGATGGCGCAGAAGTTCACCCATAAGTTCTACAACAATCCACTCGTTTGTACTTGAATAATTTGTCACATTATATTACTAGTTTGGTAAAGTAATATTATTAATTCCTGTTGAAAGGCAAATTGACAAAAAGTAGATAATCTTACAAATTCTGAAATTTATATGTTATTGTTCAAATACAAATAAGTGAATTGTTGCGGAATTTATGGGTGGATTTCTACCCACCATCTACTCACCAATATACTATTAAACTGTTCAACAAATAAGACACTCACCTAAAACACGTATTTTTTAAACTAATGAGAATAACTCACATTTGAGTGAGTCAGGTTAGTACCTATCGTAATTACATAACATATTAATGAATAGATGGCTCTGCCATCTACTCACCAATGTACTGTTGAACTGTCCAAGTAAGACCTGAAACGTGTAGTTTTTAAACTAATGAGAATAACTCACATTTGAGTGAGTCAGGTTAATATCGTAATTAAACAACATATTGATGAATAGATGGCTGCGGAACTCGCTGCGCTCGTCCCGCAGAGGTCCACCCACCAGTGCCGCAACAATCCACTCATTTGTACTTGAATAACTTGTCACATTATATTACTAGTGTGGTAAAGTAACATTACTAATTCCTGTTGAGAGGCAAATTGACAAAAAGTGGATAATCTTATAAATTCTGACTTTATATAATAAGTTATTATTTAAGTACAGGATGTTTTTTTTTATGTATTGACACCCCACCTATAGCCTTTACCTTTACAAGTAGATGAAAAATGTAAATACAAAAGTTGTACAGTATTGGCTAAATTTTTAAAATCCATGGTCAGAAATGTAAAATGTGACATGCTTTCAGCTTTTTTCAAACGGGATGCCCTATATTTGGTTCTATATTCTTGAAGAGCACAATTTGCCGATTCCAAAACTATATAGTTTGTCTGTATTTGGTTGGTTGTGCCGTCTCCAACATATTTGGTTCTAAAAATTTAAAAAATACTATCAGAGAAACCAAGTACCTCATCTTTAGACTGGCTCGGTTAATCCAGAGCTCGGATAATTGCGACTCGGATAATCGAGGTTCTACTGTACTTGTATTGTTCAGCGAGGCCTTAGTTAAAATTTAAAAAAAAAAATACAAGAGTAATTTACTCTACATTTTTCTCTATCTAATAGGTTACAAGATTTTTTTTTTGTTTTTTTTTTCTTGGAGAATCAAAAATCAACAATTTTTAAAAATATACACTACAGATTTTGTGTTCTGCCAACAGAAATTGATTCAGGAACCTTATTTTGTAACATTTTTTTTTTGAAAAATATCCCTAATAATTACATATTTAAATTTACACAATTCCTAGTTATAGATATGTAGCAACAGAACAGACACCACTAACCTTTTTTTTTTGAATTTTAAATACTAATACACCTAACAAGGACTAATATCCTTTAAATCCTCACTGGCCGAAAACAAATGTTCCTCGCTACTATGTTTCGTATCAAATATATCATACCGATCGAATTGTTTAAAATTATCATCTAAATTCCTTCGTTCCGTTATTATTCGTTGCACACTCTCTTGACTGTCGTGCCTACTACCAGGAAGTTTTAAACTATTACTATTATCACTACTAGTCACTTTGAAAAACGGAGTTTCCTCGTAGACCTCCATTGAAACTTGTTTTTGAAACAAATGTTTCGTGCTGCCGGAAAGTTTTTTGTTCACTGACAACCGATGCACGTCCAATGTTTCGTTGATTTTTTTCTCTTCGATTTTTGGCACTTTTAATAACTGCACTGGAACAGGAGGAGGATACGTTAAAATCTCATCCAAATTAATCCTAGTAATTTCCCTTTTAGGACTTGTAGATTCTTCTTGGATACTGTAAATGTCTGAAATTGAATCGTCGATGTTTTTCATGTCTTCCATGTTGGAAATCATGATCGGTAAGTGGCCGTGCATTGTTTGACGGCGACTTTGAGACGGTTGACGTTCCAGGGTGACTTTGGTACCGCCCGGAGGGTTGAAAACGAAGTTCGATGGCAGGGAGAGTACCTTGAACAAAACACAGATATGTTTTTTTATATATTTGGGTTTGAATTTGAGTTAACTATGTACACAGGTTGCCAATAATTGATGCCTATGCTTAGCAGATAGGTAAAAGTTCAGGTAAAGTCAAGTAAAGATTTTTCAAGAAGGTTGGCATAGTTGAGGAATTGTAAGCAACTTATTTTTTGTCAAGGCTAAAGCACATTAAAAGCTTTAAGTTCTAAAGCAAAGATGAGTAGTAATTTTTACTTCTTAGGGTGCGTGAGTATAAGGATCTCAGTAACCAGGGTTAAATTGACGTTTATGTTTTTGGACCACCTTTTCTCAACCTTGTCAGAAAAAAATTAGATGTTATTTTTGGATTTTCATCAAAAAATGCCGGTGTAAATCCAGTAATTTCGATTGAATTAAAACTTGAATAAGGTGGCAACCGCAACAAGACTGGGTTGCATTCTTTTGTGGAAAAACGGTACCTAAACGTAGTGCGGTTTGTTTTAGTTGGAATAAAGACTTTCTGAAAAAATATTTTAAAAATAGGTAGCTGAAGCACACTCAAAATGATTTGACAATGAGAAGTCTCTATCTGCAAGTTGCTTATAAGTACCAAAGTCAGTCCTAACAAAAACTGCCACACTACTAGCATGTGACGAGTCTCTGCAGAAGTAGGTAGCTATTTCATAGTTGTTAAGCTTACAACATGTAGCTTCTGTACTTGTCATCCAGGTTTCAGTGATGCACACAATTTCAGGGTAACCCTCAGAATGCAAGAAAAGTTCCAGTTCCGAAGACTTAAGTCGTGTGCTCCTGGCATTAAGGTTGACAATTCTTATTCAATTTCTAACTCTGCCTGAATAACCGTTCTTCGCGGCATTATACGTACTGGATTTGGATTCCTGGTCTTGGGCACGAAAAATTGACAGCTATACCTTCTGGCCAGCTATAAGACTAAAACAAAGTTGCCTCCAGTTCTTTAGATGCCATGACTTTAAAAGCTTTGTATTCTCCGGATTTCAGCTCTGAATGTTCTGTCCAAAATTGGTTTTCAGATACTCCATAGATTGACTAGTGTCAAGTGAAACCCTTGAGACAGAAATTGTAGTCAGAGGTGTGGATGCCACCAGTTGTTGACTGGCAGGCAAAGACAACCAAGTGCGTTTGGAAAAATTGACTACTGACAGAAATCAACGTTACGGCCTATCCAAAGACTGTAAGATTTGGAATGTGTACCCCATGAAGCCCTTAGAAAACATTACTCTGATTTCGGTGTGGTTAATGATTCGAAATCAGAATGTCACGATGTTGAAGACTGTCGTCCTGGAATCTCAGCGACTTGTGAATATAGTTCGGGTAGTACGGAAGTGAAAAATAATGTATTTGTTTCGTCAGTAAAGAAAGATAATGTTACTCACACTGGTCATATTATTCACAAACCTAGGAGTGCGTTCGAAATCACCCTGGGGCGTCACACAGAGTGCACACCAGCCATGCATTTTTCATGGCTGGTGTGGACTCGGTGTGACGCCCAGAGTGATTTCGAACGCACTCCTGAAGATTTTTGTAGATTCTTAATTTAGCTTTTGTTGGATGTTACCATAGGCGCCGGAACTATGAGGGCAATAGGGACAATGGGGGTTTGAGCCCCCGTAGTGAATTGGCTATGGGGGCGGAGCCCCCATAGTGATTTTGATATTATCGGTATCCTATCTCAAACTACTTATCTATGGTTCTTTTATATACCCTAGCCTTTTTTGACTAGTTGAAAAGAGGCACCCTGTATATTATAAGTAACGTTCTACTATAAATTCTCATCAAAATTTGTTGAAATGTCCGCATCCCCCCTTGCCACCACCATTAGAAATCCCAAAAATACCGTAATAGACCCAAAAACTTCGGGCTTGCGGCGCTTTGTCTCCGGCAGCGCTTGCGGCGGAGCTGCAAGGATCACTTTCTGCAAATTTGCCCCCTCCCCTCAAGACAAAATCCTGGCTACGCCAATGGTGCTGGTCCCATTTAAGCCTATGTGTCTAGTAGCCTAGTCTTCTATGTATAATTAATTCTATTTCTGTCAATTTTTGGAGCGCGAGCCTCCATAGAAATTTTGAAATTCCAGCGCCTATGGATGTTACTGATATGAATCTTGTATTTTTTGATTGAAACTTATAGTAGGTACCATATTGACTGAGGTATTGAAATGAGACACTGTAATAAAAAATGTCTGTTGTCTCTCAGGTGGGAGAATGTCGGATTCCGTTGTTACGATCCTTGTTTTTTTTTTCTGTATGCGTCAGTAGTACCTACGACTTTTTTAATTGACAGTTTTCACTCCATCAATCATAATTGCCGAGATCCTCATACTTACTTCCGAATTTCTAACACCCTGTATGTACATTATTAATTCAATAAGCATTATGTTTAATGGGACTTGAGACAAATAACCTCATCAAGACAGAGTCGGGATGCACACAACTATAGGTTAACATTTTTATATTGGAATTAAAACTTCTGAAAAATACGTTGCAAACTCCTCAAGAATCTTTTGCAAACTTTAGAATCTACATGAGTTCTGACTCGTGACTGTGAGGTCTCTTCTTACAGAAATCTCAAACCAGTCAGAACTAATTTAATTGGTTAAAAATAGTTAGAAAACTGGTTGTTGGTGATTTCCACCAATCAAAAACGTTCTGACTGGTTCGTGATTTCTGTGACAACAGACCTTTTATGATTCAAAGAATTATAACGGTAAAATTTTGGAAAATGTATGGCTTATGAGCCCTCTCATCAAATATCCAAGGAATATTCAAAAAATTAATAGTTCAGTTGGGATAATATCCAGAATATTCCAGAGATGGGATATTCAATTTTGAATTTGTCGTAAAGTGGTTTTGTGCGCCCTCTCTTATCTGATCAGTGATCAGTTTCCTCAAGCCTCTAGTCCATCCTCATTCAAATCTCTGAGCTTTTGTAGCTCAACAATAAAATCTACAAGAATGAATGAATTTACAAAAACTTATTAGAAAAAAAACTACCTACAGTAGTAGATTATTTCACAAGTTTCATCTACAACACACTTTTCTAAGTTGGTCAAAAAATAAAAAGCTCTAACAAGAAGTAGCCTAAAGGAATCATCGTCCTACCTGAATCCAAATATAGTAGGGGCATTAAAAACGGAAAATCAATTCACAAATTAAACATAACAAACCTCTACCCGGGAAAATTTTTGTGTTTGAATGTTTAATACATTGATTCCAGACTTACTTTGTGCAATTTTCTCTGTTTCTCTGGATGACATTCTTGAGCGTCCAATTGCAACGCCAAGCACAACTCCCTGCGCTCATTTTGCTCTTGCTTTTCCTGAAACTCCCGTTCCAACTGAATGTCCATGTCTTGTTCGTCTTCCAAATGTTTGTGCGATTCTTCCAAATGTTTCATCAAAACCGCTACTACAACATTGACCAGCACAAACTGAGCCATCAGCACGAAAATAACGAAAAATATCGGCGCAATTATCGGCGAAATGCAACAATTCTTAATGCAATCATCCCTTTCATCACAATTCTCGTTGTACAACGTATCCTTCATAATACCGTTCCAATTGTCCCCAGTCGCTACTCGGAACAACGTCAAGAAGGCCATGCCGAAATTTTCGAAATGGGCGTGCTCTCCTAAACCTTGACAAGGGGTGACTTTGCAATCTAGCCGGCCAAATAGTTCGACCCCCAGGGCGGCGAAAATGAAAAAGAGAAGGAAAAAGAGCAGCCCCAGGTTGCCGACTTGCGGCAGGGCCTGCATGACCGTGTCTAGAAGTGCACGGATACCCTTCGCCATTTTTAGGAGCTTGAGGACGCGTGCTATACGCATCACTCGTAATACCTGCAACAATAAGAATTATTAGTGTTTATCAACTAGTGGTCAAATACGAAGTAGTCTCCCAATCTGTAGGTACTTTGTTATGTATGTAATGCGATACTGGAAAATTTGTGAATAGATTTAGGATCCATCAATATATTTCAAACTATTTCTATTTAAATTTTTTTTTTTTTTTTATCCGATACCAGAGTCGCTTGCCAGTGAGTTCAGTGACGCATTTTACGCACTCCAGAGCTGTTCTAGAGCGCTCCGGGCTGTTTATAGGCGTTCCAGTGTATCAGAGTTTCGCGCAACTGAACTTTTTTTTTCGGGATAAAAAATTGTCGTAGGCAATTCCACGAATGCATAATCAAAATAAAATATGGAAATATTTACTTTTTAAAATGAACAGTTATTGAAGGTACAATTAGAATAAATATTTTGCCCCTTAAAATTTGACTCTACAGAAAGAGAAGAAGACTGTGTTCTCAGGAATTGAATTTTCTATTTCGCTATTAATTCATCTTTAATTGTCCCAAATCGCTGCATGTTGAAAATATTTTTAATTTTATTTAAAAATACACTTTTAATAAGCTAAAATGATAGAACTTGTGAATTTTTGTGACAATTATTTGACAGATGATTCAAAAATCAATTTTATATGCAATTGTTACTATGGTAACGATTGCATCAACAGAAAAAATATCCGATTTTTTTATCCAGTTATATTTTCTCTTCCTTCCTATTTATCCGCTTACAAACTACGATTTTTGACATTTCAAATGGGATTATTTATACATGAGTGGAATTGCCTATAGCACTCCCCTCTTTAGCCGAATTCGATTAACCGGATTAGATCGATCTGGTTCAATTTAAATGAACCACACTGTGTTCGATTGAGGCTGGATCAGTACACCCTCATCAACAAAAAAATAATCTAGATCAGAAGAAGTTCACTTAAATTGAACCCAAATCGATCTAATCTGGGTCAATTGAATTCAGCTTATATAGAGATACGTGGTATTAAATTCAAGATCGGTCCAGCCGTTCTCGCATTCAAAAAAAAAAAAAAAAGTTACGTCGGTTGAATGGCAAGCCTAAATAAATGAAATATGGCAACGTCGTTTCATGCTGTCAAAAAAAAGTTGGGTTATGTTGTTATGTAATGTGAATGAGTTTGTTTACAATTAAATTAATAATTAATTCAAAATTAATTTATTTTTCCGAGATGCGTAACCTATCCACAAACCTTCCTTGGGATGGACATAAGAACCTACCAAAGTTTCATCGTAATCGGATAAGTGGTTTTGGAGCGCATATCCGGATACCCCGCGAACATTGATTTTTATATTCCTGTTAAATAACTATCTTAGCTTTTTAAATGTGAAAATCCATCTACAAGTTTTCTTAAATTTTTAAGAGAGTATTTACATTAAGATTGATTAAAGTTTTCAGACAACTGTCTTGCAACAGAGTCGAAATTTACTAGTAGACGATTATCATAATAGTACGGGATACAAGGCCTATTTCATCAAATCATTTTACACCGTCTTGCATTGTTATCATCAGTTAGATAACATGATGCTGAAACGCACCTGTACGGGGAAATAGATGGGAGTGGGGGATTTCGCTGAAAAAAAATTTCCAGAAAATGTCGTCATAAACAGGGAAAATATATAATTATACACCGTCTTGCATTTATTTATTGAGTTAATTTGTACACAAACAAAATTGGATCAACACATGCAAGACGTTTTCATGGAGGTTTTGGGGTTGTTATATTGGATAGAAATTGTCAATTTTTCAGAGGGGTGAAATATCATTTCACACCACTTCATTATTGATTTAGATTAAAGCTTGAATGTAGAATAGCCACTGGATACTAATGCAAGACGTCCTGTGGAGGGATAACGGACTGCAAGACGGAGGTCAATGTGTTGTCTTATGAAGGAGTGAGAAATCATTTTACACCGTCTTGCACTGATACTAATGGGAAAAACAGAACACATTGATAACATTTTAAAAAATACAAGACGTTCTAAATGGAAAGAAAGGACTGCAAGACGGTGATGAAGTTGACTAATTTTGACGGGGGTAAATCCATCAGGTACAAATGTGAATACTACTCCAAATTACAAATTACGCACAATAATTTTAGATATTTTTGCTTTTACCTCGTAGAATAATTCTATTTTGCAAAATTCTCTTAATATGTATATTTGAATGACTCTACGGACATCAAAAAAAAAAGGTTGAAAATTGTTCTTTTTCTGACAGCTTATAATCATTTTATTTATTTTTTGAGGTGGATATGTCATAACACCTAACGGATTGTAAGTAGGTATTAGGTAAATTTGAGAAATTTGATTTTAAAGCAGCAAAAAAATGATCTGCCTGGAATTGTAAACAGAAATTATAATTCCTGTATTCAGCAGACTCCCCTGTTGAGCTGCTATGTCAACAGTCCTTTTCCATCTGTATGATTTAGAAAAGAATGAACAGTGAACGGTTCAGTAAATAACTCAAAAGTTCAGTAAAAAAAGAAAACGGATTTATTAACTTTTTTCCCCGAAAAAACGTCTTGGACTGATGTATTACCATTTTTTAACATATATTCTTCCGGCGGACATAAGCATGAAGTGGTGTAAAATAAATTTTCACTCCCTCATGAGACAACGCATTGACATCCGTCTTGCAGCCCGTTATCCCTCCACAGGACGTCTTGTATCAGTATCCAGTAGCTATTCTACATTCAAGCTTTAATCTAAATCAACAATGGAGTAGTGTAAAATGATTTTCCACCCCTCTCACAAATTGACAATTTCCATCTTCTATTGCAACCCTAAAACCCCCATAAAAACGTCTTGCATTTGGTAATTCAATTTTGTTTGTGTACAAACTGACTCAATAAATAAATGCAAGACGGTGTATAATTATATATTTTCCTAATTTATGACGACATTTTCTGAAACATTTTTTTCAGCGAAATCCCCCACTCCCATCTATTTCCCTGCACAAGTGCGTTTCAGTACCATTTTATCTAACTGATGATAACAATGCAAGATGGTGTAAAATGATTTGATGAAATAGGCCTCGTATCCCGTACTATAAATTGCTGAGAAAATATCAAGATTTATTAGATAAAAATGTCTTGACCTCGGTCCTAATCTACCATTTACACTTTCTCAAGTCAAAATTCAGCAAACTTATCAGACGAAAGTGTTTTACAGATAATGTCTGAATTTACTAGACGATTGTCTTAAACTACTAAGAAAGTACATAGGTACATGTCCCAAACGAAATGTCTTATGCCCGATTGCACCGTCTTTCTTAAACGAGGCTTAAAGATAACTATTCCTTAAAGTGACATTTTCCCATGCAAAACTGTCAATTTAAGGGATAGTTATCGTTAAGCCTCAGTTAAGAGAGACGGTGCAATCGGGCATTAGATGTCTAGACCTGTGGCTTAACTTAATAACAGTGTTGCAAGAGGTGGTACAATTGTACCAGGTTTGGTACCATTTGTTTTGAAAAAGTACGCTGGTACGACGTATATTTGGTACAATTTTCAATTTTTTTATTTTTTTCAAATTCTCAAAGAGTCTTAGACTACTGTCTACTTAGGACGGGTATTATAAAACTTCTTTGAGAGTTAACTTAAAGTTAACTTCTGGAATTACATGTAATTCAAAAAGTTAACTTCAAGTTAACTGTCAAAGCAGTTTTATAATACCCGCCCTTAGTCTAATGTCAATGTTCTAATTAACTTGTATTTCTGTATCCAAATTCGATATAACAATAATTTTTTATTCGTAAATAGATGGCGTCACCAATGTAACACTCGTTTTGTGGTTTTTGGTTGACGTAGTTTGTGTTTAGTTTAGGTTTTCGGCAGAAAATAAAGAAAACTCAAAGCCTGTTACTTTAAATCGATTTTCCTGATCGGAAAAGCGGAAAATCTAAAGAAAAACCATTGAAAAATGACATTCCAAAGCCTACTTGATGAAACTTAAGTTTTTGTTACTTACCCCGTTGAAAAAATCGAAATTTGTGATACAAAATGAAGGAAACTCAAAGCCTCGTACTTTAAATCGATTTTCCCGATCAAAAACAGCCCGGAAAAGTGGAAAATTCGAGGAAAAGTGGAAAATTCGAGGAAAAACTGGATAAAAATGTAAACACGTCAAATGAAAATGGCCGACTGTCAAAAATGACAAATGATATTTGTTATAAGGCCTCCTTGATATTGAAGTTAGCGACAAGCGGTATTGCCACATCAAAAACATTTTAAATGCTATTTTGTTAATTATGGCATTTAAAAGTGGAAATTTTGCTAGAAAATGAAGAAAACTCAAAGCCTCGTATGTTAAATCGCTTTTTTCCATTAAAAATCCCCGGAAAAGTCGAGAATTCGAGGAAAAACGCAAAAAATCACAAGAAGTCACTTCAAAATGGCCGACTAAAAACAACATTGCCACATTACATCTCGGAAAACAAAAATAACATTTTAAATGATTTTTTTGTTTAAAATTCAATTAAAAATCGTCAAATACTTAATAAATAATAATTATAATTATTAAAATTCCCTAGATAAAGCATCGGAAACTTGTTTTTAATTTAATTTCAATGAAAATGACATTACAAGGTTTATTTATTGATTATAGTGAGTAAGACAAAGACAACGATAAAGTAGTATTTGTTTGCAAAAACCACCTTTTTCTGAAAAAAATCAAAATCTTAAGAAAACCCAATAGAAAACCAACATTCGAAAGTCAACTTGATAAAATTAAAGTTTTTGAACATTTCCGGCTCTATGATTGAGCGCTAAAAATCGCATTTTGAATATTCCCGGTTTTTGATTGGCTTAAACTGGGCCCCGTGACTGAAATAACTCCGGCCCTTCGGGCTCGCATATAATTAATAATTTTCCCGCTCGAAGCCGGCCTAGAAAAGAAGAAAATTCGAGGAGAAACTCGATAAAAACAATCGAAAATGGCCGACTGTCTAAAATGCCAAATGACATTACATTACAAGACCTACTTGATCAAAAGCGACGTTGCCATAATTACAATCTCAAACATAATGTTTTTCCAGATTTTAGTGAGTAAAACAAAGAAGAAGATAAGGTAGGATGCTTTAGTAAAAAACCATAAGCGATTATAAATGAGTAAGATAAAGAGCGAGATAAAGTAGGAAACAATTTAAATTTTCAGTTGGTCCCAGCCAAACTATCATCAGAGTAAATTTTCGATTGTTCTCGGTTCAAACACTTGGAATAATTACTCAATTTTTTTTTGACAACTGACAAGCCTACAGACAATATTATGACTTTTGACAATTATTGACGAGTTCATTTTCAGGACCACCTATGATTGTTATGACTTTTTTTGTCAATTGCGTCAGATTGAGGTCTACAACAGCAACGTTGCCACATTTTAATGGTAATTTTGGAGTATTTGTAATTGTAAATGTAAAACGTTAACAAGTGGCAATTGACAACAAGAAACGAATGTCATGGCGTTTTTTTTTTAAATCATGAGCCCGAAGGGCGAGAGTGTTTTTAATCTTGAGCCCACAGGGCAACAAAGAAACGCCATTTTGTATCGAGTTTTAAAGAAAACAAGACCTACTTTGAAACGTCAATTTTTTAACGTTTGCTGTATCATAAGCAATATTGCTATATGTTTTTTTCAAATCTCCAGCCTGAATGGCCGGTGTTGTTTTATTTACGTTACGAATCCGAAGGGCCGAGGTTATACAAGCCCCAAGGGCCGGAGTTATATGAGTCCGTTCAGTGTCAACTAATTTTAATACCTATTTTGAATATTACAAGTCTGTGATGCCCTTAGATGTTCTGAGCTGCACGCGCGCTACACTGAAGGAATCAGCGTGTCCTCCCTGGCCGAGTGGCCGGATAACCCGCTCTGGTACAATTTTTCTTTAATTTTGGTACAAAAAATTTTTGCTCTCTGGCAACACTGCTTGTTAAACTACTATTTTAGTTTAGATTAGAATGAGAATCTATACAATTTTGAATCTGTATGAGTCATGAATCAATGTCAAACAATCAAAAGCTTGACTACAGATTCTCGTAACTTACAAATTAGATGAATATATAGTCTGTTAGGTTAACGAATAATGAATAAAGGAAATACTTACCCTAATAATCGTTGGATTAATAGGAATAATCTTCATCTCATTCTCCTTCATTTCCTCAATAATAATCCCAAACACAGACAAAATAACAATGACAACATCCAAAATATTCCACTTGTCTTTGATATACATCCTGAATCCGAGAGCAATCAATTTCATTATACTCTCTAATATGAACACCGCAGTGAAAAAATAATTAAAAATCCGCAAAAGATATTCCCAAATGGGTGGCATTCGATAGCTTTCAGTTGCCATCGTCACAACGTTTAAGCCTATAACTGCCGCTATGGCTAAGTCAAAATACTTAGAAGTGACTATTTTGTGAATAAACAGCCTCCACGGTGGATAGTTTATGTAATAAGGCGGCTCTTTCATTTCTAAAACAAATTACATAAAATACCCAATAAGTTTGTTTAATAATCCATTACTTCTTCTACGTTTTTCTAATTGCAAAGCTCTTTTAGCTGCCCGTCTAATGCGTTCTTCTTTTTCCTGTTCCTCTCTGCACCTGTGGAAGTTTTCCACTACAACTCCAACGAACATGTTCAACACAAAAAATCCCACCAACAAAATAAACGAAATGAAATAAAGCAATCGCCATTCGTTGAAGTTGGTTACAGGCTGTTTGTCCACCCCAACAGCATCTAAACCAGTATACATTATATTGACCCAACCATCTCGGCTGCTAAGTACAAAAAGTGACATCAAAGCTTGCACTAAATCATCAAAATTGTATTTTTCGTTTTTCCAATCGTAGCCGTGCTGCAGGCAATCGTCCTTGGTCATTATCATTGTCAAATTTTCCCCGATGCAATGGTAAAAGGTGCCTTTGAACAGTTGCACCCCCAAAATCCCGAAAATAATAAAAAACGTGCAACAAATCAGCACTATGTTGCCGATAGGTCGCAACGAAGACAACAACGTTTGTACTACGAGTTTTAATCCAGGTGCTCTGTTGATTACCCTCAAGGGACGTAATGATCTTAAGAGACGAAACACCTGCATAAAATCAGAATTAGTTTATGATGTTAGTTTTGATGTTAAAATATTTACCCTAAGGATGCCGAAAATCCGAGATGTCGTGTCGTTGATGAGGAACATTAGGATGTCAACTATTGAAATGATTACCAATGAACCGTCCATGATGTTCCAGCCAGAAGTGAAGTAGGCATTTGGGCCGTAGCACATACCACTGGAAACGACCTGGAATAATCAAATGATTTAGATGCAAAGATTTACAATGAAAATGTTTTATTATTATTATATTGTTGGTATAATTCACTAATGATCTAGTCCATTCGGCCAGTCTGTTGACTGAAGATGCATTTACAGTGTCCCAACTGAGTCGATTCCAATAATTGTGAACTACTCTACCTATGCAGTCTTTGTTGGAAGGTCACAATGAGCTGAAGGAATTTTTGTTGCTCTACGTTGGACTTTTTCAAGTCCTTGCTTTGAGGCTTATGTAGGATGTGGGATTTTTAAATGTCTTGGAAATCGGGTACACGATGGAGTTTATGATGCCACTGATATAGTTTTCCCACTTCATGTTGTCAAATTAAACATTTTGTAGGTAGGTAATGCTTTTCTTGACATCTCAATATTTGATAGAAATTTGTATTGTCAGGATTTTTGAAATTGTGTTGTTAAAATTATATAACGCACTATGTTGACATAGATTATAGAGTATTTATTTCTGAAGAAGAAAATTTATTTAAAGAACCAATAAATAAACATGAAATTACAATACATATTTCCAATGAAAACAATTCCCTAATCATTTTGTCCAGCAAATCTAATGAAGTATTGTATCCTGTTTTTGTCCAGGGACCGAGTTCTCGTCTAAGGGAGTAGAGCTCGCCGATAGAACGGATGTTTTATCCTTGTTAACGAAATCGAAAAGTAAATGAAAATGACAAGGACGAAAAATTTTTCTACTCTCTGGCCGAGAATCGGCCTCCGGTGGCAATTGCCCTGAAAAGGACTTTTGTCGGATATTTTAATTTAATGTAAAGTACTCCCCTAGGACACCAACCTCCAATTCGAGGATTGATGCAGGTTTCCCTTACGACGAACTGAGTTTTCCGAAAACCTTATTTCGCGACTGGGGGATTTAAACGTTGGCTCTCTCGTTTCTTTCTTCGTACCCGAATGCAGCTCGCACCAACAACACTCGTGGGGCTCATCCACTGACCACTTTAAGTGATCCCGATAGTGAGGGGACCCACGCAAAGCGTTGTCAGCCTAATACGCGCTCCAAGTGCAGAGTAAGAAAGTCACCAAATGTCAAACAAAATGAGGGGAGAGCTCTTCGTTTTCTCTGGCGTAGAGAACAGGGGCAGACAGGTGAGATGATGTCTTGATCTTCGTCCGTAAAGAACTAACTCAGGTGAAGAATTGAACACTTGGAGTTATTTAGTGGCATTTGCCAGGTGGTTGTCCACTGTCTGATGACCCAAACTTGGCTGAGATTCCATAACGAATAGAAATATTTTCGCTATCTCTATTGGCGTCCCCTCTCTATTGATTTAGAAAAGAGAAAATAAGACAGCAGGTGTTATAGCGATAGGGATAACGAAAATTTGTGCGTCGAATCCAAAATTCGTATACTGAGTGGTTTCGAAACCGTTCATCGAATAACGATCTCTATCCGTTACAGAGTTTCAACCTTGACTCCTCATTCCATTTGGCAGTTCATTAATATACACCGTGATTTTCGTAGCCTGTGCATTACAACTTCTTCAGTTTGCAGGTGGATTAGTAGAAATAGCATAAAATCGTAAAAATCACCCTGTATACAAGGAAGAATAAAAAGCCAAGGACTGACCACTAAAAACTTCACAGGAATTTGACTTCATGGACCCTATCCTGACATAGAACTATCGATCTTGCAGAAAATGTTGGATAAGGTTAAGTAGAAGACGTCCTCTTATACCATAGTGATACAGTTTATGGAGACGTCGTCTCAATGGTACCTTTTCCAAGGTCTTTTCAAAATCCAAGTGAAATACATCAACAAAGTGGCTAGAATCATCTAACCGTATTTTTTAGTCATGAACCTTAATAAGCATGTTCGTGAAAGTGGAATAACATAAGCATCAAAGGTCAAAGAAAGTTCTAGAACTTTTGGAAAATTTCTAAGCTTGGTGCTTTTCCTATTGGCTTTCCCTTACTTTTTTTGTTTTCCAATGTTTGAAATTATTAGATATAACTAAGGTTAATTTCATGAAAGTTTGTCGCTCTATGGTTTGTCGTAAATTGATTCATATAAGTTTTTGAATAATTGTCATCTGATTATAAAATTTTGTATATTTTCCTATGAATCTCCATTCGTAAGTCGAACGAGTGTACCTACCTACACCACTGGTATTTTACATTGAATTTGGCTCCAAACAGAAGCCATATGTTTGTAGAGAACTCAATTAGCTTCATTTCAAGCCACATTTTATCAAGATCGATTGAAAAATACAACAGTTATGACGAAAAATACGAATTTATGTCAAAATTTTGAAGAAAAAAAAAACGACATTTTATTGGATTTTGACACTTGACATTTGACAGTTGATTGAAATCGAAGAAAAAAATTAAAATCTATCGTTATTTATTTGTTTGGCCAAGGTTTTTAAATTCACCATTTGCTTATTGTGCATTTGTCTTGATGAGTAACCTCTCCTTGTTTTGCTGGTGTTAAATGACAAGGACAGTATTACATTGGTGAAAATGCGCATATGTCATTGATGATTTGTCATTTATTTATTGCTTATTTGATTTTCATTATTGATGTGGCAACACGGAAAAATTGCGCAAGTGAGCTTTGGACTTTTTTTTTGTCAGTTGGCACTGTCATGGCGTCTTTTGATGGTTTTTGGGGCCACGTCTCGTTTTTTTTGCAAAATTTCGGGGTTTTTTGAAATAATTAAGGGCTAAAAAGTGTTCTGAAGTGTTTATTGAAGTGTTTTGCATCGGAAATATACAAAATCCCAGGCCGGGCCATCGATTTTAATTGGAAACTGGTAAGTTACAAAATTGATTGTAAATTTTTTTTTAATTGTTTTTTTTTTGTTGGTATTTTATATTGGATTTGGGGCCAAAAAGAAGCCATATGTTTGTAGGGAAGTCAATTAGCTTCATTTTGAGCCAAATTTCATCAAGATCAGTTGAAAAATAAAAAAGCTATGACGAAAAACAGAAATTCATGTCAAAATTTTGAAGAAAAAAAACATTTTATTGAATTTTTGACACCTGATTGAAATTGAAGAAAACAAATTAAAATCTATCGTTATTTATTTGTTTGGTCAAGGTTTTAAATTCACCATTTGCTTATGCGCATTTCTCTTGATGAGTAACCGAAGGTTCCTAAAATTAAGTTGCCTGGTAATGGGTAATTTGATGACGCGTCTGGGGTGCCTTATGGAGATTTGCATTATGTTGAGGCACCCCAGATGACGTCATAAAGTTATCAGGCAACCTACCTCTCTCAAACAACCTTGGAGTAACCTATCCTTGTTTTGCTGGTGTCAAATGACAAGAACAGCATTACATCGGTGAAAATGCGCCTACGTCATTGATGATTTCAAAAATTTGCCATTTATTCATTGCTAATTTGATTTTCATTATTGTATCAAAATATTGATGTGGCAACACTGAAAAATTGCGCAAGTAGGCTTTGGATTTTTTTTTCTAGTCAGTTGGTACTGTCATGGCGTGTTTTGATGCTTTTTGGGGCCCAAGTCCCGGGTTTTTTTGCAAAGTTCGGGGATTTCCGGACTAATTAAGACCTAAAAAGTATCCTAAAGTGTTTATTGGAAAATTTCACATCGAAAATACACAAAATTCCAGGCCAGACCATTGATTTTGATTGAAAACTGGTAAGTTACAAAATTGATTGTAATTTTTTGAGTATTTTTTTTCTTTCGCATTTTACATTGGATTTGGGGACAAACAGAAGCCATATGTTTGTAGACAATTCAATTACCTTAATTTTGAGCCAAATTTCGTCGCTCGTGAATCAACATTTTCCACTCACACAGGTAAAGTATCTTTTAACCGTCTTGTATAATAAAATAACTATTAATTTTATTTGCAACCATATATGACGTAATCTCGACATTACTGACTTTTTAAAAAATTGAAAGTGACACTTTACCTGTGTCACTTCCCTCTTCAATTTCCCTCACCGATTTCCCTATTCGACTTCCCTCACCGATTTCCCTTACTCTAATTTATTTACCTTTACTGGCAACACTGAGAACATGTCAGGTAAAAACGTCAAAGCAGTGAATGACACATTTTGGCATGTTTGTTTTATTTTTTTAATATTAAAAAAATTGATTGACTAATCATAATTAATTGTGTGCTTGCAAATAAAATAGTATACAAACCTCGGAGGAAAGTTTCCATTTCTGTCTCGAGATTAATAGTCAAGTCTCGATTGACTATATAAATCTCTCGACAGTAATGAAACACTTCCCTACTCGGTATGTAATATACTATAATTGAATGAAGTTTTATTTATCCAATAAACCAAAAACTATCACATCGAATCCTAGCTTGTAGGGTACCATTGAAAAGCATTTTTAAGAGCTTTCAGATAAGGTATCACAAGTAGGAAGTTACTATTTAGAATTATTAAGTTAGGGTGGCTGGGGTTGAGGGGGTAAGCGAAAGCAGGTTGGTTATTACATCATTTTGCTTTCCCTTCCCTATTATAGAAATTGTTTTCAGAGATTTTTTTTTTTTGTTACCTAGATATAGTCATTGTAAGTTTTCAAATTGACATCCTGTATACAAGGAAGAGTCGAAGGGTTAAATACTTCATAGGAATTTGACTGTAGTTCAAGTTGTCATTTTCACTTATCATCAGTTCACAAACATTCCAAACCAATTGGAATCACTCTTATGTACATCCTTTATAAGTCCCCTCTATTACTTTTTGTGATTTTTCAATATTTTTCTTCGTATAAAATCTTGTTTTGTCTGGCCAACGAATCTGAAGCTATAGGGCATCGACGTATTAGTGCATCGTTGCATTCACTTTGTACGGAATTTTTTGAAAGTAAATCATATTGGGCTGGTACACACACGGAAATCGAAATTTTCGTCCGAATTCTTTCTGTAGCTTCAGATCCATTGGCCAGACAATTGAGAAAAATTTCCCTGTCACTTGGCTCGAGATTGTTTTGATTCAGACAATTCCAATTCTCGACAGGTTTAATTATCCTTCGCCGAATCATCAAAACTTGGCATGTAACTTATCACAAAAAACAGTTCTGTATTATTAAGCTTCACAGACGAAAAATCTTAATGATAAATCCATAGTTTTTCCAAATTCTATCCTCAAAGTGATAGAGGCTGTAGAACTTCAAAATTGCTGCTGAACTATCCCAGCTTATCTACTAGGGTTATTATCAACAATTTGAATAACTCTTACCTTAACAAACATCTCAAAAGCAAAGACAATAGAAAAAATATAGTTGCAGCTTTGTAAGAAAAGTTTCTCGTGACTCTCCGGTGGTATGTTGGGCCTCTCCATAGCCAAAGTAATGCAATTCAAGGCTATAAAAAGTAGAACGACATTGTCAAAGTATTTCTGCTCTACCAATTGGGTGCATTTGTGCCGGAAACTACAAAGATTTTGTATTAATAATTTTGTTAAAATCACACAATTTCGTATATACCTGTTATCTGGCGCAAACAAGTACAACGAATATTCGTCTTTGCCCTTAATACAAACATAAGGTTCAAGCCACATTTCCAATCTTTCAATCGTTGATAACCTGGGGCCGACATCATTTTCTTCCAATTTGATCTGTTGAGGCAAATCTGTTAGATCTTTAAGATTATTCAATGGTTTTAGTTCGATATGGTCGCATTGTTTGTGCTTTGGTGGTGATTTTGTGAGGGAATTGCGTCTAGTCAGTGCCGGCGGAGGGGTTATGACCTAAAAAAATTGATATTCCAAAAAATAACCGCATGCAAGGTACAATGAATTAAGCGCAACACAAAATTATTACTTTTTGTCGTGTTGAAGTGGCGCTACAAGTGTTCGATCTACATCTAAAAGAATTTTGCGGACTAATCGTAGACGGCATCAATTTGTTATTCGGGGTGTCTCCGTGAGTGTCGTTCTGAATCCTAATGGATGATTGCAGCAGCAATGAATCGTTCCGGTTCAAGCTGGCCTGCAAATATAAAACGTGCGAAACAACGAAAGCGAGCTATATAATGGGTGAAGGATTTAGCCAATAGTTTTTAAAATAATCATTAAATAGTATTTACAAAAATTCAATCTAACATACAACTACTAGAGAATCAGGTTGAGATGATTTCAGAGGAAAAATGCATCACTTATGTTATAATTCAATGGTTTATGATTTGCCTTTGATGATACAATTTCTTTCCTCTAAAATTTCCTGATTAGATACAAAAAGCTAATTATTATCTACTCACATGTCGGATGACTCCCTTTCCGTTGCACTGAGAATGATCTCTGCCATTGTTCAACGGCACTGCCTCAGAATCTGAACCCGATTTGTCCCTTTTCCTTCTCAAACTTGGTTTCCTATAAAAAAGATCTTGCATTAGGTACATTTTTGAATAGGTCAATTTTTGTCTATTCCCGGCTCTTGAATTTGTCGAAAGAAAGAAAATTTAAAAGCCACATGAATGTTGTCTTATCTATCAAATAGTTTGTTGAGGAAGGGAATTTTTCAAAAATTCAGACACAAGGATGTAAATGAATTTTCTACTCATGAACTGGTTCAAGTATTACTTTGCAATTTGGAGAGGAGTGAAAGGAAGGTTTGAATTATGTCATATTAAATTTATAAGTTGATTGAGTGAAAACTTGGAAAAATACTGCCTGAATAGTTTGAGGAGGACGGGAATTTTTCAAAAATTTAGACACAAGGATGTAAATGATTTTTTTCCTCATAAACTGTTTCAAGTAGGTAATAATTTACAATTTGGAGAGGAGTGGAAGGAAGGTTTGAACATGTCATTGCAAATTTTCGAGTTGATTGAGTGAAAACTTTGAAAAATACAGATACAGCCTGAATAGTTTGAAGAGGGTGTTTTCATATATATTGACGGCCCACCTACCCCAAGTTATTCAAGTACAAGCGAGTGAATTGATGCGGAACTTATGGGTGGACCTCTGCGGGACGAGCGCAGCGAGTTCCGCAGCCATCTACTGATCAATATACTGTTGAACTGTTCAACTAAGACATTCACCTGAAACGTGTACTTTTTAAACTAATGAAAATAACTCACATTTTAGTGAGTCAGGTTAGTATCGTAATTAAATAATATATTGATGAATAGATGGCTGCGGAACTCGCTGCGCTCGTCCCGCAGAGGTCTACCCATAAGTTCCGCAACAATTCACTCGTTTGTACTGGAATAACTTGTCACAATATATTACTAGTTTGGTAAAGTAACATTACTAATTCCTGTTAAAAGACAAATTAACAAAAAGTGGATAATCTTACAAATTTTGACTTTATATAATAAGTTATTGTTCAAGTACAAATAAAGGATTATTGCAGAACTTATGGGTGGACCTCTGCGGGACGAGCGCAGCGAGTTCCGCAGCCATCTACTCACCAATATACTGTTGAACTGTTCAAATAAGACATTCACCTGAAACGTGTACTTTTTAAACTAATGGGAATAACTCACATTGGAATGAGTCAGGTTAGTATCGTAATTAAACAACATATTGATGAATAGATGGCTGCGGAACTCGCTGCGCTCGTCTCGCAGAGGTCCATCCATAAGTGCCGCAACAATTTACTCATTTGTGTTTGAAAAAAGTAACATTACTAATTCCTGTTAATAGGCAAATTGACAAAAAGTGAATAATCATAATCTTACAAATTCTAACTTATAATGAATTATTGTTCAAGTACAAATAAGTGGATTTTTGTGAAATTTATGGGTGGACCTCTTCCATCTACTCACTAATATACTGTTGCACTGTTGAAGTAAGACATTTACATGAAACGTGTAGTTTTTAAACTAATGAGAATAACTCACATTTGAGTGACCTATTCGGCAATTCAGGGACATCTCTTCATAGAAGATATAATAGAAGAAACTATTCCTATTCTCATTCGAAGGACACTCAGCGGCATTTTAATGTCCTTCGAATTTGATTTTAACCGTAATTTTCTATTACCTAAAGCCTACAGAGGTCTTTGGGAAATATCAAGGAATACTTATTTAGAAATACTTGGAAGTACCGCCCAATACTTGGCAATACCAGGGAATACTCGGCAATACTGTCCAACTGTACGTTTTTTCATGAGTGGTTGACTCCTCGAATTTTACATAAAAAACTCAGAATTAGACACTCTGCAAAAAAAGCATGAGAAAGCATTGAGAATCATGTTGAGATGTAATAGATATACAAAAATAAATGATATGCTCATTGTACAAACCTCTCAAGTGTTAGACAAACTATTACATATAACACCTTAGTCTAGGCCGCCTTAGCCTTTATTTATAAAATGTTGCATCATGTGTTACCCAAACATCTTTTAGATAACTGCAGATTTGTTAAAGATGTACATACATATAACATAACACTCGGTCAAAGAATAACTTCTATTTAGACAGGGTTAAAAGTAGTTTCAGTCAAAACAGTCTATTCTACATAGATTTGAAATATTACAATGAACTGCCAACCAATATAAGGAACTGTGATACTCTGAGTAGCTTGAAAAAATCATGGTTATTAGGTATATGTAAAGGAAAATGTTAAAATTTGATTTTCAGTTTTTGATATATGTAGATTCTAAGATCCTAAAAGTTAGTCTATCAATAATAGAATATATTAATATAGTAGATACCTATATCAATCTGTCATAAACTACCAAGACATTATGTCAGTACCTACTTCCTTTTAGGAAGCTATCATTGTATTATGTAAGAAATATTGTATGTTGGCTAGCCAAGGGCTATTAATAAAGATATTATTATTATTACGTATTATTTTATTGCATCTAAGTGAGAAAACATTCATAATTCAATTTCTGAGCCTGAAATCCATTCATGGTATGTTCTGTTTGATAAAAAGACCCTACTCAATAATTTCTGTAAATTCAAGTTCCAACCAGACACAATTCGAGGCAGTCATATTTCGGAATGATTTAGGTACTAATAAGAAATTTGGCAACCTCATATTTTTGGGACTTTGATGTCACAGTTCTACCTCACGTTTCTACAGCAGTATAATAATTCGAATCTCAACTATTTTGGTCTATAATTATTTCTGAATATGTATTATGCATTTTTGCTTAAATGAGGCTTTCGATATAATTTTTATAATTATAATTTCCATTGGTTGCTTGCTTGATGCTCTTGAAGCACTGGAATATTCTAAAAGTTATCAGAAATCTCCCAAATATTTTTATGCACTTTCTAATAGAAATTCTGAATAAGTTCAGAAGTGTGCGCTCGTGCCGCAGCCATCTACTCACCAATATACTGTTGAACTGTTTAAATAAGACATTCACCTGAAACATGTAGTTTTTAAACTAATGAGAATAACTCACATTTGAGGGAGTCAAGTTAGTATCGTAATTAAATAACATATTGATAAATGAATGGGTGAGGTCCACCCATAAGTGCCGCAACAAGTTTGTACTTGAATAACTTGTCATATTATGTTACTAGTTTGGTGAAATAACATTACTAATTCCTGTTAATAGGCAAATTGACAAAAAGTGGATAATCTTACAAATTCTGACTTTATATAATAAGTTATTGTTCAAGTACAGGTGTTTTTTTATATATTGACATCCCACCTACAGCCTTCACCTTTACAAGTAGATGAAAGCTGTAAATACAAAAGTTGTACAGTATTGCGGTTAAATTTTCAAAATCCATGATCAAAAACAAAAATTGAATGTTAGAAATGTGAAATGTTGCATGCCTTCAGCTTTTTTCAAATGAGATGCCCTTTATTTGGTTCTATATTCTTGAAGAGCACAATTTCCTGATTCCAAAACAAACTATATAGTTTGTCTATATTTGGTTGAGCCGTCTTCAACATATTTGGTTCTAATAATTTTGAAAATACTATCAGAGAAACCAAGTACCTCAAATTTTACCTGCAGTTTTCACCTATACAAGTAGAATGGTTCACAAAATCAGTAGTAGGATAGTATTTTTACAATTTTTGGAGCCGAATATTATGAGAGATTGCTCAATCAAAAATAGATGCTCTTCAAGAATATAGAATGAAATATAAGGCAACCTATTTGAAAAAATCTGGAAGTTTGCAAAATTTCACATTTCTGACATTCAAATTTTGTTTCTGACCATGATTTCTAAAAATTCAGCAAAAACTTTGCAACTTTTGTATTTGTACCTTTCTTCTACCTGTAAAGGTAAAGGCTGTAGGTGGTGTGTCAATATATAAAAAAACACCCTGTACAAATAAGTGGATTATTGCGGAACTTATGGGTAACGATCGCAGCATGAATAGATGGCTGCGGAACTCGCTGCGCTCGTCCCGCAGAGGTCCACCCATAAGTTCCGCAACAATCCACCCGTTTGTACTTGAAAAACTTGTCACATTATGTTACTAGTTTGGTAAAGTAACATTGCTAATTCCTCTTAAAAGGCAAATTGACAAAAAGTGGATAATCTTACAAATTCTTACTTTATATAATAAGTTATTGTTCAAGTACAGGGTGTTCTTTTATATATTGACACCCCACCTACAGCCTTCACCTTTACAAGTAGATGAAAGCTGTAAATACAAAAGTTGTACAGTATCGGCTAAATTTTTAGAATCCATGGTCAGAAACAAAAATTGAATGTCAGAAATGTGAAATGTTGCATGCTTTCAGCTTTTTTTCAAATGGAATGCCCTATATTTGATTCTATATTTTTGAAGAGCACAATTTTCCCGATTCCAAAACTATATAGTTTGTCTATATTTGGTTGAGCCGTCTCTAACATATTTGGTTTTGAAAATTTTGAAAATACTATCCACAAAATCAGTAGTAGGATAGTATTTTTACAATTTTTGGAGCTGAATATATGAGAGACTGTTCAATCAAATATAGACAAACTATATATTTTTGGAATCGGGGCATTGTGCTCTTCAAAAATATATAGGGTATCCCATTATAAAAAAGCTGGAAGCATACAAAATTTCACATTTCTGATATTCAAATTTTTTTTCTGACCGTGGTTTCCAAAAATTCAGCCAAAACTTTTTTTGTATTTACACCTTTCTTCTACCTGTAAAGGTAAAGGCTGTAGGCGGGGTGTCAATATATAAAAAAATACCCTGTACTTTGTATCTACTTGTCTGCCAATTTTTTCTCAATTTCTTCTTTCTATTTCTCAATTTTTCCAGCCTAATTCTTATCTATTACCGGCTCTTGAATTTGTCGAAATAAAGAAAACTCCAAGAGCCTGGAATAGAAAAAACATGAATCTTGAATAAAAATGTTATGCTTGTACCCTATCCAATCAAATTTAAGAAAAATACAATCATCTTACCTCGGTAAATTCCACGACATTTTCCTTTGCAACTTGTCCTTGTCAGGATTCTGTTTCATCTCGTTTTTATTGCTGCTTATTTGGACGACCTTTTCCGAAAACGACATCGTCTTCTGACCGATTTTCTCGTTGTGGATCACGATTTTTCCTGCCTGAGTTTGTACCGGTTCATCAGGAAATTTTTCGAAATTCCGAAACGTTACTGGAGGCGGCGACAATGTTGGCGGTTTCAAAAGACTCAAACTCTATAATAATAGTCTATGATTTAATGAAAAATGAATAATGTCATTTACTTACTGAGCTTTTTTGTGTTGTAGAATCAGTAGCCGATTGGTCTTCAACATCATTGCTAACGTTATAAAGAAACTCTGGAAAATCCGCATCCAAAGTATTATTCGGCGAATCTTGAGGGGTGGCCGCCGTGTGTGTTATAATAGGCGGCGAAGACTGGAAAATTTTAATTAAAATTCGGGCTCAATTATAAAAAAAAAAACTAATTGGGGCATTAATTAAAACGTACTTGTCTCAAAGGTTGCCGCAACATCGACTCTTTTTGAATGTTACATTTTGGCTCTTTTAAGTAACATTTATCTTTTGAATTGACATCTTTAAAATCACAGTTGGCTTGAATTGGTTTTTGACCATTTAAATCTTTTATTTCGTCCGCTGAATGCCAATAATTTCGTTTATCCTAAAAACAACAATCATTTCCTTTGGAATTATGAATCTTAACTTGTATAGAGTATAGATAAATTATAATTTAAATTGTCTTATGAATGAGCACTTACATTAATATAACTATCAGTTGATCCACTGTCTGATCTACTACTATTACTGTCCCTAAAGCTGGCCTCTAGAATAATAGACATTTTCCGTCTAGCAAGCTCTCTTTGCTCTCGTTCCCTTCTTTCATTCCTCTCAGAACTAAATCCTTCGACTAAAATGGCAACTAAAAGATTAAAAAGTACGTAGTTGCCAAAAGTCATCAGGGCAACAAAATAAAGAGCGGCCCAATGTGAGGTACGCGCCATTCCATTTGAAAGTACCATATTCCAGTCTTCTTGGGTGAGAATCTAAAAATAATTTTTAATAAAATTATAAAATTATAAAAAGTATATTAATTAAAAAAAAAAACAAACTGATCTCACTTGAAACACGGTGACGGTGGCCCAAAGGATGTTGTTGAAATGTTTCCTGTCGCATTGGCATCTGGGATCTTTTTTCTCTAACATTTCGCAGCCGCAATCGCTCAGTACGCCCCTTTCGTCTACATAATTGCAAAACTTACCGCCAAACAGGTACATGCCCAGAATGCTATGGAACACCGTGTTTTGTTAAAAAAAAAAAACGTACAAATGTTGTTGTTAAAATGTGTTATTGTTTAAAGGTAGAGGGCGAACTATTGTATTTGTTGCCCCAAAGTTTAAGTAAACTTGGGTATTAAATAACATAGGGGCGGATGTGACCTAGTTTTCAAATTTTGTTTGGTTTGAAAACAAAGTTTGCTCGATTGAATTGAATCAACATTTGGCCGCCGTCTATCTGTAAACATTTTTTGTATCGCTGAATATTAATATATGATCTACCTAAAGCCTTTGAGTAGCTAACATTATGATTGCTAGTCTAAGGTTTGTTTTTCTATAAAAATATATTTGGTTGATTTGAAAGTCCCACATATTTCTCATTTGATTTATTAAAATGTTTTATGTAAACACAGTGTTTTGTAAATAGGGTACCTGCAGGAAATTTGTATTCAAAAATCTGAAGAGTATCTATATCAATTGTAGACTCACATTTATTTATATTTACCTTTGTAAGGACTTCAGTAGCGTAGAATTGAATGTTTTTCTCAAGGAATTGCAAGATGCCTTCGATATTGAGAAAAAAATTAGATGCTTTGATTAAACAAGGAAACCTTCATAAGCATAGACAGGAACAAGGCTCAAACAAATATATTTTTTTTAAATTTCATGATAGGATTATGAACTTGTCAGATGTTGACTTTGAGGATGCGGAGTTGGACATTCTGAAGCTACAGTACTCAGGCCTGAAACTTCAGCAGAAATTGCCAGTTATATTACTTCGTTGGAGGACACATAAAATTGTATTGGGAGCAGATGTCGAGAAAATGTATCGGCAAATTAAAATTCAAATGAAGCATTACAAGAATACAGGCTAACGACAGTTACATAATTATGGAATCACCTCAGCCCCATACTTGGCCATTAAAATGTTACAACAACTGGCAGAAGATGAGAAAGACAATTTCCCATTAGCATCTAGCGTTACTTAACAGGATTTCAAAGTCGACGATCTGCTCTCCGGGACAGATACGCTTGAAGAAGCCATCAATCTTTAGACAGAACTTATAGAAAAACTGGAGGATTCATCCTACGCAAATGGTCCATTTTAGGATGAACTAAGGGCCGTGGAAGACATTTTGCTGCCCCGATGGACCAACCAAAGGATAAACAGTCAGAAGGAATTACACGGATTCTGCGACTTCTCTGAAAGCGTACGGCGCTGTAATTTTTCAAAGTTAACAGCAAGGAAGGACCACCCAGAATATCACTTCTCACAGCTAAATCTAAAGTTGCTCCCACCAAAACAAGGACTATACTCCCAAGATTAGAGTTATGTGCAGCTGCAAAACTCATGAGAAAAACCGTCCACCACCATTATCAATGGAGGAAGTTGATAAATATGCATGGACATTCAATGATAACAATATCATGGATAAAGGAGGACGTTACAAGATTGAAGATATTCGTGGCAAACCGAACGGCAGAGATCAACTCTCTAATACCAGACAAAAGTTGGAACCATGTCAGAACTTTAGAGAACCCAGCAGACGTTATCTCATCATGGATGAAACAGTTCAAAATGTAGTGGAATGGTCCAGATTGGCTAGCGTTAAAATCTACTATGGAAGTTTGAATGTTTTTTGACAAATATTATGCCTGTATTACATCTGTGTATTTTTCCGTGTATTTATTCATGTAGTTCAGGGTGACAACCGAAAAACTTCAAACGCATTATAAGTCAGCATTATGAAAAACAAAATAATGTTGGCATACTGAACTACATGAATAAATACACGGAAAAATACACAGATATAATACGGGCATTACACCCAAACGCACATTGAAATTCAATAATGTGCAAGTACCTTATTGGCCGAAAGGTAGGTACTGAAAAGAACCTTCAAAATCACATTTATATGTGATACTTCAGTATCTATTTTTTTTTTCAAAATATTAGAAGGTACGTTACATGCGGAACTTTCAATCAACCATAATCTAATATAAATATTCATTATGTAAAATCGTTGTATGTTTATAATAAGAACAATAAAAATATAAATTAAGACATACACAAATTGCAGGGGTGACATATTGATGGAAATCACATCAAGCCGCAATACAAACACAATGAGAATAAGTGCAATTTGCACTAACCCAATGTAAATTCAATAAAGACCAATTGAGTTTTATACAAATTGCACATTAAATGGAAGATTTTGTACACAAACATGCAATTTTAAATACAAAAATTTAAATGAAACATGCACAAGTGCGTGAAAGTGACAAAATGCACTACAATGATCAACAACTTTATATAAAAAACCTACCTTGATTTTGGGTGAGTTATTTTATTTATTTTTTTGCACAGTGCCTCATTTTGATTAAAATTACAAAACTGCATTTAAATCATTAGTAAAATGCAATTTTCCAATTTAAAAAAAGAAACAAAAAAAAAAATGGGAAATCAAGAAGTACCTGAAAGACGGTCACTAGCGACCACAAGAGGGAGTCAAAGTTTTTTCGATCTTTGTCTTCGTCTGAGTTCGAGTCGCAGATTCCCTCGTTATACTTTACACAAAACTTGCACCCGAAAATATTCATACCCAGTATACTAAAAACATCCCAAAATTTAGTAAAAATATTAATATTGTTTAGTATCGAGTTGTTATTTATTTATTTATTTTACCCCATTTTTTTATTTACAAAAGCATGCCATTTATGTTTATATGTATTTGAAAATAAATTATCATTGAAGAATAAGAGGAGTTTATATATTGTTTTATGTACAATTTTGTGTATGTGTTATAAATCTTGTGCAGTGCTAATAGTGAAATTGTTTAAAAAAACTAAAAAGAAGAGGTGTCATAATATAAGAAGATAATGAATTTACAAGTGTACACAGTTTCATATAATAATAATAATTATCTAAACATCGAAAAACTAAAAACAAAGTATATAACGTATGTACATAATTACAATATATATATATATATAGGATCAAATGCCACCCCTACCCACCATTTTATTAATATAAATTGAATTGCCCTGTAAAGTGTTAATTGTTAGTTTATTATATAAGTACTACTTTACTTCATTACACAAACTATTCATTGACTTACCTAAATATAAAAATAAACAAGATCAGCAACGAGAAAAATATAGCAACATTATCCATCGTTCGTAGCATGACGAACAGTTGCCGTCTCAAGTTCGGCATGAACCGAACCAATTTTAATATCCTCAAAAGCCTGAAGGTTCTCAGGACCGACAGGCCCGAATCGGTATGTAATTCATCGTCGGCTTTCGTGAAATTTTTAAACAATTCTATGGCACTAAAGAAAAAAAAATGAATTTAAGTGAGAGTGTAAATGTGCCTTGTGTACATCCAACTTAATATTTTGTAGAGGGGGTTAGTGAACATGGAGCAGTGGTCAAACCAGCAACGCAACTCGACCTGATTTGTCGTCAAAGAATTACAGGATGAAGCTTCTGTGAATGTATAATCTATTCACAATCCGAAGTCCGAACTAAAGGTAAGATTTATCACCTTTCAGTTGGTAGTTGATAGGGATTTTATTTTTATTTTCTGAATAAGTTGGTAATCATTTTTATATGTCTTTGGGAGGTTATGATGACAAACTGAAAAATAGCAGAGCAGGACTGAAGCATATTTTTATATTTTGAATAAGGTACTTTTAATACCATTGAAATGAAATAATAATTTTGTATCTTTCGTTTCAAATGCCGAGGAAAAGCCATGACTCTTTGGAATGTGGACGGGGCATTTTTCAATCCAAATGGCATACGTACGAATTCGTAATGGCCATTTTCTACGGAAAAAGCAGTTTTCGAAACATCCTTGGGGTCTACCTTTATTTGGTGAAAACCTGAGGCTAAGTCAAGGGTGGTAAAATATTGACATTTTCCCAATTGATCCAGAAGATCGGAAATATTAGGCAGCGGATATTTGTCGTCTACAGTAAGTTCGTTGACTTTACGGTAATCGATTACGACGCGCTATTTGAATTTGCCAGAAGCATCAAGTTTCTTAGGAACGACCCAGACGGGAGAAGACCATAAAGATACAGAATGGCGAATTATGCTTGATCTAACATTTTGATTTCATGTTTATTTAGCAGAACGTAACATAACATGGTATAAGGTCAAAAGTAGTCGATGTTACAGACGGACTTTCCATAGCTACACCGTCCGCTTGTTCGTAGAAATCGCCGTTCTACAGGAAGTAACTTTTAGTGAGACATGTCCGGAAAAGCTCAACTATGTCATTGGGAAAGGTACTTGATATCAAGTTAAGAGATTTTGTCAATGGCACTTTTGTGAATAGGGACATCGTTAGGTTGAAGAATAATACGCCCAATTTTCCGGACAAAGTGAGTGGAGTCCTTGACGTAAGAGCTAGTTTGTCCTACATGCGATGTTACCACCGCCACCTGGTTACGAGGGTTGGGTAAGGGAGACTTTGTTTTAGCACTGATAAAAGCCTTTTTGTACTGCGGTAGCGTGCCACCAGGGACTTTGTTTAAAGTCCCACTGAAAATTTAGGTCACTTTGAACGGATACTTTTTAGTAATCTGATTAGATTGCCTCTTCCACTGCGGGTTCTTGCTACCTGAGCTGTACGCAGTTAGTTGGAGTGCTAGCTCGTGGTTTTCCAAAGGAAATAAAAGAATCAGTTTTTGTTACTAAACTCTAACAATGGTTTATCTTGGTAAGGACATGAAAGAAAAGCAAAGAATATACAGTAGGTTATTATCAGTGTTCTGTTTTCATTTAAAATAATATGTTTAATCAATCACATTTAACTCTCTTCTTTTCTTGGCTCACTGTGTATCATTATTCATAAATTCAAGTCTAATAGTTTTAAGGCCTTTAAAGGAATATCGCGCGTGTGCGGTGAAAAAGGACAAAAAAACTACTTTGGTGCCAGCAAATAATATTGCTATTAGCCGCAGAGAGAAGCAGACCGAACGTCAACCAAACGACATTGTTTTTCCCCAAAAACTTTTAATAGAGAACCCGCATTTAATTTTTTAATAGTTTACCCGCATAAATGTATAGAGAACCCGCAACTAAGTGTTTACTTTGCCGAGTTTCACGGTTTTGAAACAGAACTAAAAAACGCGTCGACTGGCCAGTCCGGAAAACGTGTGTGTGTGTGAAAAGGGTGTCCGTGGACATGGAAGCCAGAAGTTCAAGGTAAGGTCTCAAAACCTCCATTTTATTTGCATTTAAAAGATTTTATCCGCAGGTAGCATGATCATATCTTCCGCTGAATTCAGGTTCCTAATTTCCATTAGTTCCTTCTTAGAGAGACGTCAGGAAGAAATTCCAACTTACCACGGTCATTAAGCCCGAATCAATAAACCTGGGCCGCGAAAGTCTCACAAACTTTATCTTATTACAAGATTACACAACAGTTTCCAGCACTAATATTAAGTTGGATGTACAGAGCTAGGGAAATTTACTCAGAATATAACCAAAAAACGAACCTTAAAATAACAATAACTCCATCGAAGACGTTAAAGCCATTCGAAATGTAACCGAATGGGCCTTCGGCTATAACTTTCAATATCATTTCGACACCGAAAACTGCCGAAAAGATCACGTTAGTTACTTCAACGCAATGAGTGAGCCATTCGGATTGTTGATGGTGCTCTATACCCATCGATAAGGTATTTATTAAGATGGCTAATAGGATACCGTGTTGGAAGATTTTGTGTTCAACCTGTATTGAAAAAAAAAAATATTTTATTAAAGAAATATGTATTGTGGGACAACTTACAAGTATTTGAATATATTTCCTTATAGTTTTCAAACCTTTAATCATCCCTTTAATGAACATACAAGAACAAACATACAACTTTGAACGGGTTTCGTTTTTGTATTCTGCTTCACAGTGCCACATATCGTTGCAACAGCTGAAATCCTATAGCAAGAAAGAAAAACATTTTGCAACAACCTAAAAACATCAAACTCACCTCTTCATTAGTGTAATACTCTTCGTTATGTTTTTGCCTGTTCATTCCTTTCGACAAAGAATCGAAAAACGAATCCAAAACTACTTGGCCTGTGGGCAAAGCTGCATTAATAGCTCCTAGAGCTAACAATTCCTGACACGTCAGAGCTTCACCGTTCATTAAATCGCTACACTCCTGAGCTAATTGCTGTTTGGTTTCGAACATTTGTTGTTGCGGACCGGTTATTTGCCAAATGTTACCGTCACCTACGTTAGAAAGTTTGCAGTGGATTTATTTTTAAGTCCGGTAAAGTTTCACTTTATTGGCTATTTAAACTTTAAGAAGTTTTGTTGCAGAAACAACAAGAACCAAATACGATAATAATTCTGTTTATCATTTTATATACCTGCTTGTGTCGTTTTTTCGCTCGAGCACACATTTTTCTTATCAATGTTCGCCGTTGCGGTGGCCGATAACAGATTAGAGGCGGACGTCGTCGGGGACACGTCGTTTTGGCCGTGCAAAACGATGATGTCGCTGAACATAACGGAAGACCGGCGTCGGTTGTTTTGCAACGACGTCGGCGACAGTAGATTTGTTGGACTCTGGAATAAAATTCAAATTTACTCGAATTTAAAATGTGTATCATACAATGTAAAATTCATTATTTGGTTCATAGACTCGTAAAACTTGGTTTATATCAGCAAGAAATTTGGCGCAAGAAAGTTCCAATTCCATTAGAATATTATATAAGAAAAGGAGCTTGGAGTTTTGGCAGGTAATTTACATACTCACACACATGATATTAATTGCAAGTTGAGATAATTTTCCAGATTTTACATGCATTTTGGAAGATTTATTCTAGTGAAGTTGCAAAGTTTTTGATGCAGTTATAATCGACACATTTAACACAATAAGCTTTTGCCCCGGTTCCATAAAAATTGAACCGTTCAGTTTCGTCTACGCGCCCTGTATATAGTTCTCGGTTAAATCGGGTATTGATTCGTTTTTCTTTTCCGAAATGTGATATGGCAACGTTGCTTTTACTCGGCCATTTTGACAGTTTTTCCTCGATTTTTCCACTTTTGCGGGGCTTTTTAATGGAAAAAAGCGATTCAACCTACGAGGCTTTGAGTTTTTCTCATTTTCTAGCAAAAATAACTAGCAAAATTCCATTTAAAATGCTTTTAATGTGGCATCACTGCTTATAGTTAACTTCAATCAAGGAGGCCTTTTAATAAATATCATTTGCCATTTTTGACAGTCGGTCATTTTCAATTGACGTGTTTACATTTTTATACAGTTTTTTCTCGGATTTTCCACTTTTCTGGGAAAACCAATTTAAAGTACGAGGCTTTGAGTTTTCGTCATTTTGTGACAAAAATTTCCAGTTTTTCAACGGGGTAAGTGAGAAAAACTTTAGTTTTATCAAGTAAACTTTGTCATTTGGCATTGACAATCGGCCATTTTCGAATGTTTTTATCCAGTTTTATCTTGAATTTTCCACCTTTCGGGCCGTTTTCAATCCGAAAAACCTATTTAAAGTGCGAGGCTTTGAGTTTCCTTCATTTTGTGTCAAACATTTTTAGTTTTTCAATGGGGTGAGTGACGGAAACTCAAGTTTTATCAAGTAATTATCAGGCAAGGTAAATCCCAGATATGTCTATGGGTTCACGTCAGTGTCGGTGACTTATCTCTAATCGGTGACAGATTGTCAGATTAAGCCGGCGCCACACAGTATGGCGAATGCCTCTCAACGTTGGACACTTTAGTGATTTGTGGCATCGTGTAGCCGTACGCTCATGACCAATGTATGTCCAACGCTGGCCAGACGCAACGTTCGGGACAAAGTCGGTAACATTGTACCCAACGTTGGATCTAAGGTTGGAACCAATGGTTGGACGCATCGTGTGGCACCGGCTTTATCAGTCTTCTCCTTCTCATGCAGTCAACCTTGCCGGATTACCTGTAGAAGGTGTTTAAATGGTAACAGCAACAGCCAGGGAACGTCAATAGAACTCAGTATCAGTAAGGGCCAAATTATGGACTGACTGGTAAACGTCTGGTTGTTACCTAGCAGGTACTTTCTATGTACTAGAGAATAGAAAGTACCTGCTAGGTAACAACACACACTTACTAATTGGTCCATAATTTGGCCCTAAGCGTATCAATCCCAGGCAGAGGATTCATGTATCAGTATCAGGCAACGTGAATCCCAGGTAGAGGATTCACGCCTGACGCCAGTTTGAGACTATTAGTTAAATAGCCGCAGATCAGTGTCTCGGAGAAACAGTTATCAGTAACGAGAATCGGAGTGGCTAAGGGGAAGAAGGAGACCATATCAGGGAAAACAAGGCCCCATTTCAGTTATGGTTACTACAGCGGAAACAGGGCCTCATCTCAGTCATTAATAAAGTAGATCTCGCGACAAGGGGTAATCATGACAAGATCATGCAAAATGCCTCAAAGTTATTATTGGATGGTGTCTAATTACAGGGTCCTTATTCTTGAAAGGGGAGCACCGTTCCTAGGAGAACGAGTGTTCCGTCTTTCTCAATGATATGCAAATGATAATATAGGTAACAAAGACGGAACACTCGTTCTCCTGGGAACGGTGCTCCCTTGTTTCAAGAATAAGTACCCAGGAGGGTTTAGGTGTTAATTTCAACAAAATCATACTTGTGCCTTTTACAAGGAATGGAGGCTGAATCTAACAGCCTCAACCATGAATGGGATACCAATCAACTTCGTAAGTGAGCTTAAGTATCTTGAATCAGAAACTCACTTGGAACCAATATACTGAACAGGCTGGAGAATCTTCAGCAAAACTTGAGGTCTCGCAAAGACAAAACCAGTTGACCACATGTGCAAATTTGAACACTCTTTCAAAGTAACTATTAAGGGAGAAAATATCGTACCTACCTGTATTCCTGAACGGGTCATCCGTCTTATAAAACAGAGCAAAATACTAGAACAGGGGTATACAGTCTACTTTGTAGACAACAGCTCTATAGGAACAAGCCCAACCATATTTCAAGCGAAAATAGAACTATATGAGTCAAATTACAGTGGGTAGAATTGTTTTCTATTACCGACTTTCGTGGAAGATTTTCTACATTAAGAGCCAGGCAAAATAAAATATTGACCACCCTGTATCTTTATACAGTGGTGGAATTGTTTTCAATTAACGGCTTTCATGAAAGATTTCCTACAAGAGCCGGGAATAATGAAATATTGATCACTCTGTATCTTTATAATTTGGAAACTACTAGAGATCTAATCATTCCATAACTTAAACACACCAACATCACAATCCACAAGCTTCAAACTAATAATTTTCTACGGCAACAAATTTCTGGGTGGTATATGTTTCTCGTATATTACTTGAGAGCATTTCAAAAGTCGGAGCAGAATTTGAATAGAAACATAAATATTTCAAGTGTGTTTTTTTATACCATCTGGAACAAAAAGCATTCGCGACAACTTCTTGGGCTTTTTCCTCCGAGACAAATTAGTTATCCGAGAAACCCCCTTTTTACTCACCTAACCGAGACAAATATACGTTCTACATTAGTAATTACTTTGAGACGAGTTTTTGGGAACACGAAAATCGATTGAGCGAATTCATACACCATAAATAAAATTTAATCAACTTACGTCATTATTATTGGACGATATTTCCTGATTGGAAATAGCCGGAACGCGCAACAATCCAGGCCGGGAACGAGGAGTCAAATCTTGCACGTCTTCGGCCCTAAGATATCCAGGATCGCTCAGACAAATCGAACTGGCTCTTGACACCGCTCTCGTACTTGGAAGGCTTTGAGATTGCTAAAAGAAGGTTTCGCTTAATATATTTCGTTTCAAACAAAGCGTGTGCTAATTGGCATAGCCTAAAGTGGGATCGGTCAGAAAGAAAAAGGGGGAGACATCAAAGAAAATACAAAAATTAGCCTTTGGCCTTCTCGTCGTGTCCGTTTGCGGTAATTGGGGAGGAGAGCCCGCAGGATAATAATTGGGTCTAATTCCCTTTACCGAGACTGTAGACTAGAATTTCGGTCAACAGATAAATTCGTTAGAGTAATTTGTTGAGTAAGATGGATCAAATATTAAGGGAGAGTCTCTAAAAATGAATGACCTAAGTCCATGCGAAATCTACATGTTTGGACCCTTGACCCAAGATATATCTTTCTTCTCAGATGTCGCTGTTATTTGACTTCTCCCTTAATGATCTCTCCAACAATGAATATTCTGTCAATATAACTCATACTGAAATATAGTTTGCTTCCTTTCGCGTACATCTGTACAGGAAGTTTTTGATGCAAAACAAGCACAGTTATACTACTAGCATGGGAAAAAACCCTTTTAAAAACTGAAAATTCTACAAGAAAATATAAAAAAGTTACTTACTGTCGGCTTCAATTTCGGACAATTCGGATGATGCCGCTTAGTATAATTAAGTCTTATCGTCTCTCCCATGGTAATTTTCTGTTCGCGTCTCAGATCTCTCTGAACCCGGTAAAGTCTGATCCGCTTCAGAACGCGCCGCTTCGACCTGCGCCACAGATGGGCGATGTACTTGACAATTTCCGCGTAACAAGTGGTCGGTTCGCTGTTGTTGGTCGATGACGCCAGAGTGCTACTGCTCTGGAACCGGGCCCGTTCCAGACGCATCCGTTCCATTTCGCGTTTTTTCGTTTCGGAAAATTGAGTAGCTATGACGACCAGGCATAGGTTGATCATGAAAAAGGAACCGATCTAGAATATTTGTGGGTTTAATTTTTTGGGTTGTAGAAAGAGAGAGTACGTACCACGATTAGTAGGACGAAATAGATCCAGTCCCAGAAACTGTGGCCGTCTTGGACGTAGTACATGATTTCGGTCCAGCCTTCTAGTGATATTACCTGGAAAAATAATATAGAAACTTTATTCGGACGAAAAAATAAATCCGTTTGACTGTCATAAGGAAAAATGGAGCGATAAAATTTCAACCAAAACACGTCCAAATTTGTAAAGGGGGTTTAGAATAAACTGCTTTTGAAACCGTTGAACGCTTGGAATCACTTCATATACATCTGATTACAGTTTAACCAATCTGCGGTAGTGGAAAAATAGTGTGGGGGATTTTGTATTTTGGCTCACATATACTACTAGCTAACCATAGGTGTGGTAATTTCAGGCTTCAAAGTATCAAGACCTGACGCCATCTATCCAGCCCTACTCCAGTGAGTCCTGGAACTACTCTTGCCGCACCTGGTAGGAATGTTCAAGGTGTCCTTGGCGATGAGAAACATACCCAAGGCTTGGAGAGAAATCAGAATGGTGTTCTTACCCAAACTAGGCAGGATGGACTACACCCACCCCAAAACATATCGCCCCATAAGTCTGTCATCTTTTTCTCTAAAAACATTGATAATAACACTGTAATAATAGATATAGTTTTATTTAAATTAATGTAGGTACATACAAATAAGTGGATTATTGCGGAACTTATGGGTGGACCTCTGCGGGACGAGCGCAGCGAGTTCCGCAGCCATCTACTCACCAATATACTGTTGAACTGTTCAAATAAGACACTCACCTGAAACGTATAGTTTTTGAATTAATAAGAAAAATTCACAACTGAGTGAATCAGGTTAATATTGTATTTGAACAACATATTGGTGAATAGATGGCTGGATCCATCCATAAGTTCCGCAACAATCCACTCGTTTGTACTTGAATAACTTGTCACATTATATTATTAGTTTGGTGAAGTAACATCACTAATCCCTGTTGAAAGGCAAATTGACAAAAAGTGGATAATCTTACAAATTCTGATTTTATACATATAATAAGTTACTGTTTAAATACAAATTAATGGATTGCTGCGAAACTTATGGGTGGACCTCTGCGGGACGAGCGCAGCGAGTTCCGCAGCCATCTACTCACCAATATACATAGGCGCCGGAATTTCAAAATTACTATGAGGGCTCGGGCTCCAAAAATTAACGTAAGTAGAATTAATTAGACAGACAGGACTAGGCTACTAGACATATAGACTTAAATGGGTCGGCGTTTTCATTCAAAACAAATTGAAAAAAAATAGCTATTTATACAATAAGTTACGAAATGAGCGTCTTTTAGGCACGCGACGTGAAAATTGTCCAACGAGGCAAAGCCGAGTTGGACAACACGTCGAGTGACTAAAAGACATCGTTTCGTAACGTATTGTATACAAGATTTTTTCTACTGGCATTTTATAATAGAAAAACACAATTTTATTTCATGTGAATAAGTCGATTACACCCAAAATCTTTGTTACCTGCTTTTACTTGACACCTGACCATGCGATTTTCTTTTGAAAATTCGACATCAATAATTAAAATCCTAGAAAGTAGGTAATAACACAAAGTTCTGTTTTGAGTAACCCAAACGTTCAATTCAGTAATTCCATTTTCAATATTCATAATAAATACAAAACAAAATTCAAATATGTGTTTAGTGTGTTTTTTATTTCTGAATAATGAATGACACTTTTAGGCACTAGTGCTTAAAAATTACTTTTACGCACTCATAAGTCACTTTTACGCATTCAAAAGTCACTTTTACGCACTAAGTGCCTAAAAGTAACTTTCACGCACTCAGTGCCTAAAAGAATGTCGTTTCAAAACTGAAATGACAATCGAAAAGTTGCTATTATGAAACGTCAGTAGAAAAAACAATTTATGGCACGAAACAAACTTATAAATAAGCTAATGGCATGGCCAAAAAATGAACTAAAGTTCGTTTCACCAGGGTTCATACTTGACCTTGAAACTTGAAAAAAAAAAGGTTGTCGTAGATTAATTCATATGACACATTCAATTTTTTTGACAAATTAAAATGATTTAAGAACCGACGAACGTTTTTGACGTCATTGATTTGTTTCAGTCAATTTTGATTTGTTAAACAAGGAAGGCAAATGCTGGTGGCAAGTACAAACCCTGGTGAAACAAACTTTACCTATATGCAGGTTTGACAGGTCAACAACAGGCCAATTTTAATGCAATAGAATGAAACGTCTAGAAACACTCTAAGGTTGAATAGAGAATGAAAGATAACGATTTTCCCTGTCCCACCTCCAGCATTCTCAGCGCTCTTTGGCCACCTTGTTGTTGTTTCCCTCCGCTTCGCGACGGGAGGCAAACCACATCTCGCTCTAACATCTAAATACTTTTTTCCCTTGTATAATGAATAGCTATTATCAATGAGATATTATATCTTTCGGTGTTAAAGTTGCTCAATATATTGGAATATAGAATATTATCCATAACTTTTTGGAATGTAGCCGGCGTGTTTTTCAAACCAAAGGGCATGCGTAAGAATTCATAATGCCCGTTTTCTGTGCTGAATGCGTTTTTTTCGATGTCGTTTTCATGCATCTGGATCTGGTGGAAGCCGCTAGCTAAATCTAAGGTGGTGAAATACTGGCAGCGTCCCAGCTTGTTCAAGATATGTTGGGTAATGGGTACCTGTCATCTAAGCTTTCTGTATTAAGGCCTTTAAAATTTACTATACCATACTAAACAAAAAAATATTCAAACTGTTTGTCAAAGTGGCTATAGCAAAAACAACAAAAACATAAAACACACAAGTTTAATATAAAAATAAATAGTTAAGAATGTTAGGATCAGGAACTCAATATTTTTGTACCTACCCACTACATAAAATTCCAAAATCACGGAGCCCCCATAGCAAATTCACTACGGGGGCTCAAGCCCCCATTGCCCTCATGCAGGGGCGTACCCAGGGGGGCAAGAGGGCATTTGCCCCCGCCCCCAAGACAAAAGTCAATTTTTAATTAATAACATCAAACCACTATCATATATGTACCTACATATCAGGTTTTAAATAAACCCATCTCTAAAATGTCGTATATCCTGCAAATAGTTCCAGCAGTGGCAACAACGTGTTTCTACCAAAAATCACGAAGCACAAGAATATTGGTATAAGGTGACATTTGAATCCTTGTTTTATTTTCGAGACCAAAGCCGTAGGGAGCGGAGGTGAGGCCCCCCATTTGCCGTGTAAGAGGGCGACGAATTCTTGTTCTTTTAACAATTTTAACGACGCAAAAATTGGGCGTGGCACCCCTAAAATTTTTCCGGCTACGCTAGCTTTTCTCCGGCGGGCATTTGTTGCCTCCCCCAAATGTTTTTTCTGGGTACGCCACTGCCCTCATGATTCCGGCGCCTATGCCAATATACTGTTAAACTGTTCAAATAAGACACTCACCTGAAACGTGTACTTTTTAAACTAATGAGAATAACTCACATTTGAGTGAGTCAGGTTAGTATCGTAATTAAACAACATTGATGACTGCGGAACTCGCTGCGCTCGTCCCGCAGAGGTCCACCCATAAGTGACGCAACAATTCACTCGTTTGTACTTGAATAACTTGTTACATTATATTACTAGTTTAGTAAAGTAATATTACTAATTCCTGTTAATGCAAATTGACAAAAAGTGGATAATCTTATAAATTCTGACTTTATATAAGAAGTTATTGTTCAAGTACAGGGTATTTTTTTATGTATTGACACCCCACCTACAGCCTTCATCTTTATAAGTAGATGAAAGCTGTGGATACGAAAATTGTACAGTATTGGCTGGATTTTTAGAAACCATAATCAGAAATAAAAATTGAATGTTAGAAATGTGAAATATTGCATGCTTTCAGCTTTTTTCAAATGGGATGTCCTATATTTAGTTCTATATTTTCGAAAAGCACAATTTCCCGATTCCAAAACTATATAGTTTGTCTATATTTGGTTGAGGCGTCTCTAACATATTTAATTCTAAATTTTTTTTAAATACTATCAGAGAAACCAAGTACCTCAAATTTTACTTGCAGCTTTCACCTGTACAGGTAGACCTGTAAAGGTGAAATGAAGGTAGACAACAACTACTAAACGAAAATGATTGAAAAAACATTTCTATTTTTCGCTTTGTAGATAAAACGTTGTACATCACACGTGCGTTTAAACATGACTACAAAACTCGTGTGATTAGAACGACTCGGTCTACGACCTCGTCGTTCTAATCTTTCACAGTCGTTATTGTAATCATGTTCATAAACGCACTTGTAATGTAAATAACTATTTTCCAATTATTTTCGTTCATTAATAGTTGTCTACCTTCATTTTACCTTTACAGGTTTGCTTTTGACATTTGTCAAATCACCAAAAATAGTTGTGTTATAGACTCATAACCTCGTCCATAACACCACTCGTTGTGTTATGAATTCATAACCTAGTTTATAAGACCACTAGTTGTGTTATGAGTCCCATGACGTAACTCAAATACTAGAAAAATGGTTATGTAAAAACGTCATAACCAAACGCTTGTAGATAAAAATTTTAAAACCATATATGTTGGAGACATGTGATGAACATCACCTATAAGAAATATAGAGGTGAGTTTCAGTTGTCCTGTTGACATATCAATAATAATAATTGGGTTAGATCTTATTGATATCATAATTAGAATTTAATAAAGAACTTGATACAATATTGAGTATAACAATATTATTACAAACACAGTGACAGGAGTAAAGTAACATCTACACTGACGGATCCATAACTGAAACAGGCTTAGGATGCGGAGTATGCTCCAAAGCCCTCGAACTGAACCTAACTAAACCCCTTGGCTTCCAAACGGAAATTTCTGGTATGACCATCATTGCAGAACAGATAGTAAAAATATCACTCACAAAATCGTCCACCAAGAAGAGACAATGGAGCACATTATTTGTGATTGCACTCTCCAATATGCAGAGCCAGATTAGGCCAATCGTACCCATCCTTATAGAATAGATTACCCTCCCAAACTTACACATACAAACACAGATCCTTACCAAAAAAATCGCAATCCAAGCCAATCCGATATTGTCGAACGAAATCGTGTTCTGGAACGGATTCGGATTGTTGTCCGAGCAAGTGGTGTAGTACAGGTGCCAGTTGACGCAGTAGGCGTCGTCGTAGTAGAACTCGGGCATCTGTTTTTGTTCCCACGTCAGTTGGCAGGTGACGCTGCCGTTTACGAACGGCGGCAGGTTTAAACACGAATGCATTCCGGAAAAATTGCTTTTGCTGCAAATGTAATCGGTGTCCGGCGGTTTGTATGAACGTGATATACTGAAAAAGAAACAGGTTTTAAATAATGTAGATTTTCAGTTTCTGGAAAAAATTGTTTATTTACATTATATGAGTTTGTAGTAAAATTAATACAAAAATTGGTTTATACTTCAATAACCGCAAATCGTTACCCGCACAATATTGCATGCACTATAGATAATATTTTCGATATAATAATTTTCAGCCTTAACGTTCACATGTTACCACACTTCAAATATCGATTACGTAGGGAATGGGAACTCTCATTAGACTTCAAAGGTTTTGAATTAATTTCCTACCGCCGCTATCATCCAGTTTCGGATTTCCGTTTTACACTTCCGACAAAGTCACGAGGCTAAACTGCCTCATCGAAATTAACATATCGACATTTGGAAACAAATTAATTTGTGTTTAATTGACTTTACACGCGCAGATTAAAATAAATTTGAATGTTAAACTTGTTCCAGGATGTTTGAGAAAGGACTAACAGGTGCGAAGCAGGATATCCTGGACGACATTCGCACGACGTGTCGGAACTAATAAATGTCTTCTTGGATCCTAGCGAAAAGGAAATTGTATAATATCTAACACCGAAAGTTTGGTGGGATTTGTTTTAGGATTTATATGATTTTTCTTCTCAATCATTAGTAGATAAACAATGTCAAGAACTTGCATTAAATGGAAAAGTTCAGGTTTAAATTGAACATATAAACCCTCTTTTTCCCAATTAGCCCCACTAAACGCTTGGTTAAGTTTAAAACAATACCCAAGAGTTTGAAAAAACCTTCCTTTAATGAACGATTTCCTCACGGAATATCGACAACGTTACGGTAATTTAAGTCGAAAGATAAACTTGTTTATTCTCTACAAACTAGTTACTTTGAAATGGGGTTTGTCAAGAGTAGCCTATAAAGTTGGCAGTAAAAAGTCCAATTCAATTTTCCGACTCTCTATATACGACTGTAAAACTCTTAGGGATTTATTTTATTTTTGAATTTTACTATAAGTAGTAGGCAAAATGCAAATTGGATATTTCTGACACCTAGAGAGTGCAATTTATTATTTTCGAAAGATGAAATAATATTAAGATTCGGTAAATCAAGCTTATTTACAACTTTCTGTAAAGTTTAAAAGCCAGCTTAACCTCCCATAATTACTTGAAAGTTCCATTAAATTTACGGCCAGTATTAGAAAGTTTGTTGGCCTGCACTTTTAAGTAATCATAAACATAATGTTTTATGTTAAAATTATTCGTTAAGTTTTAATTGAGTCTACCAGTGTGTAATAATAAACGCCGAGAAATTAATACCCGAAGTCTAATGATGGGATCGATATCAAAACTGGAAAATTTAATGTGTGGGGCTCCGCTCGAGGATAATTAGAATTGGCTCGGATTTGGGAAAAACCAAACCAATTTATGTATAAATTTAGTTGGCAAATGTCTAACGTGAATATTGCATGCAAAAGAGTTGAAGAAAAGATCTGTCTGCTAGTTGTTTTTAATGTATGAGAAACCATAACACAAAAACTTAAAAATAAAAGAAAAGTGAAACGCTATTGCAGCTTTTGATTTATTTGATTCAGACAAAATTAGCAGACATAGGAGATATATAGAATCAGGCCCAATCAATAGAATCACGAACACCAATATTATATTCTAAATATTATATTGGAGAGATTTTAAGCCTCTTGATTATATACATATGTGTGCGAAAATCTAATGAATCGTATCCCAATAAATTATGAATTCATTACAGTAGCTCATTCGTCATACTTGAATCTTTAAGTTACAATTGAAATGAGAAATTCCTAAATACACACAAACACATTATTAACATTAATGTGTGCTGCTTAAAATCTCTCTTTATTTGCCTGGTTGCTTTCAAATTTTAGTCTTACGTTAAAGGAACGCGCATTACGTAGTATTCCGGTAACGAATCCCTGTAACAAATCAAAGCCACAACAATTTTAGCAAACGATGACGATATGATGATGATTGAGAGGTTTTGGTAAAAAGAGTATTTTATATAATTGGGATAATTATTGAAGCAGAAATGGTAGAGAATCTTCAACTTCATAGGGGTTTTCTATATTAAATTAAAATATTTTTAAACAATGTTAACCTTATCTGGAACCTAATATCTAGAACCCAGAGCAATTCCAAAATGGCAGTCTTGTCAGTTTGTGATCCTTGTTAAGTTTTCTGGTTAAAATTGTTCTTTATTTTCAGCGATTCAAGAGCCTGTAAGAATCATCAAATCAAATTTATTCATCCAATAAGCTTTAGAACTTGGATAAAACTGCCGTTATTTTATTTTCCGCAAAATCTATTGAAACTTTACTAAGTGAGTTTATGTTTCGATGTGAAAGGGTTATTTTAACTTTCGAATAACTAGACCAAGACTCAATACTTTTAATCCCTTAATACTCGTTTTACCACTCTCTAATACAAAATGAGTTTGTTTATTTGATAAAATACATGGGGTAAAAAAGCAAAAATAATTATTTTCTGTTATATCATAAGCATGATTCAAAAAAACCCATGCAACTTAATGATTAAATTATTTCTTTGGCTAGCTGATGAATATTATACATAAAATCTAATTAATTCACTTCAAGTTTGGTGCGTATTCCCATCTTCTCTCTTTTTTACTCAAAATGATTAATGAGGACCGCAAAAGGATTTAAATGTTTTTGCCTTCCGATTAAATTAGCAACGAAAATAAATCTCCCGACAACTTGCCAAAGAAAACCCATTTATATTTCCATCCAAATTAAACATTCATAATTGAGTACTTACTTGGGCCAGGGTACGTAAGGATAAAGGGCCGATATAAACATGCAACGTTGTCGTAATACGCCTTGCCAAAGTTGCACGCCGACGATGCCGAATATGAAAAAAACAAAAAAGCACAGCAGTAGGACGTTGCCTAACATCGGTAATGTATCTAGTAGTAACATCACTAGGATTCTCATACCTGAAAAATAATAAATTGTTAGTACTAAATATGTCTGCCAGTGTTAGGTAGAAAATTTAATTTAAAATTCAAATCCGGCAACGTTTAAATTTGTAATTTCCATTTTAAACGGACGGGGGCACCTGTTACTCAAAATTGTGTAGACTCCCCAGTTTAACATTGTACAGGAAAAAAGAAAAGAGGATTTTGTTCGCTCAATTTATACCGAGAAATTTGTTTTTTAAATGTAAATTGTTGATGTTTAAAGAGTATATGAGGCAAAGATAAAAATATCGTGAATCGTATCCTGATAAATTATGAATTTATTACAGTAGCCCATGCTTCATGCTTTAAACTTTAAGTTACAATTGAAATGAGAAATTCCTAAATACTTGAAACAAATTAAGTGTCAAATCAATTAGAAACATTGATTATTGTTAATATTAGATTATTTTTATTCAAATACCCACAAGATCAAGTAGATTTATTCGAGCTGAATATCTAAAACAAATATTACAATTACAAAATGTCAAACACATGCGAAACTAATTTCGAATACAACCCTTCGAAAACCGATATTGTTCGGCTTGTTCGGAATTCAAATTCCTGAATAAGTTTTTGATTAATCCTGAATTTCCAAATATGTTATTGTCTAAATGCCAATGGAACGTATGTTTATTTATTATCTACTGAGATATTTTCCGGATTTATCTTCTCTTGAAGCGCTTATCGTTATTCAAAACCCTATCTTGTAATAGCTTTTTGATATTCAGTTGAGGGGAAATTTTGAGGTACTTTATATGCGGTTTATCGGTAAACAGGAAAGAGATTACTTTCAGTAGGTATCATTTAAAAGAGATTTATATTTTTTTGTAATATTAAATCACACTTCAAAATCTGGAAAACATATTTTATGCTTGGAAGGCACGAAAAGAAAAGAAAATTCTGCTAAAACAACCGAAATCAGTTTTATTTGTTACGACGGAGCGAATCTTGATCCCCTTGAGGTTCAAAACTCAATCAGACGTGAATATTTTCTACAGAATTTCGCTGTTTATAAAATGGAAAATGCGTCGTTTTATATTTTTAGCACAAATAAATATTTTCAATTATTATGTCTTTACCCGCAGGTTTCCTTAACGCAAATTGTATGATTCAAAAATTGTACATAGGATTGAGTTCATACTAACAAGAAAAGGTCAGAAACTCAATGAGCTGGGGAAGGAAAACAAAGTAACCCTACTCTGGGTTCCTGGACACATAGGAGTCGAGGGCAATGGATGCGCAGATGAACTCGCAAAAACGGGAACGGCCACTCCCTTCACTCGGCCAGAACCATTCTGCGGCGTCGGAAATGCGCACCTGCAAGAAATCCTTAAAAAGGAAGAGAACCGGCTAAGGAACAAACAATGGCTAGACCAACCACAACTCTGACAGGCCAAAGATCTACTGGGTAGCTACAACCAAAAAAGATCTGAACTGCTGGTCAATCTTAGCAAGAAAAGTCTCAAAACTCTAACCGGGTTTCTCTCGGGATATTGCAGACTGAATAAGCACCTACATAATCTGGGGTTGAAAGAAGGTTACACTTGCAGATTCTGTGAAGACGGTGAAGAAACACCTCACCATCTTCTACTGAACTGCGATGCCGTAAGCCGCTCAAGAATGAAGAACTTGGGAAGTCCCCTTATACAGCTGGAAGACATTCCAGCCCTGGAACTGCTAGACATCCTAAAATTCCTAAAGGACCCAGGACTAAAGGGGCTGCTTTAAGCAGGAAACCCGAACTTAGCAGCAGAAGGAGGGGTACAATAGATCAACCTTGGTCGCAGTGCAACTGACACCTCCAACACATACATACATACATACAACATGAAAAGGTTGAGGGAATGGTCAGAAACAGGAAAATACCAGTGGCGTACACTCGATCGACTTACGAATGGAGAACCATACGAAAATATAGAGAACTGTATGATTGTTCAAAAACTGTACATCCAAATAAGTGGAATATTGCGGAACTTATGGGTGTACCTCTGCGGAACGAGCGCAGCGAGTTCCCCAGCCATCTACTCACCAATATACTGTTGAACTATTCAAATAAGACTCTCACCTGAAACGTGTAGTTTTTGAATTGAGTTTGAGAATAACTGACTTTCAAGTGAGTGAGGTTAGTATCGCACTTGAACAACATATTGGTGAATAGATGGCTGGGTCCACTCATAAGTTTCGCAACAATCCACTCATTTGTAGGTACTTGAATAACTTGTCACATTATATTACTAGTTTGGTAAAGTAACCTTACTAATTCCTGTTGAAAGGCAAATTAACAAAAAGTGGATAATCTTACAAATTTTGACTTTATATAATAAGTTATTGTTCAAGTACAGATAAGTGGATTATTACGGAAGTTACGGGTGGATCTCTGCCATCTACTCACCAATGTATTGTTGAACTGTCCAAGTGAGAAATTCACCTGAAACGTGTAGTTTTTAAACTAATGAGAATAACTCACATTTGAGTGAGTCAAGATAGTATCGTAATTAAACAACATATTGATGAATAGATGGCTGCGGAACTCGCTGCGCTCGTCCCGCAGAGGTCCACCCATAAGTGCCGTAACAATCCACTCATTTGTACTTGAATAACTTGTCACAATATATTATTAGTTTGGTAGAGTAGCATTACTAATTCCTGTTGAAAGCCAAATTGACAATAAGTGAATAATCTTACAAATTTTGACTTTATATAATAAGTTATTGTTCAAGTATAAATAAGTGAATTATTACGGAACTTATGGATGGACATCTACTTACCAATATACTGTTGAAATGTTCAAATAAAACACTCACCTGAAACGTGTACTTTTTAAACTAATGAGAATAACTGGCATTTGATTGAGTCAGGTTAGTATCGTATTTGAACAACATATTAGTGAATAGATGGCTGGGTCCACCCACAAGTTCCGCAACAATCCACTCGTTTGTACTTGAATAACTTGTCACAATATATTACTAGTTTGGTAAAGTGACATTACTAATTCCTGTTGAAAGCCAAAGTGACAAAAAGTGGATAATCTTACAAATTTTGATTTTATATAATAAGTTATTGTTCAAGTACAAATAAGTGGATTATTACGGAACTTATAGGTGGACCTCTGCGGGACGAGCGCAGCGAGTTCCGCAGCCATCTACTCACCAATATACTGTTAAACTGTTCAAGTAAGACATTCACCTGAAACTTGTAGTTTGGGATAGTATACTATGTATAAAAATCAGGCTAAATGATGATGGTATAGTGGGATACCAAATTATTTTCCAGCATAGTGTCTATAGAATTAGCCAGAGAAAAACAAGCTGTAATTTGAATTTAGCGCTACAGCGGCAACCAATAGTGTTCAAGCCGCTGACCATTTGGCAACGCTGCTCAAAATGCCTCAAAATGACAGCTGACTTCAACAGTTCAACGACGTGTGGTGTCGTGTGAATCGTGTGACATGTGACATTGTCAAAGTAAAGAGTCATTTACATCCAAGGAGAATACACACTCTAAGGAGTGCTTATCGGCCTCGTTTTTGGTAATCGCCGCCATATTGGTTTTCAACCATTGCTGACGTCATAACTAAGTCGTCAGCTGTTTAAGCAGCCTACGTTAAGGCGAGAAAAGCCATGCTGGTTACGTCACAACTGGTTGTTTGGCGGGGGTAGGGGGGATTTATTACACACAGGCCTTATGAGGATAGGCCATCCTGTAGTAGTAGTGTGTATCATCCTTGATTTACATCCACTTAACTTAACGTACGGAAAGTTATAATTAACGTACGAAACTGAGAAGGTGTGTGTTTACAACAATGGTTTACAATGAAGTGTTAATTTTACTACGTGTAATCACCAATAACATTGATATAACAGACTAGTTCAATCTAAGCTGGTTCAAATTTTCCGTGTGTTACGTTAATTTTCTTAATTTTTAAGTGGATGTAAATAACTACATATAGGGAATTTATAGTCGTTCCTTGAGTCTTCCTCGGAGGTTGTGAGTTTAGAATGGACACTTGCTCCTATTTTGACAAATTAGTCATGTCAATTCTAAACATTCAAGGCTTCCTTAAGGTCTGAGAAAACTCTAAGGAGCGACTATAAATTCAGCCCATAAGTACATGATCTTCAACTCTTCTTTATCATTAATTTACTGTACGTTAAGTTGAGTTACGTGGATGTAAATGACACTTAACTTGTTTACGTTGTTTAATATAGTAAATTTGACGTTTCGTTCTTGACGGTCAATGTCAGTGCAAATTGCGCGTTCTCAAAATTGTGATATGTTGCCAAATTGGAAAAACTAAGTACGTCACGAACTTCTATGTTCACGTAGGGGCGGAGCTAAGAGGAAATTTAAAAAAAAAAGAATTCCAGTCTATTGTGGTTTTCACAAAGCAACTGATTACACTAAATAGTACGATACGTCGAGTATATCACTACGTAGTATAGTAGTTAAAAAACACTTGTATACTACCCCATTGATCGATTTTATCCAGTAAAGCTGAAATTTCCCAGAAAAAAATTTCAAGAAATTTTCAAAGGGCCCTTGAGATTTGGTTTTGCAAATTTTCAAACCTCAATATCTCGGTAACTGTAAAAGGTATCGAGTTGATTCTTTTACCAGATTGTAGCCCTCGTCAAATGCTGCAAAAAAGTCCCATACAATAATTTAGTTACAATGCTTAATTTCGCAGCTACACGGCCTTTAAGTTTTATGCCAAAATGTGACTAAGTTTCAACTTTAAAGCATTATATCTCCAAAACAACTAAAGATATTCAATTCAATCTTGTGCCATTTTATAGAGAATTTAATCCTCTGTATTTGTTGTAATTTAGATTTAATAAAGTTATAAGTGATTATTCACTAGCTTGTCAGGATTTGGAAATTTTTTCAGGACCAAAGATGAGCTTTTTTTGCTCAAGAGAAAATAGCTTCATTATGATGACTTGGGTGTTGTTTTCGTGCGAAAGTTTTATTTTTCG